AAGGCCAAGGCGCAGTCGGAACAGATACTCAGGGAACCATGGAAGAAGATGCTGGATGGGCCGCTCGAACAGGGAGAGGGTATAATGCCCATATACAAGAACCTTTCTGGTTACGTGCAAGGCGAATGGACACGCTCGGCCCTCAGCCGCATCCGACACCCTGGCGATATGGGCAACGCCTCGTCAAACCCGGACAACCCATTTGGAAACATAGTTGACTTTGACCGGAATATTACGGGAGCAGGAGGACCGGTGCGGCTGCATATCACGGAGCTCGAAGACAAGATGCGGAGAAACGAGAACCAAACCATATCGGAGATTAGCGCAAAAGTAATCATCGGTGACAGGGACAGCTTTGGGGGCAACTGGTGGGAGTTTGTAGTTCATGGCGTCCACTTCCTGAAGAGCGGCACCGCTGTGTTGACTACAACTAGCGATCGATTTGCGGGAATCTTCGCCCTACCCCATATGCAGATTTCCCCGTATCTGTACGCCACGTCGCAGGAATTTCTCAACTGGACCATACACGAAGCGATTGAGCGGCAAGAAAAACGTACGTTTATCTTGTGGAACCCGTGGACATCTGCGGTAGATGGAGCCAACGAAGGCTTGTTCCAGGGTCGTCATTGCGAATTTGTGTTTTATCTTCAAGAGTTTCCGAGCCCGTATAACATCGACATGGACTGGCTGGAGCATGAGCTACGATATCCCACGGGAGCTCCGATTCCGCGGCAAATATCACACACCATGTCTATGGTGGGCTTCTCTCCGGACTGCGGGCTTGTGATTGAGTCAAAGGGTCCTCCAGACTTTCCGCCCTCCGAAGCTATGCACTTGGTGGGCTCGAAAACGGAGATCTTCAATACGCGGGCCAGACAGAGCGTCATTGCATTTGCCGTTAGTTTGGCATTCCAGCTCTGGTTTACCATGAAGCAGATGAAGGAGACAGCAACACCATCGATGCGTAGCAGGGTCAGCTTCTATACCATTGCCATGATGGCTGTGGGTGATGGGTTCACATTCTTAATCCTCATCTTTATGTATCTTTTCCTGGGCACGGCACAGCTGGCACTTTACAGCATAGCATTCATAGCGCTCTTTTCAGTGCTTACGCATCTCCGGTTCCTGATGGATATCTGGTCTGTTCAAGCCGCAGAGAGAGCCCGTCAGGAGCGGCAACAGGCATCGGCAGCTGCAGATTCAACGCCACCAGCGGCATCTCGTACCGCCACACCAGCAGCGCCCCCCGAAGAGGGATTGCCATTACCGGCCACTGCAGCGCGGCCGCGACCACCTACACCCATTATCATTGCACCAGACCAAGACGATCCTGACGAGGATGTTGACACTGGACCAAATAACAACACAACTACTACCAATGCGAATGCGAATCCCAGAGCCGAGCTAGGCACACTATACAGCCGCTTCTGTCTAATGCTGATAGTGCTCTTCTTTGTCACTATCCAGTTTGCTGCGGCCCGCACGACGTACCGTACCATCTACTTTGACGTTGTTTCATTCGTGTACCTTTCCTTCTGGGTACCACAAATTTATCGAAACACGATGCGGAACTGTCGACGAGCACTGCGGTGGGACTATGTTGTGGGGATTAGTGTTGCTCGGATTGCGCCCGTCAGTTATTTCTACATGAGGGATGACAACGTGCTGTTTGCACAGACAGACTGGAGGGCCATGGGGGTGTTGGTGGGCTGGGTGTGGATGCAGGTGGTGATGCTGGTAAGCCAGGAGATGCTCGGACCAAGATTCTTTGTCCGAGACGGATGGGCCCCGCCGGCATACGACTACCATCCGATTCTCCGTGAGGACGAGGAAGGTGCGACGATGCCACTGAACATGACGACATCGAGCGAGTCTGCGACGGTGCTGGATGCATCATCGTCTGGGGCCGGTGCAGAGGTAGAGTCGACCAAGGCATCAGGCGAGTCGAGGTCCAAGGGCAAGAAAGTGTTTGACTGCAGTATCTGCGCCAACGACATTGAAGTGCCAGTGGTACCCGCAGGGGCAGATGAGAACAGTGCGACGGGCACGAGCATGTTGCTGCAACGACGGCAGTACATGGTGACGCCGTGTCGGCATATTTTCCACACTGGCTGTCTCGAAGGGTGGATGCGGTATCGGCTCATGTGCCCCAACTGCAGAGAGAGTCTGCCGCCTCTATAGCGTGAGAAATGAATACATGTTTATTCATATATGTATGTACTATGTGTCGAGTGTCATTTACGAGAGGAATGCGTAATATAGTCACGTGGTGTCGTTCTTTGTCAAAGTCCGCGTAAACAAGTGGGCTTGCACATCGTCATTAACGACATCGTCATCGTCGTGTTGATCCACCTGCACTGCCAAAAGATACTGACACGTCTGCCACGAGTAAGTGAGAAGCAAGTCATGCTGTTACAGCAAGGGCATGGCCACAGTTGTGTTTGCAAGATTGCTGCGGGTGTGTCCGGCACGCACTGAGTTTGGCATGCCTGATGGGGTATTTGTTATTCTTAGCCCCGGAACGCCACACTTAGCCGCCCCGATGCGATGAGTGGCTGGGGCTACCAAGATCCCTGAAGGCCGCCACGCGAACCCTGGCCTTTGCTGCGCATACGCAACCCTCAGCCTCTCCTTCACACCACCCTCGTTTACTACTGCATGTCCGCTGCGCTAATTTTTTAGAATACGACAGCTGTGCCACTCTCTCCGAAACCTTACTTCCTGCCTGATCTCCTTGGTCGTCTCTCCTTGGACCCCCCAAGACACGTCTGCTCTACATCCGTTTGTCTACACTACACAATTGTTCGCCGCTGCCGCCTCGGCTCCAGCTGCACCACGCCTGTGCCCTTTAACCCCGCAGCTTATTGTCATACATGCTACATACATAACCAACGTCGCATTCACCGTCTGCGCTCATAGAAGAGACTCGACACCCATCGAGGCGCACATCCCGTTGTGCCGCTTGTCCCACTGTTTCATCGCGGCTTCTAAAACCGCTTCGGCGCCTGATCACCATGGCCGCCAATGACTACTACAACAATAACAACAACCACAACCCCAATCTCTACGGCCAGCCACCCGACAGAAACGATGCGCCTCTGCCTGCATTGCCGGGCAATCATACACAAACCCCAGTCTCGCCCGTCGGCTCGCCCTTTGACGACCGGCCGCATCCCGTGCATACACACAGCAGCGGAGCCATGAGTGGCATGCCAATTGACACCACGTACTCAAACACCTCATACCAGCCGCCCACTCAATATAGCTCCACCGCACATATCAACGATCCGCATGCGCGGCAACCAGACCCGTTTGCAGACCAAAATGCAATACCCTTGCAGAATCAAAATAGGAGGAACGACGGTAGCCCTGTACGATACGACAATGATCCAGAGTTTTACGGTATGGGAGTAGAACCGAGGAGGAGGAAGAGTAGTAGAAAGAAGAAGAAGAAGGGCTTGTTCAACGGAGGAGTTACATGGGTCGTATACATTCTTACGGCGGTGCAGGTTGGCGTATTTATTGGAGAACTGATCAAAAATGGTGCGTGTATACGGTGACGTCGAGGCTGAGCTGTGTGCTAACAAGATACTTAGGCATGCTAACCGGCTCTCCTATCCAAACCAAGCCAAATTTCAACATCATGATTGGCCCTTCGCCCTACGTCCTCATCAACATGGGTGCTCGCTTCACGCCCTGTATGCACAACATCAAGCGGGTGATCGAGGCCAACCCTCCCGTCCTCGAATGGCCATGTCCCAACACCACCGTCATCACCCCAAACACACCGCAGTGCAGCTTGGCCGAGCTCTGCGGCATGGGCAGCGGCGTTCCCGATCAGAGCAGCGTGACCGACTTCAAAGACCGAAGCCACGAGCCCAACCAATGGTGGCGCTTCATCACCCCGATGTTCCTACACGCAGGAGTCATCCACATCGGCTTCAACATGTTACTGCAATGGACCCTCGGTCGCGACATGGAAAAGGAAATCGGCCCCTTGCGCTTCGCCCTCGTCTATTTTTCCGCCGGTATCTTCGGTTTCGTTCTCGGCGGCAACTACGCACCCGACGGCATTACATCCGTTGGCTGCTCCGGTTCTCTCTTCGGCGTCCTCGCCCTTACGTTATTGGATCTGTTGTACCATTGGTCTACGCGCCGCAGTCCCGTCAAAGATCTGCTCTTCCTCCTCCTCGACATGGCCATTGCGTTCGTTATCGGTCTTCTGCCTGGTCTCGACAATTTCTCGCATATCGGTGGCTTTCTCATGGGTCTCGTCCTGGGTATCTGTATCCTTCATTCGCCCGAGGCGCTCCGGAAACGCACCGGTCAGGGCGAACCGCCCTATGCAACCGTGGATACGCAGCCTCTCGCCCCGAAATCCGAAAGCCCGGTGTCAAAGGTTACGGCGTTTGCGAAACAACCGATTGGGTTTTTCAAGGGAAGAAAGCCCCTGTGGTGGGCGTGGTGGCTTGTTCGCGCCGGCAGCCTCATGGCGGTATTTATAGGATTTATACTGCTGCTGAGGAACTTTTATGAGTGGAGGAATACGTGCAGTTGGTGTAAGCATTTGTCTTGTTTGGTAAGTCTTTATTCTCCTCCCCCCTTTTTTTCTGAAGGGAAAGCAAATAAGGATCTCATGGCTAACAGTCTGATCAATAGGATGTCACAGTGAATGGTGTCAACTGGTGTGATATGGGCAATTTGAAACTTACTTCGAATCAGAGTAGCAAGAGGGGTCTAGGGGGTCTTATTTAAGGAAGGAGGAGGAGGAGGAAAGGGGGACCAGGCTTACGACGGCCCGTTTTGTCTCTCTCTTCTTTTTCTCCTTTCTTTTTTCTTTCTCTTACTGTTTGCCTTTGGTGCGGAAATGTTGCATTTTTTCTTTGTTGTAAGGAAATGAAAATCAAGCATTGATACCACCCGTGCATGGCATGTATTATTTGTAGCACACGAGTAGATGGGTATTTGAATCACCCGGACCGTAATGAGTATGATTTTTTTGCATGTCGCTTTTCAAGTGTAACGAATGGAAGGTGAAGAGACTAAAGCTATTTCACCAAAGTACACGTATCGAGTACTTTTTTCCCCATGTCCATCCCCTGTTACTCCTCCCCCCTCCCTTTTTTTGCATACCCACGATCTATTCCTTACTTACTTCCAAGCCGCCACTAGCCTATCCACCCTACCACTGCGAAGTCTGTGGGGGACCCCCAATCTGCACAGTTGAACCAGCTGTGCCCTTCCAATCCGGAGGTGTTGAAACCTTGTACTCGAGGTAGCTAGCAACAGGCGGCCTGTACATTTCCATGTGTCCCGTCTCATCGTTCCTCACCAGCACATTCTTCGTGTTCAAGTGGTCAGGCCGAGTCTTTTCTTCAACGCTGAGAAAGCCGCCAGTCAGTCGATCGAGGAAGATGTTGAAATCATCTGCTTTGTTGATTTGGCAGCGAGCACCTTGAGACTCGCAGTGAGACATGAGTGCCGTGGCGCTGTTGAAGTACTTGAGACACTTGGGACACTTCATGTGTGTGACGCGGTGTTCACCGAGAATGTGCTTGTTGAGGTCGCCGACGCAGTCAAAAGTTTGCCTATCTACGTTAGCAAAGAATTCCCCCAGACACATAGGGATTAGACCAATTTACTCGCAGATAAAAGGGCAGTGGTATTTGCCCACAATGGCATCATAGAACTTCTCGGGGTTCCAGTCAGTGCTCATGGGATCCCAGAAGCGTGAGCGCAAGATGTTAATGCCGTGCTCCTGCACCATGGCAGCGTCATGAGCCGAGATGGAGAAGTCCTTGGGAGGATTAGGTTTCACATCGGGGAACAGAGTAGCAGCAGAGGACTTTTCCTTGCGGCTGACCCAGGCTTTGAGCCTGGGGCTAGATGGACGTGGCACCCCTTTGGGGATGAAAGATAGGTCATCCATGGCTGGGTTGAGGGTCGTGTCGGGTTCAATGGCTTTGAAATCGACTGCCTCAATCCCCTGGTCATGGTCCAAGGGATCTTCGAGCACGACGCCACCCTCTTCTTCGTAATCAATAGCCGCGTCGAACTTGGACGTCTTCTGCCGAAAGCGGTCCAGTGCCGGGCCGCATTTCAAGAGCTCGTTGATCAAGTGCTTGTGAATGATGTGACCCTGAAACTGCGATGCCGAGATCACCTCACAGTGACCGAATTCGAGGTGCTCAATGAACAGAGAAGCACGGTAGAAAGATCCGTGGCATCCGATGCAGGTAAGCTTCTGATCAACCTTGTGGTTCAGCTCGATATGGCGCTTCAGGCCAGAAATGCTCTTGAACTCGTCCCCGCACACACGGCATGCACGACCATGTTCTACTGGGCGTGTAATCTTATGCATGGCATAATCTTCGAAAGATTCAAAGTCCTCATCACACTTGTGGCAGTACTCGTGCTCGTCAGACTGCTTCTTGTGGCTCCTCATCTGCTTCTCGGTATCGAAGGACATGTTGCAGTCTTTGTACGTACACTTGAAGCGCCGGATTGGCTCGAGTGAGGCAGGCATGTTGGCTTCTGTTCTTGAGACGAGAATGAGTCAGTAGAAGTTTATAGCAATGGTAGTTTAGCTCACACAGTTGTGGGTTGCTTCTGCTGATACGAGACACCTTATGTGATGAGTAAGGTAGGGTATCAAGTGAATTGAACAAAGAAGGGCAAACAAATCTACCTTGGCAGCCTATAGGATAGAAGTATGTGGAAGAAGATTGAAGCTAAGAGGTGAGTGGGGCATTGCTAGTATAGCAGGAATAAGCGGTGACTGATCAAAGGTGAGAGATACGAGAGGCAGGAACGGTGAAGTTTGGTAGGTGCTGAGAAAAGTGCGCTCTAGAACCACAACAAACCCCTCTCACGCGTGCAATACAACCGACGTAAGAAAATGATTTATAGACTATAAAGAGATATGGTTTTGCTTTGACTGCGTCGCGTGAATGACAACACCCTCTGAGTCCTTAAGTGCTCATATCATCATGAATGCAAAAAATTGAATTGGACTGGTATCGTGAATGATTTAGAATCGCGAGTATGGTAGCCTGGATCGTCATTAGCGATATATAAGTGATTTTACTTTGCAGCAAACGTACCACTTGCCCCTCAGGGTGATCTTGGCCCACTCGCCCTTGTCATCAGTTTCCTTCTCCACCTTTGTGCTGAAAGAGATGGCGCTCATGATGCCATCGCCAAACTTCTCATGCATGACAGCTTTGTAAGCCTGACCATAGTTTTGCACAATCTCATAAAGACGGTAAATGGTAGGGTCCTTGGGAGGCATATCGAGGGTGTTGCCTCGGTTGGGAAAACCACCCAGCTGGGATTCGAGCTTTCCTGGGTCAATCTCGAGGACTTCGGAGAGTTTCTGGACATCTTCGGGTGAAGCCATGGCCTGACCGTAGAAGAGAGCAGCGATTGCAACTTCGTCACGCCCTACGTGCTTTGCAATAGCTTCAAAAGTAAGGTTCTTTTTCTTCTTCGCTTCAAAGAGAGTTGGGGATGACGGAGGAAGGCGAGGGATAAGCTCCTCCTATATTTACGTGAGCCTGGCCCGACAGGTTTTCGGAATTTTGTAGCGGGACATACGTTTAGAGTAGCAACAGGATGTTCCCCCATGGTGATGGGAGTTGAGTGGAGGCATCTTGCAGCAGTAAGAGGGACTACAGGTCGGACGGAAGTGAATGCACGCGATGCCAGTCTGGCAGAGACTGCAAGACGAGGAGAGAAGACCATGATGTAGGAATGAGCTACCGTGTATGCAGTGACAATGAAAGATTTTTGTGTGTTACAGGATAAAGAAAAAAGTCCAGCCGTTCCCACAGCGGGATAATGGATATATGTAGTTTGAGGAACAGACGGATGTACAAGGGTACGTCATCCATCGCAACGGCCATCATGATTACGCGAACTTGTGGGGTACATGACAATGCAAAGCTTATCTATTTAACCCGCGGGTGCCCCTGTGCCATTGTTTTGCTTAATAGCCGGGTATGTTTGTGAAGTGTTGACCAGCAGAAGTAGTATATGTGCCGTCCGTGGCAGTGAGGGGCCAAGGGTGAGGGGTGAGGGGCACGGAGACGGGTATGGGTACAGACAGGCGGTTAGATGCATGCCATAACCATCCGCCCCCCCTGCACTGATTGTGATGCTGACCAGGAGAAATCAGGGTACGTGCAATTGATTGGGTGTCGGCGCGGATTCCAGCTCGTCCGTTCGCCAGCTACGTCGTCGCTCACACCCATGCTGACCCTCATGGCGCTAAGCCGGTGACGCGGGGCTTGTCCGACCACCTCGACCTCCAGCTCGGTCAGCTCTTGTAGCCCCAACAACACAATCGTTCCAATTTCTCTATTGACACTCATTCTACCAGCCCCTGTGCCAGCACCGCCATGTCTCGCCGAGACGACGACCTGGCGTACGGTGAGTACAATGCCCAAGAAGGGCACGAGGGCGATCGCGGCCTCATAGGCGACATGGGTCGGCGTTTTGGCTTTGGCAAAAAAGAGGTGAGTACTTACATACGCCTCCTTCAGATGCCATGCTGTCATTGCATGCTCTGTATCTAGTACCAGCTTGCTATATCCCTCCCTAGCACTGCCCCACCATGACCGCCCAAGCGCCAGACTAGCCTCGTCATTCACTAACCTCGCTCGCCCGCTTTCTTTGTCTTCTGTTCACTGTATCGCCTTAAGAGAAGCTTGGTTCTCTAAACAAAACCCTAACTCAACGTACACAGAATACCCAGCCTCAGTCTTCATCCTCACAGCAAGGTGGCGGTGGCGGCGGCATGTCGTTCTTCAAGAAACTCCATGATCCTCTTCATGGGTTCGTCTCCGATCTCAAAGATGCCATAAGTGGCGACGACAACAACAACAACAACAACAACCAGCAGAAACCCCCAGCGGGAACAAATGAGCAGACGGGACAGCCTGCTGCTGCCCAAGAATATCATCAGCAACATCGCTTCTCCAGCTTCGCCCCAGAACGACATGGCAATGAGACCAAGTGGTATGTCGATGGGTGCTCGTACATGTACGCAGTATCCATAGCTCTCGAGCGCGCCAAAGAGTCCATCTGGATCCTCGACTGGTGGCTTTCCCCCGAGCTCTACCTTCGCCGTCCTCCTGCCAAGAACCAACAGTATCGTGTCGACCGCATGCTGCTTGCGGCTGCCGAGCGTGGCGTCAAGGTCAACATTATTGTTTACAAGGAGGTTACCCAAGCCCTTACTCGTAAGTTACTAACTCCGTTGCTACCCAACTATCTTCATTCTCTCCTACCGAGTTCGACGGATATGTTTACCAAAGCGCTCACGCGCATCGGCCTGGATGTCATATTCAAATCGCTTGAAGAGTGGGAAAAGACAGATCCGCTGATTGCCCCACCTATTACAGTCTCCTCAGCCCATACAAAACACCACCTGGAAGATCTCCACCAAAACATTGGTGTTTTCCGACACCCTGATCACCTGCCAGACGCCGCAGTGCTGCAGTCAAATTTCTTCGCCTCTATGAAGAACATGTCTTTCACCCCGGCTGCACTCGCTCAACTCCCAGGAGATGGCCTCAAGGCAATCTATGGTGCTCACGAAGGTACAGTCATGTACTGGGCACATCACGAAAAGCTCTGCTTGATTGATGGCCACATCGCGTTCATGGGAGGACTCGACTTGTGCTATGGCCGATGGGACACCAACCAGCACGCAATTGCTGACGCCCATCCTGGCAATATCGACAGGATTGTCTTCCCAGGTCAAGACTTTAACAATGCTCGTATGCTGGGTAAGTTGGTATCTCAAGTCTTCGAGTTTGGTCAATATTCCATAGCTCTGCCGTCCAAGCTTTAGTCTGTTAGTAATGCTAACGCGGAAACAGACTTCCAGGACGTCGGCAACTGGGAAAATAACAAGCTCGACAGGACCGAAAGCTCTCGTATGGGATGGTCTGATGTTGCCTTGTGTGTCTCCGGTCCAGTTGTTCAGGATCTGCGTACTCATTTTACCCAACGCTGGAATTTTATCTACGACGAAAAGTACAGCAAGAAAGCCACCAGATACGCCAGACTACCCGATACTAGTAGCGGCGCTCAACAGGCGCCAACTCAACAACGGGATTTCGAAGGAGATGAAGGAGAGCGTGGTTTCGGCGGCAACGAAGAGAGTGATCGAGGAATTTTCGGCCACGGTGGTCTACGTCAGAAGGTGTACAGTAAGTTTGATCAGTACGGCCAGGGCCACAGTTCGTATCAACCTCACCAACAGTCCCATGCGGAGCACAGCTCGCAGAAGGGTGGTGTCGACTGCCAAATTACGCGAAGCTCTGCCAAATGGAGCCATAACCTGATCACCACTGAGGTCAGTAAAAGCACACACTAACACTAGAAAACCAAGGCTAACAATGTACAAAAGCATTCGATTCAAAATGCGTACTGCGAGATCATTCGCAACAGCAAGCATTTCATCTACATTGAGAACCAGTTTTTCATAACTGCCACAGGTGACCAGCAGAAGCCGATCAAGAACAAGGTCGGTGCAGCCATTGTCGAACGCATTGTTCGCGCTGCGAGAAATGGCGAGAAGTACAAGATGATTGTTATGATTCCTGCTGTGCCGGCTTTTGCGGGCGATCTGAAGCTCGATGAAGCACTCGGTACCCGCGCTATCATGGAATGTAAGTGGCCAGAGACAGTCATGTCAACATAACGTAAGGCCAAATTTTGCTAACCATTTCATCAATTACAGTCCAGTACGACTCCATCAACCGTGGTGGTCACTCGATTTACGAGGAAATTGCCAAGGCAGGATTCAACCCGATGGAGTACATCCGGTTCTACAACCTTCGCAGCTACGACCGTATCAACTCCAGTCAGATCATGCAGGAGACGGAGAAGCGCAGTGGTGTTTCCTACACTCAAGCTCAGGAGGGCTTCGATGCTGCCCACGACAACGCGCGTGACTACCAGGCCTATCACCCCCCGCCTACTCAGGAATATGGCGTATACGAAATGGACGGTTCCTCCGCCCCTCAACAGCAGTACGGTGGTGGTCCACAAAGTCAAGGCAGGAAGAGCGACTATGACCGTTACCAGCAAGAAGCAATGAAGGTCGGTGGGCGACAAGGCCTTGGCGATGGACGTTGGGACACTGTCAGCGAGTGTTACATGCTCGGAGGCGAGGACATTCGTAATGTGCCTTGGGAAGGTAGCCCCGATGCTGAGATGGATGCTTTCGTGTCTGAAGAGCTATACATCCATAGCAAGCTCTTGATTGCTGATGACCAGATTGTCATTTGCGGGTCTGCTAACCTCAACGACCGCTCGCAACTTGGCGATCATGACTCTGAGATCGCGATCATCATCCACGACCCCAAAACGGTAGAGTCTTCCATGGACGGACAGCCATGGCGCGCGTCCGAGTTTGCGGCGTCCCTTCGAAGGGAGATCTTCCGAAAGCACCTTGGCTTGCTCAAACCTCAGGACATGGAGCGACCAGATGCCAACTACGAGCCTGTAGGAATTCCCAACCAATATGATTGGGGTTCGCAGGAGGACCGCCAAGTTGTAGACCCTATTTCTGACGAGTTCTGGAACCTATGGAACTGGAGAGCGCACACCAACACACAAGCTTTTGGAAAAGTGTTCCACCCTGTACCCAGTGATGAGGTCAAGAACTGGAAGCAATATGACGAGTACTATTCTCGCTTCTTTGGCCAGGACCAGAAGGCCAAGGAGAAAAAGAAGCCGTCGTTGTACAAGTGGGGCCACGTTGTTGCCGAAAACTTTGCTCCAGGCGAGCAGGGTGTGCGTGAAGTCAAGGAGATTCTCAGCACGATCAAGGGCAACCTCGTTGAGATGCCATTGATCTTCCTGAAAGAGGAAGACATTGCCCAGGAGGGTGTGGGGCTGAATGCTCTTACCGAGGAGCTTTACACTTAGTTTAGCGGGCTGGGTATGGTATGGTGGCCTGCACCGATTGGGTTTGGATAGCTAAAAGCCCATACTGCAATGAATACAATTGCAAAATTGTCTTTTCATAAAGACTGCAATGTGCAATATGCAAATGTTACATATTTATGTATGTATAGCGGTAGTTATGAAGGTAAAAGTAGTGTATTCCTGAACGGCGGCGAGGACCTCGTACTATCGGCGGACGTTGAATCCTAGCGCTGATCGCCCCTGGGTAAGCGTCGCGTATGTGAACTCCCCGGATTCGTGCGCAATCGTTGTGCGATTATCTTGGGCGTACGACCTCTTGTGTCGCCATGCCTCGATTAATAACGGCTCGAAATGCCGCGATACTCATCAACGTAGCACTCCTGACCGCACTCTTCCTCCACCTCAAATTCGAACTCTGGGACAAGAGCGCCGTTGCGCCCGGACCGGCCAGTCTGACACACCTACCCGACGAACTCTACGACGAGCAACGAGCGAGCGAGCAGTCGCACAAGCCAGAGGAAAAACCGCTCCAAGCGAATGGCAGCGTCAAGGCGCAACGAACCGCCGTAGTAGTCGCCAGCCAAAGTTCTGAGAACGCGACGTGGCTCGACGAGTACTTTCCCGACTGGGAGAAGAACATCTACCGAGTCGACGACAAAAATGCGCCTCTCACCGTCCCCTTGAACAAAGGTCGCGAAAGCATGGTATACCTGACGTACGTCTCCCATCATCCCCTTAGACCCAAACATTTTCCAACCCAAACAACAGCTACATAATCGACAACTACGCCTCGCTCCCCGAAAACATCCTCTTCCTCCACCCGAACCGCTACCAATGGCACAACGACGACCCAGATTACGACGGCGTCCCCATGCTCCGGCACTTCCAATTCCCCTACCTCGCACAAGAAGGCTACGTCAACATCCGCTGCGCCTGGTCGCTTGGTTGTCCCAGCGAAATCAAGCCCCTGTCTGAAGCCGGGGAGCACCGCGAAGCCGTACACGCGGGTGGCGATTATAAGAAGGCGTTTGAGAAGTTGTTTCCTGGGGAGCAGGTGCCCGCGGCGGTGGGCGTGAGTTGCTGTGCGCAGTTTGCGGCGACGCGGGAGAAGGTGCTGGAGAGGAGTAGGGACGAGTATGTGCGGTATCGGGAGTGGATTGTGCAGACGGAACTTGGGGATGCGATTAGTGGGCGGGTGTTTGAGTATTCGTGGCATAGTAAGTTCTTTTCTTTTCTCCTTCTCTCCCCCATCTCTCTCTCTCTCTCTCTTTTTCTCAACTTTTGGAAGCCTATGTGGCTGATTGGAATTGTGCGCAAACAGTTATCTTTGGGAAACCAGCTGTGCATTGTCCGACGGCCAAGAGTTGCTATTGCAATGTCTTTGGGCTCTGCAATTTGACGTGTAGGGATCAGGGGAGTTGCGAGGGGAGATACACATTACCGCCTTACTCGGTGCTGCCCAAGGGGTGGCCGTTGGTGGGGTGGGATGGTAAGGAGCGTGAAAGAGCGGCGTCAGAAGATTGAGGTGATTGATACCCCTCCCGTTTATATCTACTGGGCTGCTATGCTGCGCAGTGGTTGGGAATGATTTGCTGGCAACTGAGAGGAAGAGAAGAGCTGGGTCGCGATGCCTCGCCCCGACTATATCTTTGTTTGTGGGTTGTATGGGTTCTTTGGGTTTGATGCCGGACATCGTTACTTTATGTGCATGTGTCACGCCCACGGTATTATGACCACGATATCCAAGTCATATGTTGCTACGATGCTAGTTTACAGTAAGACAAGGGGCTATATGGCTTGAGGGCTACGCTCGTAAGAGGTATGACACAGGTAATGGGGTAATTGCTACTTTGCTCCTCTCAAAGAAGAGGGTTGTTCTGTTCACGTACCGCAGATTTCCCGTCAACGCCAATGGATTTAGCACAAGGCTCGGTTCATGCGTTGTTATATCGTTTTCCTGCCATAAGAGCACTTCAGCATGGACGAAAGTCATATACTACACTTATTCATTGTAATTATACCCCTTTCAAAAAAAACAGTTAAATCTATATATACCCTGCAACAAATCTACATCAAAGTATCCGAACTCGAACTCGTACCACTCCCTGCCTGACCAAGATATCTCGTCGACTTTGACATTCCTTTTTCGCTAATGGATCCCCCTTCTTCGTGAACTCGGCGTCATCTCCACGTCCGACATCCCCATGGCTGCATCAGGATCATGTAATTCAACCTGGTACTGTAGATCAAGAGGTAGCGTTGGCTTTGAGGGTGACGGGGTGACCTCGCTGTGACCATGGGCCGAGTTAGATACAGGATCGCGGCTATCAGCGAAGCTTAAGGCGAACCCGTAGTTGATATTTCCGTCACTTATGGGGCGGTGCTCGAGCTCGAGTCTGCCGTGAATATTGGATTTGCTTTCGCGGAGGGAGCGGCACTTGTCCGAGATTTTGGCAGGTTCTGTGTCGGACATGGGCGGAGATGCTAAGGCGGTGGGAGAAGTTTTGGTTAAATTTGAGACTGATCTTTGGTCTGGGGATGGTAAACAAGCGGTCTTACTGGTTTGTTTCACAGCTTCACCTTCGGTGAGATTACTGGGGAAGCCGCTGATGGGGAAGCCGGCGCTGAGCGTTGGTTGCATGCGGTCGTCGATTGGGTGAAAGTCAATGGCTAGCAGTACTGAATCAGAGGTCACGGGTATGACGATTGAGCCCAGGCCGAATAATCGACTGTCTACCACGTCCTTGAGGACTTTGCGGCTCAACTCAATGTCCTGAGTGTGCTCGACGTTGCCCACTTCGGAGATGCGGAAGAAGGGCTGGAACTTGTAGCGTTGGAATTTGAAGCGAAGGTGTTCTCCAAGGAAGCGTAGATTGTCCGATCCATCAGCGAATCTACACGCTATGGTACCTTTGATATTTTTAGTTATATTCATCTGATGATGATACTGTGAGTGCATACCTTGGATGGTGAGTACACCTTTGCTCTCCCTGGTTCGCCCAATCTTTTCGAAATAGAACGAGCTGGTAATGAGCCGACCAGCAATCGTTTGTATTATAGCCTGTGACTCAGGCGTGCGAAGTGTGTCAGCAACCTCCCTCTGCAAGTCATTGATTTTCGACGTGTCATCCATCTTGGGCACTGGGCTCCTGACTTTAGGATTCATGCGTATATCTCTCTCTGCCGAAATGGCCGAAGACAAGCCCACAACGTCGGTGCGGAAGTCTCTCGACATTTTTTCAGAGTTAAGGATATCCTCGACGCGCTTCTTGGCAAATTTGAACCAAGAATCTACTTGTGGAAAGACCTTTGATATCTTGGATCGCTTCTTCGTTAATTTGAGCGCTTTTCGAATTTGCATGCGTCTGCGATCAGATCCGGCAGTTGAGGAGCCTTCTACACCCGACTAATGGTATCCAGTCCCAACAGACAAGATGTCTGGATAGCGCTCTTCTACATCCGGCCAGAGGAACTTGGTTTCATTGTTGGCTATTCGTATTGGATTGTTGTGCTTGACAGCGCCATCAATATAACTCCCCATGGTTCTGTAATTAAAGAAGGGCTTGAAGAAGAACGGTGCAGCAGATGCGGCTCTTGCACTAGGCCAGTGTCAGCTATAAACTTCAGGGCACTTACTCCGATACACTTACGCCTCTCTGACTTTAAGGTTGTTGTTAGGGTCATTGTGGCGAACCGGGCGGTAACCAACTGTCGGAAGTATAAGATCTGGTTCAAGTCAAGCCAAAGGCGACTTACTCCCAGATTTACTCGCACGACTATAATTCGTAAAGATTACAATCTCCTCACCGGTCTCAGTAACGGCTGTTACGGCACCTTTCCGTGCAAAGCCACTCATATCCTCTGGCACTCCTCCGAACATGGCTTCATCCCCGAAAGCTTGGGGTAAGGCTTCTTCAAGCGGCTTGATACAGTATTTGCTCGTCATTAATTGGAAACCACCAGGGTACCTGGAAGTAAACGCTTTCCCCAATAAGTTCAGAAATGTCCACGTAAACTGTTTGATGGACCAATTTTTGACACCAAGGCCAAGTGCAAGCAATCCGCCGGTACTAAGGGTGGTCAATTCTCGCTTGCTCATATGCCGAAATTCCTTCGGGAACTAATGGTAGACTCTGCAACGACTCACCTGGTGCCCACTATAAGATCGAAAGATTCCTGGATAGGAATGCGCCCTCCTAGTTCCTTTTGGATCTCTCCAAGAACATCTAGAATGACAATGCTTCTCATACTACCACTGCCTTTGTTAGTCTCATTTTTGGTAAACACGGTTTACTTACCCATCAATGTCCGCAACGTAGAGGATGCTCGGCCAATTCTCGAAGGCAGCAGTAGCAAGTCAAGTGACTGACAAACTCCTGGGCGCCACCCAGACGCTTGTAGCATGTCGTGATGTTGGCGTGGTGGAGTCGTGTGGTTATATCCACCTCACTCGCAGAAGGGGTTTGCATGAGCTGTGAACTGAGCTCAATTTGAAATTTTGCAAGGTGGTTCTGCAAATGCCGAGACCAGTCTTTGGCGAAGCCACTTGACGTAAATTTAGATTCCTAAGGACCAGTGCCAATGATGACACATTTTTCATTCTGATGTCCCTTGATATGAGCCTCCTTCACATTTACACAGCTACCGCGGTGCATATAGTGGAATTTGCATGGCCAGTAGAACGTACAAAAGTCTTCTAGTGCTGTACCACAGTAGGTGAGGTATTGTTTTTCGAGGATTTGATCTGCCAGACCTGGAAATCTCATGGGTTAATGGATTGCGAATTTGTGATTTGTGGGAAAAGAGTGTAAAGAGTGACTTAAGTAGGGTTGCACCACGTACCTTTAAAGTTTTGTCGAACACAGTCCAACCCAATACACGAAGCTACCATGAAGCTCAATTTCTCGAAAATCTTCGTGGGATCATCGTACCGAACTTTCATAGCAACAGCCAGCTTGAGAATGTTACCTCGAAAATTGAAAGGAATGGGATTGATCTTGAACAAGATGTCCATGAAGTTGAATGGTTTGTTCAAATCACTTGAAAAATGTTCAAATGCGGAATGCAGGTATGCGTTCAAAGAATCAGAGTTGAAAAGCATGCTCGACCTAGACTTCGTGTTGAATGACTCTCTGCATCGCTTAGACAACGTATCGTGAAATTTTTGAATCTGTTCGTCAATCATCATGTACCGGCCATCCCCAGGTATCCTTACAACGGTGATCGAGGAATAGTAGCACAAAAGAAGATCCTTCACGGTGTGAATGTTTCTACCCTTCCTACCCCAATATTCTTTTAGCTCTTTAAAAGCCGGATCTTGATCGACTGCACCAGCGACATCAGCTAGAAGAGATTCCGTTGCGTGTTCAGGGTTCCAAGCGCTATGATCGAATTTGGTACTTGTTGCGTTGGGAGCAATGATGGCGTGAGGTAGGATAGGTTGGTTGACCGACTTTTCAATGGACGATCTTTCCCATTTGATCAACAATGTAAGTACAGTAGACTCAAATGTCCTGCGATATTGAGTTAGATTTTTTTTAAAAAAAAACAATTAGAACAGGCCGATAAAGATCCAAGAAAGGTATAACAGAGAGTAACAATACATTGGAGCGTTGAAGTGTGGACTTTGAGAACTTACTTTGCATTTCGCAAGACGAAGACAATCACATCCGAAAACGTGTATAGCAAACGTGGATAAAACTCTTTGACTGCGTACTGACGTTTTGTCTTTTCTAGCGAGTTCGCCCATTTGATTTTTTGACGTGTGCGATTTAATCCTCTGGAAATCTGTTGCAGTTTGGTATGCTCTCGGCGCATCTCTCTCCCTTTCCCCCTCTCTTCAGAAGTATGTGACGCCTTCTCACGATACCGAGCACTTATTGGAGTGTTTTCGCCGCCTTCTAAGCCTTCGCAGTCTACGAAAAGCATGGGATATTCTGATAGATATGTGGTTGTATCACTGTAAAGGTGAACATCACAAGACGTTGGTGTGTTGCTATTCGTCATTGACCCAACTACTGGTGACGGGAACGACCATTCATGCGAGCCGTGTATCCTTTCTTGTTGATCTATGAGAATTTTGATGAGAGTGCTCTTTCCAGCACCTGTTTGTCCAATAAAAGAGACGATCTGAGGATATCGGAGTTGGTACTCATCGGTATTGCTGTCATCAAAAATGGATCTGTTGTGATTGTCACGCACCAGCCCAAACCAAGTCGTATCTTCATCCTTGACATGCAGCATTTGCTGTTCATAGTAATCTTGGGGTGGGGCGAGGATCTCTTTTAGTCTTTGGACGATTGTTGGATTGGCCTTCTCATGGGGTAAGCCATCGGGGCCCTTCCGACCCAGCTTGTGTGGACCCAGCTTCCCCCAACAGTCATCGCAAAAGTTCATATCATAATAAAAAAAATTCCAGATAGGTTGTGTATGTACACTACAACTATCGCAGACTGTAGATGAAGACTTGTCGTCGTCTGATGCCTCTAGGTAGGTACCTGTTCCTTGAAGACGTTTAGCTCATGAGAAGTGCTGGTAGAGACTGAGCTATGATCTTGGCTAGACAGCCTAAAGATATCGGCTTTGGAGGTATGGTTAACGGGTATCTCATCTCCCTGCGAAAAGGGACGAGCCATATTCGGTCCATCCAGGATCCATTTCTGGTTCGAGGTAGACATCTTAGGTATTGGTGTAAAGAGTATAAGTCTGAGATGTATGCAAGTAGATAGACCATAGGAAACTCGCTAGAAAGCGTTGGCTTCGGTCGGTACTTAGCAGTGAGGATCAGGCTGAGCTGCAGCCTTCGGGCTGAATCTCAGCCTTGCAGCTGACCGCATGTGGTGGCAAACATATTCTGTGGTTTCTCAAACATGAAATACAGGCTGGCCAAGGCATCAGAATCAAACCAACTGATTGTTGCCTGCGTCTATAAGCTACTACTTGTGGTGGCTGTGTGCAGCCACTGTGGGTAAAGTTCGATGAGGGAAATGCACATCTTAGCTACAACAGGAGACTTACGACCGAAGTTTATGTGAGGAAGCCACCACCCCCAACGAAGAGATAAGCCGTTAATCATGAGACTAAATGAGACTTTGCAAAGAGATTGTACCTTGATTGAATAGCTTCTTCCTACAGAGGGGCGATAAAACTGCAGTTTCTTACGGCTGTATGCAGCCGCCAAGTGTTAGCCCTGACAAGAAAAGGGCATCTCTCAGCTACAATAAGAAAAATCGAGACTGGCCGCGGTCAAGGTTCCTTCGAGGAAGGATGGTTTTACATAAGGAGTGGTAGATGATGATAGGAAAGGCTGAGCAAATGGACCAGAAGTAAACGCATAGAAGGACAACTGGCCTTAGTTGTGCTTAAGTACACTTGCATGTGAGCTTAAGAGGCGCCGGACTCAGTCACCAATTTAGAGGGCTAGAGTAGATAATAGAATCAGATTGGAAGTCTGCCATGGGTATTAAGAGAGAAGCGAGCGAATTGTTAAGGAAAAGCACGCTGCGCTCTGATGCTGATAGTGGGCACATGTTGTTTCGTTTTGTGTGCGTAAAATGTCTAACGACTTGAAGTGTAGTCTATGTGGATATGTGGCAACGCGATAGCATTTGGTGTTCTTGAAATGATTTATCGACCTTTTCGTCCGTATCCTCTGCACACGTAGTAGCTTAAGCACTGCGTATCCGTTGTCAGCACAATGTCCCACCTTTTGATTGGCCGCAATCCAACTAGTAGTTTGCAGTAGACACGTCTCTTGAAGACTCCTTAGTGTCATTACGTATGGCTGCTTGAATCCGGTCCCCTTTCTTAAGGAATCTAAGAAAAGGTTGTGTTCGCTCAGTGTTTATCTTTAACAACCAGTTGCTACAGTTGGCTCCAGGTTGTTAAGTGCATTACTCATCATTAGCATCAAGCCAAAGGCCAAGTCTAATCCTCGCAATATGCATGGCGCTGTATCGAAAAGGAAAGTAGTATTCATAATTGGAACAGCTATATGCAGTCTGACGAAGATTCAGCTCTCCAATACCAATACTTGATGAGTGACTGCAGCCCACAGCCCATCATATAGCTCAAGATTACGATCGAATAGCACATTCAGATTGATAACTCGTAACACATTGCCGAAAATGAGCGCATTACCGTCTACACTCGTAGGTCTGCCACCTATATTGCTGTCGTCTTTTCTAAAGGGTCATGTTAGCGTTGTCTATACACACTTTGTCATGTGCGATTTGCTGCCTCTTTTTACTCTGCACTACCTGTCTTGCTTTTGGCATTTGGCATCTATACGTAGATCGGCCAACGTAAAGGACGTTAGGCTCGAGTTCATTGCTTCTAGTGAATCGATATATGGGAGTAGCAACCGTTGTTTTGTTGTTTCCATGCCACTGGATAGCTCTTTTGCTGCTATGTTAGCTGCAGCGGCTGCAATGCGCCTTGTCCGCGACCTATCACAGTCATTGAAAGTTTGGCCAAGAGACGCTACTGCTGCACGATCTTAGCAGTTGAACCGCCGTTCCTCGCATCAGATGCATCATGTGTATGCGCAATCCTGGTAGTGGGATCAGGCTGACGACTACTATCTAATGAGCCGAAGTCGGCGGGACAAGGCTGAGCAGGTCGTAACATGCCAATACTTGCGGACTCACGACGCAGCTGGCCAGAGGTGACACATGAACGAAAACAATAAGTAGAGAGGGCGATGCCGATGTTAGTAGTACCACGTACGTTTGGCAAGAATCATGGTTGCTTGTGTTGTACATAAGTGCGGGGGCTGAAGCGTGCTACAGCAACAAGAAACTTTACCCAAAGCAGCTAAGCCTGATGTCCGCAAGAGACTTAGTTAAATGGTACTTTTTTATCTCGGCATGCGGCTCTGCGAAGCCTGGCGTCTCACTGGCAATTTGGATGTGTTGTGTAATGAACGACCAGATGAGAAACATTCGACATACGCTGCCTCATTGAACCTGATCGGTATGTAATCTGAACCTGGTCCTGGTCTTCATTGCACAGAGCCTCATTTGAATACCCAGTGATCGGTTCACTCTGCCAAAGGTTGTCAGCCTGGTCTACTCAACGATGAAAGTGGGGCTTTGTACCATGATTGGATGCCTTCTATTACTAGGGTACTGCCCTCGTGGGACGGCATGTTCCTATGCGGCTCTGCTTCTTCAGACATGAAATGCGCTCGTGCGGCTCATCTGGTTTAAAGAATTGACCAGCTGCTCGCTACTCAACTAAACGACCGACAGATTTACACATTTTCCTCCAGTACACGATATCACAAACTTGAGCTCTACGTTTCCCCTGTTATATAAAAAAGCTCTATTCTAATTACCATCTTCTCTTGAACGCTTTTTACTATACACTTCGCGCGCGGTCTATGAATCCCACCTTGGACCAACTCCCCTTTGACATTCTGTTCTGCGTGACTGCTAACCTGAGTCTTGAAGACATCGTTCATCTCAGTCAGACATGTCACCAGCTGAGTGCCTTGATGAACGAAAGGACAGTTTGCAGAAGCATAATCGAAGTAAGCACTGCAGTGAGAAACGTCAGTGCTTACGATCAACGCTGACGCTGCTGGCAGATGGACTTTCCTTATACGGAAGAAGCAAAACTAGCACGGACAGAAAAAATGACATACAAGCAAGCTGTGGAAGCAATCTATGACAGAAGACATGCTTTGTCTACTGCATACCCATTCTCAGCACGCACTTGGGGCAATGGAAACGCATTTGTTTACGGACAGGGAATTCTATGCGTGCTTGAAAGCAAGACTGTACATCTCTCGGATCTACGCTCACAGTCGCATGATATTCATATCGATCTCACAGTAATTGCTGGACCGGTTCTAGGGCCACCTTTTCCAGTACCTAGGAATTTTGACGTGGACCTACTCAACTATGCTGACGGAATCCTTGCTGTTCATCTCAAAGAAGAGGATGATTCAAATGGTGGTCATATACTGGCTCTCAATATGGCGCGCAATTGTCCTGATGATAAAAGACTGATCCAAACCGTGCGGCTTCCTTCAAGCTCCAAGCTTTTTGTTAGACACACCGCCGACTTCCTCTACTATGGTACACATACAGGGAGAGGTAGCGATGGTCACCATAAATGGGAAGTTGGCGGTGTACATTTGAACAATAGCATCAAGATACAGGATGGCGCAAAGCGGTTGCTACTGGACAACTTCCATGGATCGGACATTGGCTCCACAGTCGCGTTCGAGATACACAATGGCTACTTCTACGCAGTCTCCAATCAAACCACCTTTGAGGTTGAAGAGATTGATTATACCTCTTTCTACCATGTTGCTCGCTTCCCACTCCATTCGCCATTGCCGGCCAGTGTCGAGAGGGACGAACGGCTGTATCGTCGCCAGCACAAACAAGGGCCCATTCACGACTCTTGGACCGACCTTACATTACAGAGCGATGAGAGCACAAACGAGATGGTGATTGTTGAGTCTAGGAGAGAATGGGCTGAAGCATCCTCGCGACAATCGCGTACATTTTACGTGACCCGTCTAGAGTTTGGAAGCAAAAATGACACAATGGACATTTCGGATGAACCATCACTACCGGAAGACGATATATATCTTCCGGTCATAGACTCATCCAACAGACCTCAATGGAAGCCCACGCCAGATCTCTTCAGCTGGAGCCAACATCCAGAATTTTGCGGCACTGATCCTGCGCCGCGCTCCTTTATGCTCGCCAGAACAAAGTTTAGAGCTTACAACTATGCATGCACTACTTTTATCGATCTAGTCGAAGATCAAGAATGCTGCAATGATGCCTCAAAGCCACCATGTCTGAGGCTGCGAGTAGGATCACGACGCGAAACAGGTCTTGACGATTATGCTACAGTCAACCGCAAGGGAAAGGCTGCGGCTGTGTATAGCACAAAACCAAAATTTGTGGACAATCAAACGCGCTATCAACAATCGCCTGTTCGCATGTGGCCGCCTCGAGCATCGCGTTGTCCTTGCTCGCAACAACTGCACAACATACTCAATCCAGCAATCCCCTCGAGTGGGGCATGGTACACGAGGAGCGTGACGGGTGTGCTTGATGAGCAACGTCTGGTATTCATGATCAAATCGGGACGGTCATATGGGCCGAGCGACAATAATATCCTGGGTACTGTAGTCATTGTAGATTTTGCCCGTCCGACCAAGAGCAGCAACAGCATAGACTCAGCACCTATGAAAAAGAGTGATAGTAAAATGGAGCACACCTCCAGCCTTGCATGGAAATGGCAGCCAGGGCTAAAACAGCTGTGCCAGGATAGAGAGTGCTACCAAACGGGCTATGGTGGGCTGGGGACTGCGAACGAGAGGGGCGCTCGGTTGAAGGGTTTTTGAAGTTCATATGGTGTGCCAACTACAAATACTACCATTCCCAAAGGCGCACTTTTGCCTTGTGGGATTTGCTGCAAGGCGTGCATGCATATGCGTATACATGCGTGTGGCAGTCGGATGCGGCTGAAGGCACAACAAGGCTACTGCACCATTCATAGGCCCCAGCCCGCTGTTCTCTGCTTCATATAACCAGGCAAGTTCATTGGGTCTCTGAATCACGATGTCAACATCTTACATATTCTTTAATAAAACAAAAGTAGTGAAGTTGCAATGTCATGGCTGACTCGTAAGGCGTTACTTAGCAACACGCAGGGCTCTGTTTAACGTGTTTGCAATGGTGGTAGTACTATTCCTTATCTACCTCGTACTATGACGCAAGCCCAGCCGCGTCACCATGAATGCATCGACGTATCAATGGCTGGTGGCCAAAACCAAGGTATAGGTACACGGCTCGACCGAGCCACAGCTAGGCGCCCACGATAGATTGATCAATGGCGGTTCGCGTGCTCGTGCGAAACACGGGCAGTCGGGGTCAATGTTGGAACTGGGACAAACGCCGTCACCTACGTCACTGCCCGCCCGCCTTGATAATACACAAAGCACGGCCTCGTCGATTTCACCACAACCCCTCCAGAATCTTTACTTTTACTTCCTGCATACACAACCTTGCTCTTAACAAATCCAACTAGCACTAGCTGCAGCTACAATGGAGACCATCACCAACCTTGCCTCGACTGCTACTACAGCAGCTTCCAAGCTCATCTACGGCGACCAGACGCAAAACAATGAGACTGCTGGAAAGGAGCCAATCTCGGGCGAGAAAGGCTCTGGAACCGCAATTGACCCCTACGACAAGGGCAATGCTGGTGAGCTAGACGAGCCTGCCTTCTCATCGTATATCACGTGCTGAACCTGCCTTGTAGCAACCCCCCTAGCCACAGCCGACAAGAACGACTATCTTGACTCGTCGAAAAATGAGACGGCCAGAAAGGAGCCTGTATCCGGATCATTGGGCAACGGTACTGTTAGCGAGCCGTTTGACCAGGGCAACGATGGTGAGTCTGCGACTTTGATGGGACGCCATATCTGTTGTTTCATGCAGTGCTGACTTCCTAAAGCCAAGGCGACTGAAAACGCAGCGGAGAAGACGTCTGGTTCGGATGCTTTCTTGAAGCTGGACCCCGTCCACCAAACCCAGGCTGAGACAAGCACCTCTGCCCCTACTGTCGACTCTGCTAGCAAGAACGACACTTCCAACGTCGGCATGCCCATTACCTCCCTCGCTCCTGATACTGCTGTATTGAGCAACAACCCCAAACCAAGCGCAACAGAGACCACTGGCATTACGGACAAGGTCTGGAAGGACACCCCGCTAGATGATATCAGCCGCTCAGGTGCTCCGGGAGCTGGCCCTACAGCACCCAGTCATGTCACTCCTGCAACTCCCGGTCTTGACGCGAACACAGCTACCACCATCTCTTCTGATGCTGCTATCAAGACTTCAGCCCCCGACTCAGTGACGGCTTCGTCCGGTCTTTACTCTGGTTCCGAGCCTCAGCGTTCAGAAACTGATGCTGGCCTCAACAAGACCGAGGCGGAGAAGGAAGCCGAGAAACGTGATACTCCAGCATGGACAAACACGGGCGTGACTTCGGATAGCAGCAAGTACGAAGAGGACGTTACCAAACAAAACGCCGCTTCTCCAAAGGAGTCCAAGAGTACGTTAACACAAAAGGCTATGCATATTCTGAGTGGCGCTGACGGTATGGCAGGCGTGGCGGAGACGGAGACAGGTCGCAAGTTGTCGTCTGATAGCCATGAGGAGAAGGGCGGCAAGATGTCGCACTTGAAGGAGAAGATGAAGAACAAGCTTCACATTGGCTCCAAGGACAAATAGACCCAGATGCTTCCGCTGCTCTACACTGCGAGGAGCTGGTAAAAGCAACATCTGTTTGATGAAGGACGAGATTTGATACCACGGCAATAACAGCCATACTTACGAAGAAGATTCTTGTAATGACCTTTCTTTAGATAGTAATCTAATGGATTAAGCTAAGTTGAGCTTCCTTGCGTGCATGGTCCAATCAATGCCACTGTCTAGCCTCGTGCCACCAACTAAAGCTAGCGGGCCGCCGGCAATATGACCGGCATGACTACATTCAACACTCCGCCTCATCACACGCCTCACTTGCCACTTGGGCACATCACATTGGCGCTGTATTGATAGCACGGACTGGACTGGACTGGGCTTCTATCACGCGGTGGTCTATCGTTGTGGTCTAACCCCACCTTCCCTTCTGAGCCCTGCATTTTCCGAGTAAGCAAACGGCCATGCGCCTAGTGTAGTGATCAGACAAGGACTACACTGTACCTTTTTCCAACCTCAAACCAATCTTCAAGGAGTACTCTCGAATTGGTCTCTCTCTCTAACTCTCTTGTTTTTTTTTACCTTGATACAGCACGCAACGTCAACATGGGCAATATCGGCAATGAGAACGCGGTCAGGCACGCTGACAGCATGAATGATAGGACAACACCCGAGGGTGAGACACGGATATCGAGAGATTTATCTAGCTCGCCACATTTACAAAGTTACATGGACGAACCAAACATGATTCGGAAAGCGGCGGGCAAGATCCCACATATTGGCATTGTTGGCGCCGGTGTTGCAGGGCTGAGATGTGCGGATATCCTGTTGAAGCAAGGTGTCAAGGTGACAATACTCGAGGGAAGAAATAGAGTTGGTGGACGGGTGAGTAGTCTTTGAAATCTTTTGAAAGATTTTGCGTGTTGAACAGTCTACAGTTGTGTCAAAGCGATGCGCTGGGTCACTTGGTCGATCTGTAAGCCTTGTTCACTCTTGATAACACGCTTTGAGCGAGAACATACGTACTAACAAGTTGAAAAGTGGCCCAAATTGGATACATGGCACAGACGACAATCCCATTCTTGATCTTGCCAAGGAAACAAAAACTGTGACTATGAACTGGGATGGTCGACAGTCGGTTTTTGACAGTTTAGGAAAGCACATGCCCGACAAAGAAGCAGCAGAAAATAGTGAGCATGTCTGGGGAATCATCGAGCAAGCAATGAAGTTTTCGAATCAAGAATCTGCAACGATACCGGCGGAGATGAGTTTGTACGACTACTTCCAGGAGCAAGTGGTAAAGATGTTTCCAGGCAATGATGAAGCGCCGAAGAAGAAGCAACGGGATATACTCGAGATGGCCGAAATGTGGGGTGCCTTTGTCGGCTCACCAATCCAAACGCAAAGTCTCAAGTTCTTCTGGCTGGAAGAATGCATCGACGGCGAAAACCTCTTTGTAGCATCAACATATGCCAAAGTCTTAGACAAGATTGCTGAACCCGCACTCAAAGGTGCTACCATGCTCTTCGAGCACAAAGTCAAATCGATTCTCTCCCACGAAACCAACAGCGAAACAACTGTCACCCTCGAACTCGAAGACAAGCAAAGTCTAACCTTTGACCAAGTAGTCATAACTACACCCCTCGGCTGGTTAAAAAGAAACACATCAGCTTTTACTCCCCCCTTACCACCCCGCTTCAACCTCGCAGTCCAAAACCTCGGATACGGCCATCTAGACAAAGTCTACATTACCTTTCCCACCGCCTTCTGGAACACTTCCTCCACCACCACTTCACCCCCCAACCCAACCAACCCTCCAGCCACCGCCTCTTCAGACTCCTCCATAAACCCCACCCACTACCCCGGCTTCACCCACTGGCTCAACCCAACTTACACCCCCAGCACAAACCCTTCAGCCTGGAACCAAGAAGCCGTCAATCTCGCCGCCCTACCATCAGAAACCGCACATCCAACCCTCCTCTTCTACATCCACGGTCCCACAAGCAAGCATATAGCGGGACTCCTCGCCTCGATCCCGAAAGAAAAGCATACAGATATTCTAATCGAGTTTTTCGCTCCGTACTACTCCCTTTTGCCAAACTACGAAAAAGATAGCAACGAGTGCCAGCCGAAAGCCGTGCTAGCTACGGTGTGGGCAAACGACGAGCTAGCGGGATGGGGTTCGTATTGTAATTTCCAGACTGGACTGCAGGCGGGAGATGAGGATGTCGAGGTATTGAGGCACGGGATGCCGGAACGCGGGGTGTGGGTTGCGGGGGAGCATTGTGCGCCGTTTGTGGCGTTGGGCACGGTGACGGGGGCGTATTGGAGTGGGGAAGGGGCCGCGAGGAGGGTGGGTGAGGTGTGGGGACTGGGTGGGACGACTAAGTAGACTTGGGGGCACCTTATCACACGTAGGTTATTAGGGTGGATATAGTAGCAGAAGAAGATGGCGATTTGCAAAGGGTGGATACAAAGACACAAACAAATTCAATTCACTGGCTTCCTCACTCGTTGCGCCATACAAGAAAGTCGTAACACTTTGTCCTAATCAGCGCATTTCTTTCTTCTTTCTATTGGTATCTTCGCCTCATTTCCCAAGACGAGCCACAGTAATCCTTGTTTAGTTCTTGTGCTCCAGTTACGGATTCGGTAGTATCGTCACCCCCGCCAGCAGGCGATCTAGTCGTCGCATCGTCGCATCCTCTGCTCATCGAGTGCCATTGGCGTCCAATGTAAACCTGACACCTGACCATGGACGGCGTTTTTCTACTCATCTTCCATGCCTTCAAGCAGTGTGTGTTCGAGCACATCGCTCAATGTGACGACTCCCTTGAGTTTGCTGTTCTCATCAATGACCACGAAGCGGTGCACGCGTGACCTGCGGATTGTGTCGTAGATCGTTGACATGTTGTCGTTCAGCGAGCAGGTGAAGATACCAGGGAAATCCTACAAAGATTAGCATAACACTTTTGTAAGCAAGCACAGCAGGATACTTACATCTGAACGCTTCAACAGAGCATCGCCGACCGTTAGGTTCAGGTCGTCATATACACCGCCCTTGATGAGCGCTATCACATCCACGGCTTCAAACACATTGAGCACAGTTCCTACTATTGTCAGCCATATATTCCTGAAAACACTTCAAGTCCTTACCTTGTTTGTCCAAGATAGGAACGCTCGATATGCTCTTCTTGACAAGCATGTGTATGACGTCCATGACAGGGGTATCCATGGATGCAGTTGCGAGATCGGTATACGTGCCAACATTCAGCTCCCTGAGCGGCTTGCGTAGCTTCTGCGTCTCCTTGACGTTCACTGCGATAAATTTCAATATGCGGTATTGTGTAATGACACTAACGACCATGGTCCTATGTGTCTCGTCATCGCTATCGACGATTGGTATACGCCGGGCGCGCGACTCGAGCATCTTACGACATGCTTCGTATACGGGACGGTCGGGGTGAATAGAAATGGTTTCTATGGGCTTGACACCGAGTGCCTTCTCGATGTCTGTCTGGCGTCAGTACATGCCTGATGTACGTGGACCGAGCTTTCTTACCGCGCAAGCTGTTCAGGCGGAACTGGTCTACTCGAGCCAGCGCGTCTGGATTCTGCCAGTAGTACTGGATGACGTTGATGTAGTCGGATGTCGTGAGAAGCCCGGCAAAAGTAGATGACTTGGAGTCCCACAGCGGCGCTGAGACTATGCCTGTGGAAAGCTCTCAGCTAATATATCTTGCACGCGGTGTCTGACAAACTCACCATTCTGGTTCAGGATATTCAGACTCTTCTTTACCAACAGGGCGGTATCGAACACGATCAGGCGGTAGCTGATAGGGAGCACGTCATAGCTCGTCCTCGCTTTGAGAAAAGCTCGAATGGTTCTCTGGCCTCGTGTCAGCCTGCCACCATGACTCTTCATTACACAAGCGTTGCCATACCAAGCCGTCCAGCTGCTCACGGTCAATGACCGAAAGCTGACGCGGTTGCTCTTTCGGGGGCAAGGGGGCGCGGGATTGCTGGAGTAAATCTCTCGGTGTCACAAAAGCCGGTCGCGCATCGCTGCCGAGGGCGTTGGTCGCTGAGTCCGCCGCGTCGTGGCCAGACATGGTTTATCGCGATGCTCCTCGGAGCCGCATGGGGCGTGTAACCCCAGTAGTGTTTGGTTCGAGGGGGAAGATACAGTGGGCACTAGGCTTATAAAGCCCGAGACTTTTGAAATGCCGTGGAAGATGGCGGAGGTAGACGCCCCATGATGCACGATCGTCACTAGCGTATCTTGCTCCTCCAAAGTCCATGCGCAAACATGCGGGGCAAACCAACGTCTATGAGTGCCACAGCACAAGTTTCAGACCCCAAATACATTGTCTCGACTTTTTGCTTGATTCAAGATCCAAAGCACCCAGTTCAGACGTGGCGCACACTCTAGGAAATGCATACAGACCAAGTACACAACATGCACAAGCATGCCTACAAACTATACATCACTTCCTCATCATTGCTATGCGCCTCTCCACTCGCATATGAGGCGCCTCCCCCACCCCTTGAACTATGAATTACATGCAGTGGACCCTTTCTCATCCTAACTATACATCGTTTTTCCTCGCGGCTTTGGCGGCTTCGAGACTCAGCTCAGGGCCAGGCTCAGCCTCGGTTTCCTCCATGATAATCTCCTTTGCCGCATGCTCGACCGATGTCTCTGGCTCGCCAATCGACTTTCTTGCCTGCGCTACAATTGAGTCTGCTTCAGTGATACCGCCCTTGATAGCTGCCTGCTCTTGGTCTAAACTTGTCGTGGCCTCGTTCTTGCGCTGGCGGAGGGCTTTGTTGTCGAACCGCACAACCATACACGACAGGTTGTCAGTGGAGAAGCGGGCAAGAGCATAATCGACGAGCTTCTTTGAGGCTTCTTGAGGATCATGGATTTGACGTATGAGATCGACGGCTTCTTGGTCGGAACAGACGTCCCAGAGCTGTACGTGTTAGTGAGTATAAATTCTTCACATGAACATGACTTACACCATCGCAAGCGAGGATAAGGAATTCGTCCTGGTCGGCCTGGATGACTGTCTCTGTGGTGTAAGGGTGTCCAGTCACCAGGTCTTTCATGTATGCATCGCCCAGCGCACGAGTGACAGCGAGGACGCCATTGACGCGGTTGTTGAGGATCAAACCACCAGCGCTAGCAACTCGACGTCCTTCGTTCTCGTCACTGCCCTTGTGGTCATATGAAAGGCGAAGAGCTCGGCCATTCCGGCAAAGGACAATGCGCGCGTCGCCCACGTTCGCCGTGTACAATACGCGTTGCCGAGTAGCCTCACTTCGTAGTTTTGCTTCCACTTGTTCAGCTGCAGGCTCAGAGGTAACGGCGTCGGCACCGTCCTTGGACTCGCCGCCTTCACCAGCTTGCTTGATAGCTGACACTGCCGCTGGTGCAAAGAGGACGGAACCGGTGGACGATTGTGCGTTGGGCACCCGATCCTCCCATCGCAAAACTGCAATCACAGCAGTGCAACCACTATTCTTCAAAGGAAGCTTCTCCAGCTGCTGGTCGACTACGGTAAAGGTCTGGTCAAGAAGTTCGGGTATCGGTGTGTTGGGATTCTTTCGAATCGTCTCTTCCAGGATCAGGTGAAGCTTCTTCCCACACCAGTCGGCGGCAAAAGTACCAGCATGGCCGTCGAAGATGGCAAAGTAGCCATTATCGCTCTCGACCACAGCCTGCGGTAGATCAGACTGGGCCGAGCTCGCATCCGAGACAGCGCGGGGCTTGTCCGTGCCATACGAGGGGGCCGGAGTGCTGAGGAAGTTGTATAGGTATGCATGTGTATCCTCCATAGTCCGTCTGCACTTCTTGTTCTTGTCCTCGGTGACACCGACGCGGAACGTGGACCGTGGACCCGGTGCGGACTCGCCGGCAGAGTTGTTGAGCGAGCCCTGGGGCACGCTGAGAGCAGCGTCCGACTTGCCCAGCTTCTGCATTGGAGTTTGGGTAGCTGACTTCTCCGACATGTGGGCGGTGTTGGCAGACGAGGTTGAGGTGGGGGAGGAGCCGCCAATGTGCAACGATTGCTTCGCGCTCGAGAACATGTCGCGGGCACGCGATACGCCACTGCTCCTTCGTTTCCGCTCGGGTGGAGCAGCAGAGTCGCTGCCCTTGCGATCAGCAGTGGCACCATTGCTCGCGCCGTGTGTGCCAGAGGCGGCGTTGTCGGCCGTCGAAGCAGCCGCCGGCCTGGGCGCGTCGTTGTTTGCAGGGGCATCGATGGCGGCGCCTTCGTCGTCTTTTGCATTCCCGAACATCTTCGAGAGCAAGCCGCCCTGGGCGCTCCGGCGCCTGTTGCCAGCCAGCTTGAGTGATTGCGACGGCGCTTGTTTACCGGGTGGCGGCAACGAGGATGGGTGCGGGTGGAGAAAGGGGAGGGCGGGGGTGTGTTAGGAGCTGAGATAAGCGAGGCTTGAGAAGCAGCAATAAGTTTTGAGCAAAAGGATGTCTGGACAAACGCAAGGGGGGTGGCGGTGTTGGGAGGAAGATGGGGCCTAGGTGTGATGACGTCGGGGGGCTACGGCGGGGTGTGCAAGTGTGCGAAGCGGCGAGTGCAAGTTCCAATTGGCGCGGAGGGGAAGGCTGGACGCTTGACGCTCGATGCCAGGAAAGATGACAGCAGGTGGGCAGGTTCCAAGGTTGAAGTTGGGGCAACGCGGGCAGCAGGAATGGTCGTCTTGTGCAGCTCAGCATGTATCATGTACGTACGTATGTAGTAAGCAGTGCGCGCCGGGGCTACCTCGACCTATCTAGTATGTAATACCACGGACGCATATAAATCCATCTACTAAATACACCCTCCCATGCTCCCGCTCCCTGGCCACGTGCCAGGCTTCTCGAATGCAGTCAGACCCCACCCGCCTGCTGTGTAATGAAGTCGGCGAGCTCCTCGGCCAAAATACTCGTCTTGTGACTTGTCTTCTCCTGTTGCTGCCACGACGCCAACCGGCCGAATAAAGACATCATCCGTTCCAGCGTGATGGCTATCGGGCTACGATCAGCGAGATCTAGGCTCCATGCATGCACGCCGGCGCCTGGGTGGAGCCCGCTGCGACACGCACTAAACTCCTTCTTGTTCGCGCTTACTATATGTGGCCTTGAGGACATTGCAGTCATACATCTTATATATGCCTCTTCAACACTTCGCTGTCGATCCGTCAAACCAACTCCGACTCTCCGTCAGAAGCAAGCATAACAATTTGCTTTGCATGCCCCCCAGACACCTCACCTCGGTCGGACAAACCACGGATATAAGCTTCAAACTCCTCCATGCCCATGGCGGCCTCTTCATTATCATGACAAAACAGCTGCGCCGATATCTTGTCTAAGGCATCGACTGTTATCCGTCCAGCAGCCCTCTGAATTTCAAGGCCCATGATAAGTCGCGCTTTACAGATGAGACTGGGCTGTGAGCTACTACAGGGCAGGGCACATGGCGCATCTGAAGCTGAAATTTCGCCATATAACCTTAGAAGCTTGGTCTGGTACTCTGCATCCCCTTTATGACTCCATTAATCAGAGCCTGGATATCATCTTCTTCTTCCGATGCCAGGCCAAGTTTGATTGGATTTTCCTAAGCGAGAGACGTGCCAAGCTTCAAGGACTCGTCATCACACACTATGCTTCCCAGAATTGTTATTTGGTTTCGTTTTTGACTCTCGAGGGAATGGCGGATATGAATCTTGGTGGGTATCATCGGTGTCATGTGTACAGCAGTGGCTGGAATAGCTTCTTCTAGCACATTGTTACTTTCTGTGCTCTGGAGACTGCAGGTGTCGTCTTCATACGCAGCGATTATGGACATGTCATACGGCTCCGATGCATGCACATTGCCTACGATCAAAGTAGAAGACAATACTACATCTTTTGGCTCGTCTCTCAGCAGCTGTCTTCTTATCAGTACTCAATCAGGGTCGAATTATCTCATCAAGGCCACTTACGACAGCTACCCTTTCTTCACCAACATGTGATTCGGGTACCTTGTCTGAGGTACATTCAACTCGCCTCAAGCATCTGCACCCCTCGCAATGATATCCGGCATCTACAAGGTCTAATCTCACAATCGCCTCTGGAACATGACATGTTTTGCAGAATCTGTTGTGGGACTTGTGCTTGCATAGTTCAATAGCGTTATTGTCGATTTTAGGCCAAAATCTTGCCTTGATTATAGACTTGATACGGCAGTATAGACCGTGTTTCTTCATCTGCATGGCGGCGGTGAAAAATCATGCTGGAGCAGACACTTGTGGCATCATATCCTCGGGCTTCAATATAAACACCTCTTGGGTGATTTTCATTCGAACGGGTATCCTTTTGTTTACATGCCATTGTTTCCTTGTGTTCCAAAGGTCGATGCCTTTATTACAATCCTCCGCTTGTTTCGAGGCCGACTAAATCCCGTACAATGTCTTTGTCTTCATGATGCGTATCAACGCCTTACTTTTTTACTCCAAATCCCGCAATGGGCCATTTTTGCTCTTCTCTCGCTCCTAGTGGCGCATTTGTGTCGCCAAAATCATGTCCTTGGCCTACAGTCGTCGCTTCCTCTTAAAAATCACATGATTCAGCAAGTAGTTGCGCCAGCTCCTCCAGCGCCTCTTGATCCTGTGTCGTAAATCCATTGAGCTCCGCACAATCAATGTCGATAATCGCTACCACCTGTTTCACTATTTTAGCATCTATGTGTCTTGTCGATTCCTAGCCATAACACCGATACGAATACCAGAATGGAAGCAGGTAAACAAACAAAGCGTCACATACCTTCCCGTCCTTGACAATCGGAACAACAATCTCACTCCGGCTCGCCCCATCACACGCAATATGTCCTGGGAACTTTTCCACATCGTCTACCAATTGCGTCTTCGCTTCTTTAGCAGCCTTCCCGCAGACGCCGCGCCCAAAGGCAATAACCTGACATGCTACCTGCCCTTGGAAAGGACCAAGCAGCAAATGGGAAGGATTTGACCGGTCGGTGAAGTAGAAGCCTGCCCAATTAACGGCTGAGGAAGGAGCTGGTAGCGAGTGGTAAGCATGCCAGAGGAGGGAAGCTGCGTTTGAAAAGTTGCTGTTGGAAACCACACGTCAGACTTTTTCTCTTTCCATCTAAACAGCCCATTTCATCCCACAAAACGCAATGGAGTAACTCACCAGACCTAGATTTCATGTCAGCATGTCATCCAAAGGTTAACAAAATCTACGACTCGGTCCGCCGCTCATAATGTCGTCTCGCAAACACGTACCCAATTCCTTTGCCCATCAAACAGCGCCCTCGCTTGCTCCAAAACCTGTCCATACACCTCCTTCTTGCTCATGCCATGGGCAAACGTAGATGAGTCGGCGTGCACCTAATACCGCTCTTCTATTAGCAAGCCCCCCAAGCCTCAACAACTTGGCAGAACCAAAAACATACCATACTGTTGTATGATCTAGTTGCAGAAGACGTTCCAGTTGTTCGTCACCATGCACACACAAATGGTTTTGTCTTGACTTGCGATCGCCGAGGCTTGCCGGACGAAATAAAACCCACAATTCAGCAAAAGACAATCAAGGAACTCCCAGTCTCTTATTTTTGGAAAGAAAATCACCGCTGTGAATTATGTTGATTTCAAAGCAAGTGTTTACTTGATTAGCGAGACGCGCCAAACTCAATTAATGTTTCTTTTTAGGGACGACGTTTGCATGACTGGGTTGTTTCGTTTTTGGGCGAGATTAGATGTTGTCGCTGAACTGGGTTTAGACTACAAAACTTGCGATCGCGTCATCGTTTGGTTCATGCGAATCCCTACACTTGGGCTCCCACCTTTTTTGAAGTGCGAAGAGATGGTTGGTGGGCTGAGGGAAAAGACATATCCTTGGTTGGAAGTGGTGTATGGAGAACAATGCATGCGTGTCGCGTACACGAGCGCAACTGTAATGTCTTTCGTTCTTGCAGTTGGTACGTAGCAACTACGAAGTCGGCGTTACATGGTAGTATCTCCAAGGTGCATGTATATCGCATCACTAAATAGAATGCAACAACAAGTACAATCAACTCTATGCCCGCACCTTTATATACATAGCGCTGCAAATGAGAAGATTCACTAGTGCGGTTCATACATAGTCCAGCTTCTTAGACTTTTATTACGTATCTCCATAGAGCGTGCGTAAGGGAGCGCGAAAATGCCCATTTCTATCGGTGCGGTAGTGCCAAGCTTGAGATATCGATAACATCACGTGGGCTCTCTCGAACAATTTGACCAAGTCAACGTACAATACACAACATATGAGGATTTTATCGATTTAATTCCATTAAAATGATACATACGACCATCGGACAAATAGAATTAGGCATCCCGTCCGATCTGCCCTATACAAGCTTTGTACCGGCGGATTAGTAGTTAGGTGGGTGACCACTAGCGAATCCCCGCTGTCGTATGTTTTTGCAGCTATTTGTAGTATTTTTTGAGTGATTTGGAAAAAGTCACGTGGATAGATCTTGGCTTGGATAGTCTACTTCTATCTGAATTGACATCCTCCTTCCCTTCAACTTGAACCAGAGACCCATGACTCCTCACAAATTCCCTACCTCTGATTTTTCCTTGCGTATCTCTACACAATGTGCATCCCGTATGAACGAGAAATACGTCTTACTAAGATGAATATATTGTATTATATAACTTTCTACTTTCCTGTGTGACTGAGTTTGGATTGCGTAGTCTAGCATGTTAGCCATCTATGTTCTACCGGTATCACGATAGGAGCGTGAGCTATCGTGAGAGGGATTTGCTTTAGCTTGCCATCCAGCAAAGGTGTGCATGACCAACAGCCATTTTCGGCAGCACCTCCAAGATGATTGGCCATGAATTCAACGTCCCATTTGTAAGAATCAGGAAGCTGATCTTGAACTTCTCTCCAATGAGAAGGTAGTTTTTCTGCCATTTCCGCCAATACGTGTCGTACTGTAGGCTTGTTCACAACTTCTGTGGCAGGAAGACAACCACAGGCGATCTCGGCAACCGACTGGCTATATAACCCATCGTCATTTTGTTCGCTGAGCAACTGATCTTGGTCTTCCACAGGTGAGACGAGGGCTTGGGAATTCGCATCGAGTGAAAGTCGAAGGTCGACTTCGATATTTTGCTTGCTCACATTTAGCGCGCTTGGTCCACCTTGTTTAATATAGCAGGGACTAACATCATAGTTACCCTGAGATCGCGCCCATAAGAGATGAGGAGATGCCTCCACGATGTCCCAAAGCAGGTCTGAAAATGTCTCAAAGTCTTCCTCGTGCACATCTCCGAACTTGTTTATATCAAAATGGGTCCGCGATACCGAGACCTTGTATATCGACTCAGACAGGTCTAGACACCCAGCGTGCTCGCTGACAATAAATCTCTACACTTGTTTTTAGCATGGGCACTGTGTGCAGTGTCTATCAAACTCACAGTCGGATCCTGCTTGTCTACAACCTTCCCCACATTACTTAACTCAAGCTCAAAAAAGCACACAACCCGAGTCCTATTTGTCCGGCCCCGCATCGTCACTAGAAATCTGTTGACTAAGTCTTCTATATAGGCATTGCCTGACCGTAGCACCTCAAGAGCGACAGGCTGCACCTGGTTGTCGTGGTACTTACGCCGCGCTGCATCGAGGATCTCCATCTGGCTCATCCCCTCGGCACTTCGAAACGGCGTGCCGAAGAAGATCAAACCAGTAGTCGAAGAGAACAGTCCAGGCCATGCTTCTAGATACTGTTCGGCTTCTAGGAGTGCCTATGGAAACATTTAGCGATAGCTGCGTCATTTCTATTCCGTCTATCCGTCTTCTTACCTTAAGCACAATCAGTCCGCCAAAGCAGTGCGCTACAAACACCAGCGGACGGAATGGAGTATTCTGGCAAAGTCAGCGGATACACGACGCCTACTAAACACGTGCTGGCACCTTTCTTTGTTGCTTCAACGCTCTTAGTAACTGCTCGGCCACGATAGACATGCCAAGCTGCATTTTTATACGATCGAACCACTGCGATGTATACCCGTACCGCATAATGCGCGCATTTGGCGCTACTGCTGGCAGCATATCATCTTCGATAAGCCAGTTGCGCCATTGTGGCGCTTCAGCCGTACCGACATTCTTACACCAGCTCTTATCGGGATGGGCGCCGAGACCGTGGATTGCAACAATACTAGCCGGCCTGTAAGTTGTGGGTACACTGAAATTATAGGAAAACGCACTCGATGCTCTGCACTTCTGTTGGTGCTTCGCGGAGCACCCTCAGGCACTCGTCTTTGCTACTGAGCCTAGCCATGCGTTAACCTCACCACGCGCTCATCCCATACTACGTCTCACTATTGATAAACCAGCGACTTCTATCCCTGACATTGTCAGATAATGGGTTGGGGGCGACAGTAATTGGTAAACGAGAGGAGGGGAGAGGAGAGGAGAGCCAGACTGAGAAAGATCGACGCAGCGAGGCAAACAGCCAGGCTGAAATGCGAAGCTGAGAAGAGGCTGAGCGTCATGAGGGTTGGCTGTCGTAGCGATGCGCACCACCCTCACCTGCATTGAGCTTGCTGGCTTGCACTAAATTGTGTGGCAGCAAGCCATTCCAGTTGCAAGCCATAACTAAATAGCCAGCCTGCACCATTAGTAAAATCTTAAGCAGCGCCGCAGCGCTATCTAACTAGGCAAAGCGCGGTATATAAAATATATGGCTTTAATTGTTTGCATCTGTTTGGCGTATGGCGTACCTGCCACGATACTCTGAACCATAGACCCAGGTAGGGCCAACCCTGGAAGATCCACCGGGTACCCCTCAGGCCAATAAAGCCACAGTCACGTGCATAGAATTTATAGTCCCATCTAAACCTTGAGTAACCACTCAAGGATTCGTCTCAATTCACTCTAACTGATATATTTTGTGCCTCTCTGCGAAACACTTCACATCTGCACTATCTGTAGAATCTTAAGCAACGCTGCAGCGCTAGCTAACTAGGCCTAGTGCGGTATATAAGATATATGACTTCTATTCTTCTTTGAATTTATCTTAGGAAGGTAGGTTTCTTGGTTGTGCGGGATCGAACGCTACTCCAACATCTTCCCTTAACTAACTGGTCGGAGAATATATTCCCACCCACACAAATACTATCGCATCCCCTTCCCAACCAACATGAAACAAGAGATCCAAGTACAAAAGAGGTATAGTTATATATATATGTTGCACCACACTAATGGGGGAATGCCTAATAGACATATATATACATATAACTATATAACTATTGTTAAACTATTTTAGGGTTTAAAAGTAAGGGTCTCCACATCCTACACACATATCCACTTTGAACCACCCTAAAAAAAAATTCGCCGAAGACACTAACCGTCCCACAAATAAGAAAAGAGAATATATTCTGTTCATCGGTTTCCAAGCTCACATGAAGCAGGAATTCCAGGTGCAATATGGATACATGTACAACATACCACACAAGATAGCTTCATGACAATCAGGTCGGTTGGCGCAATGGTAGCGCGTGGCCCTCCTATGCCAGCATCTACATAAAGCAGAGCAAAGCAAAGTAAAGGCCAAGGTTGCGGGTTCGAGTCCCGTGCTGATCGGACATGAGACGGTTACATTGTGTATTCTTGATTGTACTTGAGATAGGTGGACGTGATGGAGAACATAGATTTTTTTGGAAGTGGATAGACATGTCACGTGCGCTCTTCCTGAACATCATGAGAAGACTTGGCTGGGATATGAAATATTCTTCACATCACTCATCGATCACATCAAACTCAGGAATCAATATGTTGTTTTGAAAAAGAAGTCTGGAATTACGCTCATCATGAAACTCATACACGTCATGAACATATCCGCAGCTAAATAAAGCGCGAAAAGGGACAAGACTACTAGTAAAGCCAGGCACAAACTCCACCCCCCACCATCGGTGACGAGACAGTAGAAAAAAAGTGAAAAAAAGAATAACAAGAAAAGAATAAATCGACGCACTCCATGCGCCGGCCCCGACTAAGTACCAAGCAGAGATATCCCAAAAGGCCAATATGCTCACATTGGCAATCCCAAAAACGCCGGACCCCTATAATATGTATAAAGACATTTGTAGCGCCAAAAGCCAGGCACGCATGCTGGATAGACGAGGACTTGACTTGGACAGGAGAAAATCGAAGCTAGCACAATCGTAATAAGTGTAGTGTCCTGTGGCGCCATGCTGGAACTCCGTTGCGATGGAGATGGAGACTAAGAAGTGGAAAATCCAGAAACGTTCATCATGCTTTGGTTCGTGATATGGCGTTGCCAACGCTGCCAACGCGGCCGCTGGTTTTTCGTACACCAGCCTTTCCGTCGGTGCTTCGCCGTGAAGGGCTCGATCGCACCTTGGTCATGCTGATGCTGCCATTGCCGCTCTTCTCCTTTGGTGTCTTTGGCCGCGCGCCGGTTGGTGCGGTGTTCTCGAGATCGCTCTCTTCGCCGTAGCCAAAAGATGTGTGCGTTACCGAAGTCTGGATGACAGACGTGGTGCTGAAAGCACGGCGTTGCTTATCCTTGAGGGTGGGCGAACGCTGGGGCGAACGCGACGATGTCCGTCGCGCAATCTGGCGAAGGTGGAACTCCTCGTCTGACTCGCCGTCGAAGCGGGTAATGTCGGCCCTCACTTCTGTGTGCGACTTTGTGAATGGCTCGTTCTCGTCAATGCGCTGGGGCGATTGTCGCGATCCGTTGCCGTAAAGCTTGCTAGTCTTTCGCGGCTGGCCAGGTGTCGGCGCAGGCAGGTTGTCGTCTAATACACCAATGTGTCCTGAATTGCTGCGCTCGTTCGACTCAATCTCGCCCAGAGCTGCGCGCTTCTGCGATCCGTTGGGGGGAGTGAATGTTTGTCCGTTGCTAGCAAGGCGCTGCTTGTGCGATGACTTTGTGGGTGTGGAAGGTACCATCTGAGCATACTTGGCCTTCATGGTGTCCTCGTACCACCACTCGCGGAAAGTGCCCTGGTTCAGGTGCAGCCAGTGCTGTTGAGGGCCTACGACCATTCCTGGGCGCATAAATCGCATGTAAGCGATGATCTCGTTGGCAGTAAAGCCGTGCTTGTAGATGAGGTATGCACCAATGAGACAGCCAGTTCGTCCAAGACCAGCTTTGCAGTGAACGGCGATGCCTCGCTTTTGTACAGTGATCATCTCGTGTGCAAGGTTGACAAACTTGCGAACAAGGGACAGGGGCGGACATGTTCCATCGTCAAAGATCATGTTCAGGTGCTGAATGCCCAGCTTGGTGAAGTACGAGGACGAGTACAGCTCCGAGTTTAACCGAACGACGAGGCCGACGTTGCGCGCGCAGAAATGTGAGAGTACGTTCTTGAAAGGACTAGGAAGGTCGGATCTTTGGATCTCGGCAATGTTGGAAGGAAGCGTCGCATACATGGGCGAGGAAGCGGGGATCTCGTGTGTGGGCTTTTGTTGTGGCGAGGCAAAGGCAAGGAAGTCGGGGGTGATCCAGTTGAAATCTCCCATGTCTACGCGCTCGTACTTTTCGTATCTGACAAAGTTAGCAGCTGTAATAAGAAGCAACAAGCGCACACGTACTCCTCCAGACTGAAGTCCTTGAGTCCGCAGAGGCCTTCTTCCTTGGCTTTCCATACACCGTAGATGACATCCTGGATGTTGAGCACATAGTCGGCCTGGCTGTAGCCGGCGTCGCGGAAGGGCATGCAGGGAGGATCCATTTGTGCGATAGGGGCGAGGGCCAGGTGAGGAGGCCATGACTGGATAAGCACCATGTAGCATGCCAGGATACAAGCAGCGTTTGCGCGACCTAGGCATGTTAATTGGTGCGTAAAAGCGGCAGAGATGGAGTGTTCTTACTCCTCGAGTCGGCGTTGCTCCAGAAGACGACTGCGCGGTCCTCGTTGGCGGGGTCGCCTAGGACCTCGTGCAGCTGTACGGCGAAGCGGTAGAGGTGACCAATGTGAAGTGGGCCAAAGTCACCGTGGAAAGCATTGTACAGGAGCGTCTTGTCAATGCTAAAGTAGACGGGCGGGAGCACCTTGTGTGCTGGAGCTGTAGGGCCGCCATGGGCGCGCGACGACCGCTTGGAAGGCGACTGGGACTGCTTGGGATAAGGGAACGGAGTAGACGCATCCGGAGCATACGTATACGAGGCCAGGTAGAGACGGTCTTGGATGTACTAAGGGGCGCGGGGATCAGTATTTGGTCCAATGGCGCATTGTTTTGGTGCTCACCTCGATGACCTGGCCGTAGCTGGTTGTGGACGCGCGAGGCATTTTGGAAGTCCGTTCGCGGTGCGAAGACATGAACAGGAAGGGGCGACTCTCAAAGTGCTTGCCTGTTACAGCGGAAGGAAGCGACGATGGGCTACTGCGCACGAAGATAGCGGAGCGTCACGAGAGGCCGACTTGGGACGAGAGCAGCAGACTCGGTGGCGCGGCGCAGCGGAGGCGGGCGGAGAGCTGGTGGTGAAGGAGAGGCGGGCGGCGAGATGGCGAGAAGGCCGTCTGCTGTTCCTGCTGCGGTCTGGGTTAAGGAATAATGGTAGAGATGGCCGTGGTGCGGGAGTGATTGCAAGTTTAAGCACATGTCGGTGTTGTTGTTGTTTACAGCCGCACGGACGGCGGCACTAGCTCCGCTCCATGGTTTCGGCACACCCGCCAACAGCATCACAACAACTCTGGGCCATGTGGCCCGAGCGCCATGACAACAAGGCACGAGCGGGCGCCCTCCCCTACTGCCCATCTGCCGCACTGCCCGTTGTTATGCTCCTGCAACATGCACCGCTGAGCTGGCCGCTTGTAGCCCCTCTCTGCTCGGCCTGGACTGCTCTCGTCTCTAAGGAAACCAACGCTGTCGGCCTTCTCCCTGCAGCTGTCGTTCCTCCTACATGACCTCACAGGGTCCAGTGCCACCGCCCATGTCCATCTGCATCTCCATCATACCGCCATTGCTGCCACTCGGCTGCCATGGTAATGCTGCCGCCAGCCACACGAACACGCAGGTCCGCCCATGTGGCTTCGCCCTGACTGCCATGGCTGCAGTTGTCCTGCAGGGGAACTGATGTTGTGTTGTGCGGTATGGTGTGGGTAGACATGTAGTAGTGTATACAATACGTACATGCCTCCCACGGTATCGATAAGACGCTTATTGGCCATCGCCAAACATGCACCTTGTAAAACATAACATCACCTGACGACTGCAACTAAACTTCCCCCACACCCTCATCAAAACAACATCCATCCATCCATACATCCATACATCTACAGAACCATCCTGTGGAAATGATACGCAGAGGCAGAACCGAGGGATGGCTCAAACAGCCCATTGATGCATTGCCTACCTGGGCCACTTTTCATGGCGTCACCTTCAATAAGGTCAAAATTGGTCCCCTGCCTGGCCATGAGGACAGAGGTTCAACCGTCATCGCCGACCAGAACCTCCAAGGCAGCAATGTCGACCCTCTCATCGTAGTGCCCAAAGAATTGATCATCTCTCGTCAAAATATACATCTCCTTGCAAAGTCGGATCATCGTCTACATGATCTTCTTGAAGCCCTTGGAGACTTCGGAAGGGTGCGTGATAGGCTCTAGCAATAGAGTGCCCACAATAGTAACACTTTGCAGACAACAAGAGGCGCCGTGCTCTCATTCCTGCTCCTCCAAGCTACCATCTGTTGCCCAGACACAAAGGAGGTGGGTCTGCTGAACCCTCTAACGCAGTATATCAAGTTTCTCCCAGATGAGCTTCTTCCCACTTTTTGGACAGAAGAGGAGCGGGAGCTTCTGGTCGGAACTACTCTCAAGCCTGCTGTCAGTGCAAAGCTCAACAGTCTACTGCGCGAGTTCGAGAACCTGCGGACCGCTACAGAATCCATCCCATGGTGCAATAAGTTTTGGTGGGACGAAGAAGACGGCATGCTCACCTTTGATGATTGGATGCGAGTCGATGCCATGTACAGGTCCAGAGCCTTGGAATTTCCAGGTGCTGGCGATTGCATGATGCCATGCGTTGACATGGCCAATCACGCATCGGGTAATGCCACAGCCGCCTTATATGAAACAGATAGCAACGGAAATGGCTTGCTCCTGCTTCGAGAGGGCCAAAACATTGAACAAGGGGGCGAAGTAACAATCACGTATGTCGCCAAGGACGGACCAAAACAATGCGCTGACAAACGTAGGTATGGTGACAACAAAGGCGCGTGCGAAAACATCTTTTCATATGGATTTCTCGAAGATGGCATGACCTCTGCAAAAGTCATGTTCCTGGATCTTGACATTCCAGACGATGATCCTCTCAGACCTGCAAAAATCTATGTTTCAACAGAAGCGCCAGGATTCCGCATCTTCGAAAAAGACGGCGAGATAGATTGGGAGGGCGACTTCATATGGCTTGTTGTAGTCAATGAGGAAGATGGATTAGACTTCAAGGTCAGGCAAACCACTGATGGCAAGAAAAGTATCCAGGGTTTTTGGAGAGAGAGTGAGCTGGATACCTCTAAGCTACGTAAACATCTTGAAGAGGACGCAACTTGGGACGTTTTCCAGCTGCGTGCGACAGTCCTCTTGCAAGCCCGCATTGATACGCAGATCGAGGCGCTCAGGGGTGCTCAAGGCATCAAGCGCGAGGACACTATTCGCGAATTACCATGGAAACTAGCAGAGCGGCTCCGAAGCTTAGAGCTGAACATGCTCCAACGTGCCACATCCCTCTTTGACAAACAGGTGAGAACCATCCCTTCCTCTCTCCTACGTTTCAAAATGGTTACATAGTTTCATTGTTCAGCGGTAGGATACAATCCTCACCGCCTGGGTTGCCAAGTGCATGTTGGTGCAGGTCGGCAACGTGCGCTTGATCGACCACACGTGCAGAACGCGTTCCTGCAGCTGCCACGTGCAACCAGGAACAGACACTGACGTTGACTACAGAAAGCAAGATTGTTAGACTCACCCACTGTCATACATTATCTAGGTATGGATGAACAGGAGGAAGAAGTTGATTTTTCTTGAGGACGCATCCATCGATCCAATCCTACCTGCCTTCTAATAGGCACGGCGATATTAGTGACGGATCATCCGGAAGCAAGCGCATCCACCATAAAACATACTACGAAGTAGTGATTCTCTGCCGTGCACATCGCGTCGCTCACTCATATGATAATGCACTTTCTCCTACGGCTGGCGCACAGGTATTTAATATTTAATACTAGAGTATAGCTTCAGCAGTCATGATGAGTTGTAGTGTGTATACTGTGTAGGTAATACGATCACGCCACGTCGTACGTTCCACAGAGATCAGCTACCCAATACCAATGAACGGTATGCAAGATGTCTTTTCTGCAAAGCTAAGAAGGGTGATCCTCGTGGCTTGAGTGGGATCAACAGCTTGTCACGTTGTGTACTAAGCAGCATTCTTCTAGAACAATATCAGGGTGGCTCAGGATTGCGCTGGTTTGCTTGGGTAAATTCAAAAATCCCGTAGCAAGGGTGGCACGCACATGGAGTAGATTTCGAGTACATACTCCTACAGTAGTGTATATGAATACGAGCAGCAAATGAGACGTGGTTCTTAGCGAAAAGGCCTCTGGTACTATACCCTCCATGAAGATGACTCGTGGGTAGACTCCAATAACCACAGTTCTACGCAGGTCTAGCGTATCACCAGGCAGGCGAGGGGAGTAAGGCCCAACAGGAGCACTGTGGCTGACGTCTTTCCTGCTGTTTCGTCAAACCAACACTCCGTGGAGGATCAAAGGGCCGATCATCACACGCGATGAGGATCACACGCGATGAGGGACGCCGAGAACGGCCGTCAAGCAGCAGTCAGCCCCCGCATGCTGATCGCAGCCAGTCATGATTAAGGTTTGGTGGCTAGTGATGAGCGAAAATGTATCGGCAACGACGCCTGCTGCTCGTCTGTGGCCTGATGGGATTGGGATGGCGCCTTTCCGCCCCCGCAGCCACCCACAAATTCCCCAGGATCTGACTAGACCAGGGTAGCAGGTAGCAGCTTTATGTACATTTGCCAGGCCGCTCCGATTCTTCCGCTCACCTTTAACCCCCTCGTTCAATCTGGGCACACGCTCACCTCGACTTTAACCGGCTGTGTCTACACTGCGACACCAGCACACGTCTCTCGACACCAACAACAATCAAACTCTGCCGACTACACGCTTTTCGCAAACCCAGAAATACCAGAGCATCGGATGACAGGACCCAACACTACCTATTAGCGACTGCCCGTTGGGCCTACGACAAGCAGCACTTCCATACTATCCACAACGCGCAGACACGAAAATATCGCCACCATGCCTGGAATCTTGCCCATGAAGGTCATCAAAGTCGGCTCAAGCTGTCAGAGCCGCATCGCCCAAGCCTGCGATCGTTGTCGCTCTAAGAAGATACGATGCGACGGTATCCGCCCTAGTTGCACGCAGTGTACAAATGTTGGATTCGAGTGCAAGACGAGTGACAAGCTCAGCCGTCGTGCTTTCCCCAGAGGATACACGGAGTCTTTAGAAGAGCGCGTCCGTGCTTTGGAAAGCGAAGTTCGGGAACTTAAAGAACTGCTCGACGAAAAAGACGAGAAGATTGACATGCTATCGCGGATCCACTCGCATTCTTCAGCATCGCAAGCACCTGCAAGACGAGCATCGCCACAATCTCCGGGAATATCGGAAGGACGTGAAGAGTCACAAGAGAAGGACGACACGTTCAAAGTGCAGCAGGCGCCACATTTACTCGACGACGTAAACCATGATTCTTACTTTGTAGGCAGTTCGGCTGGACGAACACTTGTTGGTACGATCTCTGCTCCCTCTCCGGCAGCACCCATGTCTGACATTTCGCAGAGGCCTTCAAGCAAAAAGCACAAGAAGCAGGCAGACTCTCAACCGACGTTGACTCGGGTGTCTTCTTCGGCGCAGGTGCAAAGCCAGCTGCCACTCAATCAAAACGTCCAGTATCGTTCAAGGCCCCTCCTCGTCTAGTCTCAGATCAGATGGTCAACATATTCTTCCAAGAGTGGGCACCCTTGTTCCCAATCCTCCATCGCCCAACCTTCTTAGGTCTATACGAGCAATATGTTGCCAGCCCAGACACTATGACCGACAAAAAGTCCATTGCCCAACTCAACCTGGTCTTTGGAATCGCTGCACTTTCTAGCGACGTACGTGCCCAAAACCTGTCACGTTCTTTACTACAAACTGACACTTCGCAGCCTCGCGACGGCCAAGATGTCGACTCTTTCGAAGCTCAGTGGCAGAGCGCAATCAAGAGCTTCTTGATGGCCAACGATATAACAACCCTTCAGTGTTTTGTTCTTGCTCAGATTTTCTGCCTCTTGAGAGCGGATTACTCTCAGCTGCTCAAGTACAAAGGCTTGGCTATCGGCCTGTCACAACGCCTTGGCTTGCATCAGTCCCAGAAGCGCTTCGCACTTGACGCGCTGACATGTGAAACACGCAAGAAGACCTTTTGGTCACTCTACACCGTCGACTGGTAAGTTTATGTTACCGATAAATTGCAGCCACGTTGCTGATTTTCTATAGCTTTTCTGCTGCACACATTGGTCTTCCGAAACTGATTCGCGAGGAAGATGTGCACTGTGAGTATCCTGTAGATGCTGATGACGAATACGTCACAGAGAAGGGATTCCTGCCGACATTGCCGGGCGAATACACCAAGCTCTCCAGTGCGCTAGCCCTCTTCCGCCTGTCACGCATCCTGTCCAGGGTTCTTATGGAACTCTATCCCGGATCGGCGTCTCATGACATCTCTTTCCGCACCATAGCAACATTGGCCGACGAATTAGAGGACTGGCAAAGCAACCTTGCACCGCACCTCAAGCTCACATTCGCACAAGACAAACCGAGCACCAACGTCACAAGCAGCCGTTCTCCCATCTTGGTATGTACAACCCGCTTAGCGCCAGGTCCCCGATACTAACAACGCCAGTCTCTTGCATATCACCACATCAGAGCTCTGGTGTACCGTCCAGCTATTGTTGCCAATCTCGGCGACAGAGCGTCTTCAGCTGTGGTAGCTATTGGGGATTCCTGTAAACACATTGTGCAGATTGTCGAGCTCCTCGACGAACGCAAACTCAGCTTCTCCTTCTGCCTCAACCGCAATGAGGTTCTCGTGCAAGCTGGTTTCGGTCTGCTTTTCCAGGCGCTCAACCTGGCCCGCGAAGGCAAGCTCATCAAAGAAAGCAACCGCCTCGCTTGTACCGTCATGGACATGCTCGAGCACGGAAACGCAGCTGGTTACACTGACTTCCGCCGGATAGGCTGTGGCATAGTGGCTGTACCAAGCGTGGACCAGATGCCAGCACCACCCCTTTCACGGCACAACTCCGATCAAAACATGGGCGCGCCTTTGGATACTTTCCGTGCCACGCAGAAGTCGCTCAAGGCTTTAGCAGCACGCTTCTCCCCAGGTGCCTCGAAAGCTGCCCGTGCAAACGCTCGGGAACCGCGTCGTGCAACGCTTCCTGCCCTTTCCCCCCACGTAGGCTCTCATCCTAACCACTCTTCAACGAGTTTATCTTCGATTCGGTCGGAACCCCCAACTGCTCGTTCAGAGCCAAATTTGAGCCCATTGTCTCACCGTGCATCCTTTTCAGTGCCAAACAAGCGCCATCCAAGCCAACCTGTCAGTCAACAGCAGCAACGCAACATCGACTACATGTCTTTCCCGATGGATTCATTAGCTGGTTATGTGATCTCAAATAGTAACCAAGCTACCAAGTCCGAGGTTTCGCCGGCAGATTGGGAGCGTCTTCTCTCATCACTGGACAACGGACAAACGAACATCTACGACACCATATATGGTGGTCCACCAGCCGACGCTCTACTCGATATGACACCCTTGTCTGCTACCACTGACAGCAACACTACATGGTCTCCCAATGTCTGGAACTGGAACAGTTACGCCTCCCAGGCCCCGCCGCCCCAAAGCGTTCTCAGCTTCAGCGATGAGAGCTTGACTAGCGGAGAAGAATTCAATAGTGCTGCTTGCGACTACGGGTCTACGCCTGGTAGCGATGGCCTGTACCCTGGTATCATGATCCCTGGCGATTACGAGGATGCTGCGAATCTTGTTGGGCTTGACGGCAACTACTCCAGATTGTGAGTTATGGTTATAATGATGCGACGACATGTTGATGGGTTTGTATATTGGAAAATATTCGTCTAGTGCGAATGGGCGTCAGGAGGGTTGGGATGATTTGGATTCGATTCACGTTTTGATTTGACTTTTAGTTCTTTTTTTTCGTTGTTTGTTTGAGATACCAAGCTCACTACAAGAGCAAAAACGCCGCTGGGAGGATGAGATTCCGAGTTTTCTTCCCTTTGTCATTTCCATTTGGCAGAATGTAAGGGTTCGTTATTGCATATAATCTTTTTTAGTTTCGTAATGATTCAAACATCACGATTCTTCCCGAACATGTTCCATCTTTTCACTTTCGAGAGATAGTCATTCAATTTATCCTGCATTGCCTCCAAAATACCCTTCAGCATGGTACCTGGCAAAATACACCCTACACTCAAGCTATTTCATCTCACCTTTTCGGTGCACCAGGTTTCACATTAGATACATTATCATACCTAGAAATGAGTACATCGCAAATAGCCTAAATTACCCCAGACACGAGCGCAGGGCTGAAGAAGCATTAATGAATTCGAAGCTTTACCTAACACATACACTCAAATGCTCACGTGTTCATTCTTCCAGAATCCCTCTCACACTCACTCCACAGAAAATCGTTCACCCAGGACAATCCAAATCAATCCCATCTACCCACCCAGTCTGCCTTCTTCTCACCGCTCTCTCCCGAACACTCAATCACAGACCGACCCCCTTGTCCGGCCCTCTCTCCCTCCCTCCGGAGCCTCTCCGGACAAAAGGAAAAAAAAAGACTCGAATCATGTTTCCGCTGTTCAGCCACATATGCGCCACATAATCGTCACGACTGAAACACAGAAACAGCCCACCTCACCGTAGAGTAGGGTGAACAAATATGTGTAAAGTAGATGAATGAAGAAAGCGAAATCCTGCACGTACCGTACCCAGGTGCCGAGGTTGACTTGGTCATACGTACCGGCATCGTCCAGAGTGTCAAGTAGTAGGGAGGGGGGCTAGGGATTGAGCACGTTGCGGCTTGACATGGAACCATGGAGCACGGAACCATGGAATATGGTGGTGCGATACTGGGATGATGCAAACAAGGGAAACCGTATGGACCGAACCAGTCGTGCAGCGCCTCGTGGTCTTACACGTGGGAATGTTTGTTATGCGGGGTAAAAAAAAAGACGGCTGAGCTTGGGGTTCTGCAAGGATTGTGAGCGAGGAGGGGTTGATTGGTGGGGTGAAAGAAGGATTTCAGTTTGGATGGTTCTTGATTTCTCTCTCTCTCTCTGGGAATCATGGGGTAGTACAGATCTAACCATTCCAACCCTCCTACATCTTTGTCTATGAGACAACTCTTATTTCTAACAGTGAAGCAAGGTAACAAACCAACAAAGCTACATGCAGCTTCAATAAAAACGGTACACAAGCCTCTCGCACCAACATTTCCCCTTCGTTCAACCTCTCCCCCCCTCCCCGTTACGATGATCATGATGATGCTTCAAACTCAAAAGTCCTTCCTACTTCCAAACTTCCCCCCTTTCCCCATTCGCCCCCAAAAATTACAAGGGCCTACATCCAAATGACCTCACCCCGATCCACACACTCTCCCTCTATTCCCTCATCACGATCGCAATCGTGATCGCCAGCAACCCGCCCCTACCTCCAACATTACTCTACTAGGAATCCCCATGACGCAGCCAACGTCATAACAAACCAGGGGGGCAGGCGACCATCACGATTGAAATTGGATAGTGTACAAGGGAGAAAAATCCGTGCGTAGAGTAGGGGATTCCCAAATACAGTATTTGTTTCCCCCCACTGCACAGCCTATGGGAATGTATTGTGTGAAAATCTTCCTATGTACACACACGCACATACGCACGCATCGCATGCACGCAAGTTGCGCGGATCCGCACGTGCACGTGGCCCCCCCTCCCCGCGTTGGGGAGTGGAATGTGGTAGTGGCGTCAGTTTGCAACATTGGTTTTGCAGCACGCGAGTCGGAAGAAAAAGGGCTAGTTGAGTCGGGAAAAAAAAGAGGTCTAGTGTGTATGTAGAGAAAGAGGGTAGAATGGGGAGCGGGGCGGGGCGGGGAAACGGGGTACGTATCATGCAATGTTTGGCTTGTTAAGCGCGATAGCAGTGGGCTACGTACACCTACTTAGTTGGATTAGAACGACAGCGCTGTGCATTGGTGATACCGATGTTCGTTTGCAGCGGTAGCGCAGAGGCCCTGCAGGGTCGGGGAAAGTCGGAGGATGGGGAGGGGGGTTTCTTTGAACAGCATGTTTGGTATCACACAATCTTTGTTTCTATTGGGGATATAATTCCGACATCGGGGCGCGCCTACATAGTTTTCTTTGACTATGGCAGCCCTAAAAGCGGCTCTGTCCTGCAACATGCACAGATGACTACAAGAATACTAGCGCAAAAACTCGGCGTTCAAGTAGTTGACAAAGACCTCCTTTATCCTCGCCTTCGAAAAGCTGTGTTGTCGGTTTAGGGTGATGAACTGGCGTCGTATGCGCTGAAGTTGCGGTAGAGTCATTGGCGTCGCGGGCAGTTCAATGGGCTTCTCGACATCTGCTACGGCTATTTGTCCACCTCCTTCACCGGCGTGGTCTTTCTGGTAGACCATTATCTGCGTGACAATGTCCGACGTCGTCTTGTCAAGTTCGTAGAGGTAGTTTTGCTCGGTCGCCGGTTTCTAAAGGAGGTTAGATTAGCATAACGAGAAGGACCCAAAACACGCACCAGCACTGTCGCCATGTTGGGCCTGACAGTCTTCATCTTGCCGTCACTGCCAATCATGGCTTCCCATATCTGGTCGCATGGCGGCGTCTCATCTTCTTCAACCACGATGAACAATGGACTGTCCCAGCGCGTCATGCCATTGGGCTCTTCGTATCGGAAGATGAGGTTCTCAAAGACATCCTCTTCGTATCCGCCGTCACTCTCCTGATTCGCCAAGAGTTTCTTGTTGTTCTCGCGACATCGGTCGGGCGGCGTACCTACGTGCAGCTCTAGGACTGTTAGCGCGGTGACCTGGAAGCGACAATGCTGTACTGACCACGCAGCTGGGGGTCTGCAGGGCTTTGGCCTCGCAGTACAACTGGTAGCGAAACCCCTTTATGTAGTTCAGGCCATCTGCAATAACGATGTCATCCCGTGACAAGACTCTCTTGACGGCAGAATATTCTTCCGCACGTGCATCCTTTTCGGCTCTGGCCGTACGGTAGACGGAGCGCGGCACGCCGAGAGTCTGGTCATTGATAAGATGCACCTTCAGGCGGGACGTGCGGGCATCAGGAGGAGCGCTGGCAATCTTTGACTCGAAAAATTGCTGGAGTTGTCGGGCTCTGGTAGTTTTGCCCGCGGAAGGGAAACCTTTGGGCGGGTTAGCGAGAGTGGCGGCGGGGGCATGGGATGGAGGGGTGGGAGGGTGGAACCTGAGATTAGGATGAGCTGGCGGGCGTCAGTAATTAGCGAGTCTGGGGAAGGTTGGACGAGGACATACAGGCATGGCGGGCGCAGGGCGAGAGAAATTGGAGCCTACAAGGCGGCGGGCGCATGGCCTAGGGAAGATTGGCGCCTCGAGGCCCTGGCCAGCATCGGCAGATGTTGAAGAGTGACGAAATTTACAGGCCGGGCTAGTATCAGACGGTCGATTTAGTAGGCGTAGTGGTGCACATGGATAAGTATGCATGTAATCTGGAACTCCCGAGCCGCGGTCCAAGTGGTCCCCCATCAAGCGTGGCCCTATCTTTCTCGTCGCCTTCTTTTCTTGCTTCTGCCCCCTCCTGCTGCTTTTTCCTCGCCTGCTGTCGACCAAGCACTGAGGATAGACGAATACGCACGCACCTACGGTCATTGATTTCTTCTACGCTCGCGCCAAAGATCGCCAGTGCAAGGGTACATTTGAGGGTCCCCATACGCTACCACGGCTCCACTACTATTTACTTTATCTCTCCCGCTCGCCTCGGCCGCCGTTGCAACCCATCCACCGCCCTCTCTCTTGCTCTGCTCTACTCTATTGCCTTCTATCCTGCTCAGCTCAGCTCAGCTCTTCACAATCCTCCAGTCACCAGCAGACCAGCCCAGACCAACCGCAGCAATGTCCAACTACTCGCAACAGTCGTACGGTGCCCAGACCCGACCTGCTTTCTCTGCCCTCCAGTCGTCCAGCAATGCCTCCCCAAGCTACAACAGTGCTGCTGCCTCCAGCATTGCCTCGCGATCCTCGACGGGCTCTGCTCCCCCTGTCTCGCCCTCGACGAGTCCCCAGAACCAGGCCTACTTTGGCTCCCTGAACCAGCAGTCGCAGCAGCAGCAACAGCCTCAGCAGCAACAGCGTCTACAGGCCCAACGACACCCCAGTTTCGAGTATCAGCCCAATAGATCAGGGGCAGGCCACACCGCAGCTGAGACGACAAACTACCTCAACCAGGCTGCGCTGCTCGCCGAGGCTGCAAAACGGGCACAATTGGCTTGCGTCATGCGAGATCTCGACGGCATGGAGCTATGAGCAGGAAGAGAAGACAGCTGTGGAACACCAAGATCAACACAGGCGATACGCCGGTATCGTCGAGTTGGTGCAGCGCTTCTCTCCTAGGCAATTGCCGGTAAAAGTCGGCCTTGCACCCTGACATACTTCACCTGCTACCCAAACTGAGTGGGTCCGGACAACAGAGTCTTCAGATCTCACCAGGCAATCACTCCACCATTTACACCAGACAATGTTTAGGCTAATCGTCCCTGTCTTTTCATTTCCATGATCCAGTCTTTTGGGTCATATTCCACTGTTGGCTACTTTTTTTCTATGGCGTGCTGCTTCGTTTATTTCGACTTTGTACATACTACTCCACTTATCGGACCGACTAGTCTTTTCACCTTCCTCTTTCTTTACCTTATTTCATAGCTTGGAGTTTACACGGCATGGCGAGTACATACATACATATACGGGAACATGTTCCTTTTCACATGGCGGCATCGCTAGATTAGACTGTGCGGGGAACGATCCAATAAGGAGGCAATTGGTCATACTTTGGTATGCATGCAGATGCGGGACATAGATCAATGAAGGGCTTATTCCGATATTGTATGCGCCAACGTTTGTCTTGCCCATTCACGGACCGAGGCTTATTGTACTTCAACCAGACGTGTGACGTCAAGATCAGGTTTTGTATAACCGCCTGCGAGAACGTCGATGTCTGCTTCTGCGCTTTGCGCCAGATCCAAACACGTGCGACATGCCAGTATGCAGTGCACAATAGAGGTTCCTGTTGCGCCGTTGACCTGAGGTGTTTGAAATCTTTAGTTGCAATACAAAGTTTATCCTTGCACCTGCATATCAGGCCACGGCCTTGTTCAGGTAGCTTGAAGAAGACTAGACGGAAGAACTGAATTGTAATTCCACAAGCAGATTTTAGTAAGCCGCTTCAGTAAGGGGTCTGGAGCTGTGTGTTCCGAGTGGAGACGGACTTTTACATAGTACGGAACGAAGCGCTGGTAGAGCATCCAGAGTGTGGGACCCCTTTGGAGCCGTGCCGTGCCTGAAAGGTCACGTGTGGACCCGTCTGTCGATCTTCGCGCGCCTTCCATCTGGGATCCAGGGCCGACCTCACAACCAAACACTGGCACATAGCCACGATGCCGTCGTCCGACTATGCCACAGCTTCGAGTGGCGCGCTGAAGCTCAAAGGTGCTGGTGTTGATAAGAAAAAGAAGAAAAAGAAGCCCAAGTCCACGACCGACTCTGCCAAATCCGCCGATGGAGACGCTACGAGCATTGCGAAACGGCCGGAAACAGAAAGCGATGCACACAAAACACCTTCGGGCACGCCCGCTCGCTCACTATCACCCGAGACCGCCGAACGATCGATAAGAGAGGGCGGTGGCAGACAAAAGACGGATGCTGAGAAGCGACACGACGAGATGCGACGGAAGAGACTGGAAGAGAAGATGAGGAAGGAGGGTGTCAAGACACACAAGGAGAAGGTCGAGGAGTTGAACAAGTACCTCAGCGGCTTGAGCGAGCACCACGACATGCCAAAGATCGGACCTGGCTAACGCACGATAACCGTTCCGTAGTTGCGGTGGTATGTCGTTCAACGACGCGCGATCCTATAGCAGGAGATGGATCCTATAATTCTCGTTTACATCAACAACAACAAACGGACCATGGTGGGCATGATTGTGGAGACGTCAAAATGTTGACTGGGGATTTTGCGCATACAAAGGTTATGGGAAAAAAGATGCCAGAGTGTCACTGACAAAGCTTTGAGACTTGATGCTATCGACAGACCTAGCAAATTGAGGGTCGGCCGTCCGTGCGGACAGTGCGCTGATAACAGCGATACCGTGTATGTCACACACTTACAAGAAATTTCAACCCGAATAAGTGGATTATGTTTCTGCGCTTATGAGATTACTGTTCTCGATCACTGGTGAACAGACGCCATGCAGTATTAATGATTGGGTCTGACAAGCGACCTAGTAGAAAGACGGTCGGTGCAACAGCGAGCACGGGATAGAGATGGCAAACACCAAATACGAGGGGCCCCTGCAAATCGATCCTACTCAAAGCGGCTGTAGTTCTCAATGGGAACACACTCCGGGAGCTATTCTCTCATTACCTTGAGATGCCATTGGATAGACGCGAGCGCTTATGCCGTTAGATGTACGGACGTAAATAAGCTGACCATACCTTGCCATTTTGCCACCGGTAACCCGTGAACGGAGAGGCCATAGCGCTACCGCTGTTGGATTACTGCACTATTGGAATGGCAAGGGCGGTACGCGTAAGTGTGGGTGACCTGGACTTCACGACTCGCAACAGCAGCGTATTCTCACACTTTGTATCTACGAGCTTGAATTTCGTAGGTAGCGCGATAGAGTCTTATCAAAGGCCCTTCGCATCGGGCGCGCTTCGGACTTGTTCTGGAGTTTCAAAAGTCTGTGTCCAGTTTGCGTCCACTAGCCTTATCAGAGTTGCAGCAGTCAGCGCGCAGTCCAGCATGGGGATTCGTAGGCGCGGCAAGATGGCCGGGATGTTTAAACTTTAAAATTGTTCCAGAAAGGCTTCAGAATGGCGACACATTCGATTCAGTCATTTATTGCAAGCCCGCGATAGTGGCTTGAGTTGTGATGGACTGGGGTACCAATTCACCTGCCGAGAGTGCTTAGCGCTCGACAGGTGCTTGCTTCAGCGCCAATGAGGCTTGTCTTAATGCCAAGTTCCATGCTTAGCCATTGTTGGTTCTGCCTCGCTTGGTTTGGCTCTCTGCAGGGGGTTGAACGCTTCTCCGCACCTACCATACAGTCGAACCCACTCTCCTCGAACAAAGTCTAGGTAACAACAGAGACTGTATGTAGAGAGCTGTTGAGTTTCGTGACCAAACGTGGTGTCTCCAAAAGCCCTATAATGCAAAAAAACTCTACCACAATAACCACAACCACCTATGCGCATTGGGCATACGAAGCTTCACGATGTGGTGTGTATCATGCGACACAATCTTACCCCCACCCCTGGCCTGGCTCTTATCAAGTACCCCAGGCCTGTTCCATCCACTCGCTCGGCGCAAGGTGTATCGTCACAAGGCGACATCTTGCTCGGTGCCACCGTGCTATTAGCTGGAGAAGACGCTATCATCCATTTAGGGAGCGGGGTGAGCTGAGACTGCGTGTGTAGGGTGCAAGATACCGGCCATCCCGGACTAGCCTGCCTTCTGCTGCTGTACGCCCTGGTCCAGCTCTTTGCCTAGTTATCAGCTGGAGGCGAGGTACGACCGTCAAAAGGCTATTAATATAAAACTGAACCTGGTGCTTCCGTCCGTTTCGTCTGCGGAAACCATCAGCTTCGTTCTTTTGCTTCATCTCGCTGTGCCGTGCTACCTTCGGATTGCTCCTTTGGTAGGCACTAATTGAACCGCACACTCCCTTACGAGGCCTTATATACTCCCATAGGCATGTACACACCCATCATTGGCAACGACTGTCAGAAAGCAGCCACCATGTCACTCGCCGACAATGAGAAGCAGCACTATGCTGTTGGTGGTGAGTCTCCCTCCGACCATGGCACTGGACACGTCGGTGAGATAAAGGACAACGCCCTCGCTGAGGCGGCTGGTCTCTATGGATCGGTCCAACAAGCAGAGGATTATGGATATGTCCAGCGTGGCCTCAAGTCTCGTCACATCCAATTCATCGCTTTGGGTGGTACCATTGGTACTGGTCTGTTCCTTGGTATTGGTGGTGCATTCGCTCGCGCCGGTCCTGTCTCTGTCCTCATCGGTTACACTCTCACCGGTCTTGTTGTCTACGGCATGATGCAGTGTCTCGGCGAGATGGCTACATGGCTTCCTCTTCCCGGTGCTATTCCTCAGTATGCTGCTCGTTATGCGGATCCTGCTCTTGGCTTTGCCGTTGGTTGGAACAACTGGTACAACAGTTCCATTACTCTATGTGCCGAAATCTCTGCCGCAGCTCTTCTCATCAACTTTTGGGATCAGGAAGAAAAGTAAGTGCAACGCAGGGTCGTTAATAACAAGTAGATGCTAACTCTACTCTCCAGATACAGTCCAGCCATATGGATCACTATCATCATTGTCATCATCGTACTGCTGAACATCTTCGCTGTCTCGATATACGGGGAAGCTGAGTTCATATTCGCTTCGATTAAGATCATTACCATCCTCGGACTCCTTATTGCTGGTCTCGTCATCATGCTCGGTGGTGCCCCTGACCATGACCGGAGAGGATTCAGATACTGGAAGGAAGGCGCCATGAAGGAATATGTCGGCAAAGGTGACACGGGACGTTTTACTGGTCTCTGGTCCACACTCGTCAACGCGGCATTCTCGTATGGTGGTGTGGAGATGGTTGCCGTTGCCGCTGGCGAGGCTGCTAACCCGCGCAAGAACATCCCCAAGGCCGTTCGTCGTGTCTTTTGGCGTATCCTGTTCTTCTACGTCCTTGGAAGTTTCATCATCGGAACGACCATCAGCTCAAACGACCCCCAGCTCACTAACGAGAACGCCAAAGGTGCTCAGTCTTCGCCATGGGTCATCGCGATGAAAAACGCCGGTATCCCAGTTCTACCCCATATTGTCAATGCTGTCATCTTGACTTCTGCAACCTCATCTGGCAATGCCTTCCTGTACACCGGCTCCAGATACCTATTCAGTATCGCTCAGAACAAGCAGGCGCCTCAGTTCCTTCTCAAGTGCAACAAGAGCGGTGTGCCAGTCTACTGCGTCGCCATTACGGCCTCCATCTCTTTGCTTACGTACATGAGTGTAAGTGCTGGCGCCAACAAGGTATTCACGTGGTTCCAGAACTTGACCACGATTGCCTCGCTCTTCACATGGTGCTCAATTTGCTACACCTTCACCTGTTTCCACAAGGCCTGTCTTGCCCAGAATGTCGACCGCAACACGATGGTCTTCAAGAGCAAGTGGCAGCCTTACCTCGCCTGGGTGGCTTTTACCTACTTTGCGCTCATCATCCTCTTCAACGGTTTCAAGGTCTTCACTGAAACCCCATGGGGACCTGACCAGCTTACCGACTTCTTCACTGCGTACGTTGGCATTATGATCTTCTTTCTCCTCTTCGTATTCTGGAAGGTATTCAAGCGCACCAAGATGGTGAAGCCAGAGGAGGCAGACATCTGGAGTGGCAAGGCCGCGCTTGACGCAGAAGTATGGCCTGAGCAGATACCCCGCAATGCTCTTGAGAGGTTTTGGTACTGGCTTTGTTAGGTGGAAGAAGTTGTTGCTGATTGGCAATGGTTCAATGAGTATTATACGAGTAGTAGTAAAACAGTACATACGAAGACATACGGAGATGCGGCATCACGACGTACTATACGACCGTTAATATGTTTGATAAATGAACTAGGGAGAAAAACCCGTTTGATCAAGCATTGGGTGCCTTAACAATACTGACATGGACGTAAGTCTGACGCTGCAATGACTGTGGCTGCAAAGCGATCACACGAGGCTCTGGCTAACTCAAGAAGCATGCCGACGAATTTGTATACTGAAAGACTTTGTGCTGCATCTAATGTTCACTGTGGTTCATGAATTGGCTGCGATTGGCGCATTGACAAAGGGTGTATAGAAACACGTGCTTCTTCGATATACATGTGACAGTCGGGATGCCGAACACGTCATAAGTCTGTTTTTTTGTTCTGGTGCCTTTTGACCTTGGGATGCCTCAGAGAACCCCAATGGGCAACTACGTTGTGGCGCATGCATGTATCCATTTGGGTGCGGGAGTCACGGAGTGCGCGAACGGCTTTAGCCACAATGTTGTGTGTTAGAGCCGCCCCATGCTCCTTTGGTGGGTGATGATGCGTCCCAACGCCCATTAGTGCTGGCTGCGGCTTTAAGTCATCCACCTTCAGGCACCCATGATTGTCATACTCCGACATCGTGCAGCTCTCAACTCGTCCACTTTCTTATTGTCAGCCAAACGCCCGCAGCCCACTAATACCCTGTGCCCATCGTTGCTACTCTCCTGGAAAATATCCCGCCTCCGAATTTGACATTCAATCTCACGCGAGTCGAGCTATCGGCTGACAAACATGGAACTGCGCAGCTAGCAAGAGCAAGGAATCGTTCAATAAGAAAAAGTAATGCATAGTGTTTTGTGAACCCCAGCCAAAGGAGTCCGCTTTCACCGCTCTGGTCTTGGCTGTGGTCAAGCAGATACGAGTATCGTGGACCGACATGACGGACCATATTAACGAAGGCAGCGAACAACCCGGCGCGCGCAATGTATGGTCAATGTCGAACCAACCAGTTGACAGTCCCGATTCGGAGCAATCGAAGAAACCCCAAGATCAGCCGTTAAACCGCGCTTGCGAAGCTTGTCGCATTTCCAAAGTCCGATGTCTTGTGAACCCTGACGCAAGCTCATCGCAGTGCCAGCGATGCGCCAAGGCCAACCGGACCTGCATCTTTGCGCCACCCGTAAAAAGGCGACAGCGAAAAAGGACAGATGTGCGCGTCACGGAGCTGGAGAGAGAAATTCAGCAGATGCGCAGCCTCCTAAAGGCGAAAGCGCGTCCATCCAGCGATGCCAGCGAGCATGAGACGGGAGACGATGAATCGGACGAGCAGGGGCACGCGAAGGATGAGGAGACTCCATCCACTTGGCGAAGGCACTCGAGTATGGGAACAGCAACAATACCCTCGACGGGATTTGGTGGCCTTCCCACAACCGCCAACCAAGCACCCCTGCCCGAGCCCACACCAACCACCAGCGCGCCCAAAGAATTTCTAGGGTCGTCTGACAACGATATAATAGATCGCAGCGTCATTTCAGAGGAGATGGCCCGCGAATTCTTGGGCATATGGCGCAAGGAGCTGGTCGCGGCTTGCCCAGGTATCACGATTCCCAGACATTGGGACGTTTTCGATCTTCGAGCAAACAAGCCCGCACTTTTCCATGCCATCATGGCGGCCTCTGCTCATTCCAAAGGCTCGGCATTGTCCGACAGACTGCATGAAGAAGCCGTACTCTTATACGCGCGTTCTGCTTTTGTCAAAGGCGAAAAGTCTGTTCAGGCTATCCAGGCATTGATAGTTACTGTATCGTACTACTCGCCTTCCAAGACACCAGGACAACTGCAAATATATCAATGGATCAACATGGCAGCCTCGATGGCGCTAGAGCTCGGCTTGACATCGAAGCCGAGAACACACGAACAATTACCCAAGCGTGCCATTCGATCGCTACAGAAGATTTCTTCACCAGAGGAATTACTAGAACACTGTCGCACCATTCTACTGCTGTACATTATAAGTGCCGGCTTCTCGATGAGAATGAGGCGACCTAATATTTTGCTGTTTAACAGTTGGATGGACGAATGTTTTGGAATTCTTGAAAAGTCAAAATTATTGGACGATAAGAGGATAGTTGCGTGGTTGAAGCTGCAGAGAATTGCCGATGAAGCAAACACGGCATTCGGCTTTGATGATGCGAGTACAAGTTTCAGTCTCTCTGAGCTGCGTATGCAAATCATCCTGCGAATCTTCGACCGGAGGATGCAGGATTGGAGGAAATCGGTTCCCGACGATGTAGTGACATGTGGGTCGACTGTTGATTCTTCTGAAGAGTATATCTGACTGAGTTATACAGTGAGTCTCGAGCTCGAGTACCACGCAGACATGCTTGCCATGTGGGAGTTTGGAATGGATGGAGGTCGCTTCGACGGTAAGTCATGACTTCCTCTCTTCTCTCCAAGGCAAATAATAAACCAACAAATTCAGTCATCGAATTCAAAAACCGGCACGTCTCACTGCCAGCCCTCGACGACGACTCTGTGCAACCCGAATCCCTCCTCTCCCGCTCTGCCCTCCAAATCAACGCAACAACAAAATGCGTCAGCGCCGCCCAGACAACCCTCGACCTCTTCCTCACCGTTCCCGAAGACGAACTGCGCAAATCTCCAAACGTACTTTACCTCCGCGCTGTCTACTCGCTTGTCACGCTCATGAAAGCAGACTACGCCGTCGGCACTGATGAGGAAATGAGCGAGCTGCTGGAAAGCCAGAGTCTACGTGTAGGATACTATCTCGACGCCGTAATCCAAAAAACCAGCGATGCCGCTGGTCCGCAGAAATGCCGGAACCCCAGCCACTGGAAATTCCTCCTCGAAGCAAAACTTAAAAGCTGGTGGAACGAGTACCAGGAATGGCGCAAGGAAGGCAGACAATTAAAAAGAAGAAAAACAACATCCAATCATGAATATAGTGGAGAAACACAGACCCAACCCTTGGTACCATCATTCGCAGGACACAGTCTCGACACTACTACTGCTGCTACTTCTACAAACAACCCATCAGCATCACATATCCCACTTGACCAACAACAGCAAGCACCTCAGCAGCAACAGCAACAACAACAACAACAACAACAACAACAACAACACCAGTCTTCTCAATTCCCCCTCTCAGGCTTCAATCTCTCCTCCACATACCCCACCACCGACGCCACAGCAGCCCAATGGCCCACCAACGAAATGACTCTCGACACCACCCCCTCCACACAAACCATGGGCGACCAATCCGGTTTCACGCCTGACATGGGTGATTTCTCAGCAGCGTTTCAAAATGGCGATTTGTATCTTTGGAATGATTTGACTGCTGAGAATTTCGGGGGCTGGGTGTCGCAGGGGGGATCGTATGCTGGAATTGGGTTTGGGGGAGTGAATGGGCAGGGGTTTTGAGGAAGAAAGAGAGCAGAAGAAAAAAAAGGAGGAAGGATAGAATTGTATGTATGTGTGTGCGGAGTTGAAAAAACACTGCTCAACCATATCTTTTACGAAGGAAAATAGACATAGTTTAACAAGCGCAACAACACTTTATATTCATTGGTAAAGCATTGAGTTTTCCATTTCATCTCATACTTGACATTTATTAAACTTCTCCTACCCACCTGCTTTCTCACACGAACTATCTATCTCAGATACACCGATTACAATACAGTCCACACATTGCCCCTTCACCTATCCCACTCACTTCACGTCAACTTTGCCAACGCACCCTCAACCCACTCCACTACCTTCTCCAACAACCCCACATCAGCCTTAGCCTGCTCGAGCGCCTCCCGGCCCTCAACAACCAGCGCACCCCCACCCGCCGCAAGTTCTTTCTGGAACCTTGCTGCGGTCTGCTTGAGCACGTCGAGATACTGCGTCTGAATGCCATGCGAGACATTCAAATCTTTGATGCCGAGTGTATCGTGAAGCTGCGTAGCTTGAAGTAAGAGGTAGTAGAAGTTGAGGGCTGCGACGTAGAAGCCGAGGTCCTGGCGGAATTGCAGCCACGAGTCTTCGAGGCTGGTGTCGAGAGCGTAGTGGCGGGTGAGGTCAGGCCAGAGGTAAGGAGCTACGGTGGACAAGGCGACGGGGGTGGCGAAGATGTTTGTGTGGTCAGGTTCGTGGGTGTCTTCTGAAGAGTGGGGGTGAGATGCGTTTGCTTCAAGTGTCTCGCCTTTGAGCCAGGATACGGCGCTTGCTTTGAGGTTCTCGTATGGGCAGTGCTCCAGTGTGTCGCGGATGAAGGTTAGGCGGACGAGATCGTGGGGGTGCGAGCGCAAGACGGTTGTTGTGAGGTAATGTGCGTGGCCTCGTAAGCTTGGGGAGGGTGAGTTCGCAGAGATGAGTGAGATGGTTTGCAAGTACTGAGCAAATGACTCGTCGTCCTTAGGCTCGCCGACATTGTTTCTTTGCAATGCAATGAGACCCATGGCAAGAACCGTGTCTAGAAGTGCATCTGGCTCCATGCCAACGGTTTGGGGTCCCAGAGTCCCGATAAAGTTGCTAAGTATCGTTGCGTGTCCTGGGAAGATAGCTACCGACGATGCTTCCTCCTCTTGCTTGACTGTAGCATACAGTTCCTGTTTAACATTTAGTGCGGCGATGAGAAGTAGGGCACCAGTCCTCGAAAGCGGAATATCTGCAGCTGTAGCTGGTGGCTCATCCTCGGTGCCGGGAATGCCACGCTTCTCCTCGTCCGAGTCCATCACAGTCCGTACCAACTCGTCATATTTCAGACCCAAATCCTGAGTCAAAGCTACTATTTGGCCCAAGATGGCGGCTCGCGAAGTGAGGTCTTCTTCATTCGCAAACCGGTCTGCATATTTCTGGTAGTTGGGCTTGTTGGGTATTCGCTCCGGTTCATAGCTTTCCATCAGCCTGCTTGCCCAGGAAAGACCTGGGACATCATCGTCTGATTTCAAAGATAGCATATAGTCTTCAAGGATGTGAGTGAGAAAGGACTGTAGTAGACGATTTACCAGGGCGGTTTCTTCGCTGCTTGGTGCATCACCCTGCGCTTCCGGATCTGGCTCCGATTGGTTCGTGTTTACACGCAGAAGATTTCCGCTACTCCGCCTTGATGGCAGATGTGGTCTCTTAGTCCCGGACAGTATCTTAACAAACTTGACAGCAGATAAGGTGAGATCTTCAATATGGGTGTTGGCCCGATTGTATGCGACCAACACAGCCTGCAAGCTGGTAGAAAGGAACCGGCTCGGGTATTTGGTTTTAACACGTCGATGTAATGTAGCTAATATGTCGAGGAGAGCCTCGAACTTCAGTACCGGAAGGGGAGGGACTATAGCGGGTTGAAAGGCAGGACTTGTGCTTGACTCTCCCACTCCAACCTCGGGTGCTTTAGCCTTGGTAGTGGCCGATGGAGCGCCATGCTCGTCTTCGTCTGTATCCTCATACGGCTCCTGGAACTGGAGCAACCGAAGCGCTTCTGTGACCTTGAGAATGCACTCTCTAGGATTGCCCTTTGCGGCAATGTCTTGCAAGCATTCCTCAGACAATGGAAGTAGCGGGAGTAACAGATGGATCAGGTCCCAGCCGATAGTTGCTGTGAGTTCTGCATCTTGGAGGACTTGGTGCAGGACGGGCAAGTTCTCTTCGGAGAGGTTGTATTCGATGATGGTGAGATAGGTAATGGGGTCAGTCACGGGCGGACGTGAGGCCAGAAGTGGATGCTGGTCCGTCTGAGCGGGATCCTGAGTGTCGGTCATGATTTGTTCTCTTGGATTTCAAACAGTAGTTCCGGAAAGCAGGTGATGTGAAGGCTCGGGGGCGCTGTAGGGACAATGAAGAAAATGCAGATGTTGGGTCAGGCGGCAAGTGTTCCTGGCCTTGTTGCTTCAAGGGCCTGACCCTGACGCAATGCCAGCCCGCCCACACAGACACACAGCCCACTCAATGCGCGTCCACACACTAGCCCCGCTGCCGCTCCGCCAAGATGATCGCTCTGCCAAAGTTCACCTCGACACCATTCGCCGAGCTCCAAACACCGCACGCCCAATAGCCCGCCATGGACGAAAAAGAAGAGACCAACGAGCCCCTCGACCTTGTGCGTCTCTGCATTGACGAGATTGTCATTGTCAAATTGCGCGGCGACCGCGAACTAAAAGGCAGGCTTCATGTACGTCTCTGCGAAGCTCTGACACCCCGGAGCAGATATGTACGCAAGCATATCCAGCTGACAGCAAGGCGCAGGCTTACGATTCCCACTGCAACCTAGTCCTCGGCGACGTCGAGGAAACGATATACCTTGCCGAGGAAGACGATGACGACCAAGAACCCCGCGTGCGGACAATCAAGAAGCAGAGTGAGATGCTCTTCATAAGAGGTAGGCGAGCGGCACGGTACTTAGCTACTGATGCAGAGCTAACGAGTAGAAAGGTGACTCGGTAGTCCTGATTGCACCGGCAGAAGGAACATCGCAATGATCACTCTCTATTCGAACCCAAGTAGAAAATACATAGGTCTGCCGCCCATAGAACCTACTGCAGTTGGACTATGGCCAGTCAAGCAGTCATCGACGAGATACCCGAGTTTGGAGATAGCATGGCACATTGGTTGGCGCAGACGTAAAGTCAGCAACATGACTAACAGACACGACGCTTGCATACCGGGCTCAGTGGACAGTCGCACCACACTTGTCAAGCGAAGTCTCTCGGCCAGTCTTGTCGTGCTCAAACAAAGCGAGTGCTAGATCATAGCTTAAAGTCAGACATAATGTACCTCTTGCCCCTGTCGTGTGCTTCCGTTAGAACAACATATTCGTTTTTCACTAGATATATACTGCTGCGCTTCGTAAACAATGTCAGTAGCATCGTCACAAATTGGCTGGGCGCAGGGTTTAAGATGCAAACATTAAGTGCTTTTCTTGACTACCTGCCGAGTCCAAACTATGGACCTCCATATGACAGCAGAAAACGCAGATAAACCCAAAGGCACACTTGGTGCGATACCCTCTCAAAACTCCTGTGTGCTTTCAGCACCCGCAACCGCCGAGCCCCCTTGAAGAGAAGTGTGAGGCAAGAGGAAAAAAAGAGTAACGAAAGAAGATGACTCCGAAACCGAACATCAACGTGCCGCGACATGTACAGAATTAAGATAATGCGGGTGGAGTGCTCATAACCTCGTGGCTTCATCATAGAGCCCAAAAAAAACTTTCCGGTATAAGAAGATACAGTCGAAGAGAAGTGTGATCATACGTGTTCAGCATCCGTCCCCGTCCAATGAACAGGAGAAGGTAGCGAACAGCCGGGCCGCCCACAAAGGCAGACCCTGAGAGATGAATGGAAATTTGACGAAAGAACGAAAAGACTTAGGTCGGGTATCCATAAACACCGTGCGCCGAATGTCCAGATGAAGATGAGACCAATGTAGAATCCGCCACCTGATGAAGTTGACCATGCTCAAGAAAGCCGCCAAAGCGCCGTATGTCGGGGAACAATAAGCAAGAATGAAGAAGATTTCGGTGGTAACCGTGGGGGTGCTGACGTTGGCGTTGACCAGATAGGGGTGCTGACGCTGTCGCGCTCTTGACTGTCGAGTGTTGATCGACAATATCCGTCAGATGCGCCGTCACACGACCCCTACGAGCCAAGTTAGAACACAGTCAGGTCAAGACGACATGGAGACAAGTGTATTCACTTTCGCCTCAAAGTCTGGGTTGCCAGGCTGTCTCTAGACATGAGCGGCAGAGAAAAGCCTTTTGAAATCTCCGCCTCGACAAAAATGGAAGCGCGCTTGTAGCGCTTATCAGTGTACTTCTCGTACACAGCAGCATGGTGCTTCTGAGGGTTGTCACAGCACTCGAGGATGACAGTTATGAGCTGTCGGAGCTGAGTCAATGTGTACCCAGAGTAATGTACGTGCGATTGTGACTAGTATCAGTTAGCATCTTCATTCGCGACAACGCGTGCGTAGACATACCCAATCACCCTTCTTCAGCATGAAGCGCGCTAAACAGTGAGCACCTGCAGAGAGAAAGCTAGGGGCGCAACCCACAAAGCGCTCATCCATGATGGTGATTTCCAAGAAATATTTGGACAGGGTACGTGTCTCGAGGTCGTAGTCATCCGCCTTGCTTATGCGACGAAGGAAGCTCATCGGGCCAGGCCATCCCAGCTCAAACTGAAGCATACTGAGCATGAATCTCTCAGCCTTCAGAACTTCATCAGCTGTGTAGGCACCGTCGACCATGTACACAATCTCCTGCACTGATGGGCAGTTAATCTCCTCGTACTTGGCGGCGACGAAGAGAGCAGTCGCACCAACGAGCTGCAGTTTGCCAAGCGAGACAACCTTGCATGAAAGAAAGCGGTCGACGTAATTGACAGCAAGGAACAGGGTCTCGGGCAGGAGAGTGAAGCGGTTGTGGACCTGGACGAGCCAGTCCATGAGAACGGACCGCATTGACCACTGGATTTCAGCCTGATGATCCATGTAAGACGCGTTAGGCTTCATGCGCTCTTCGAGAGAGTGCATGTATTCAAAAATCTCCTCGCCATACTCGGCAACCATCGAGGTATCCCACTGCTCGTCCTCGACGTCTTCGGTTGTCCGGTTTGCCTCGACGAATACCCGCGCAGCCTCAAGTTCGCGTTGTGTCTTTGCGGTAATCCGGGGCGCAAGAATCAGAGTAACACCGCCTGTTGTATTGTCGCCGCGCGATCGAAGGGATCTGGCGGTGGTGTAACCGTCGGCATCATAGTAGGTCTCTTCTTCTTCTTCTTCTCCCTCCTCCTCGTCCCAGTACTCTTCGTGTTCGAGATCTTTAAGGCTATTGGACTTGGCGAGTTCTTCATTTCGTTCTTGCTCTAAGGCGCGCGCCTGCTCTTCGAGCGCATCGAGGTACTCGTACCTGTCTTCCGCCTTGTTGTTTGTCTCGGCCTTCTCTTCCTCTTCTGGAATGGTCGCGGGCTGTCCGGACTGTGCTGAGGCACGGTCCACGTTGGGAAATGAAGATGACTGTTCAGGGAGAGGCTGTTGCGAGGTTACGGGGGCGACGGCTGCGTCGATAGCGGCATTTGAGGGCGCCTCTTGGAATACAGCTGTTGATGACTTCTTTGAGAGCGTCTTGCGAACATTGGTTGTGGATTGTTTGGCGTCGATGCTGACCTGCTTTGGGGCCACAGATACGACCTCGGTAACATCTTTGGAGGCGTGCTCTTTGGAAGAGACGCTTGTCGCTAGTCGTTGTGCTGGTCGTGAAAGGGTACCAGCTTTGGCAGTCTCCTTGACAGTAACAGCAGCAGTATCCTTAAGGATTTCAAGGGTCTTCTTTTTGCCTATTATTTGCATGTCGTCTTTCGCTACAGGCTGTCGAGTGGTGTTGCTAACATCGCCAAACACAGTCCGTTTGGCTGCAGCAGCCTTGATGCCGCCGGCCTGCACCAGTGTTGATAGGGCTGGTGTTGACTTATTGCGCGAGTGCAGAGTCTTGCCAGCAGGTAGCTGGGGCACCGCGTTCTCATCGCGTATACGAAGAGCCCTCACGGGGCGTTGTGGCTATGTAAACAATTGGGTTAGCAAAGCTCAAAGAGAAACAGTCTAAGTGAAGTTGCATATAGGTGTGAATGAAGGCCGCTGACAAGGCAGCGCGTTCACACCTGGTTCAGTGAATAAAAGTACTGTTCAAGGCGCAGGCTTACCTTTGCATCCATTGTGGTCGGAGGCTATCAGCTCAAGGCGAGATAGTCTCTAGGGTATATGTTTTGTTGACAGCGACGGTTGCGAAGAAGTGGACGATAGGGGCAGCGGAAGGCGTAGTGGTACAAGTCAGTTGCTCATAAAGAAACTCTTCATATAAGTTGGCGGCAATGAGATAGGCGAGCCGGCGTTGTCGAGTGGCACGAAGAGTGGTGTTGACAACGGCAACAAGAGCTTGTAAACTTATATGGAGGGTCTGGAGCTATGCGCGTTTGGATTCAATGTTTATTTACTGACTGGTTCGAGCTCCAGACCAGGGATAGCGGCGCTATGCTGGAGCGGCCCTAGTGCCGCCGCACGGCCCGCCCCTGCTGGGTGCCGCCTACAGAAACGTCATTGCCGAGGCGAACGCGGGAACCATCAGGGACATGAAAAAGGTTTAATGTTTGCGCCGCCATACATGTTTGATTATAGCGTGCGAGAGGTCATTTGAATTACTTGGTTACTTGTTGTATATATTCTAGTCAATTTTTGACTCTCCCAGGGACCGATTGCGCCAGCTACGCGTACCCACCACGACCCCTCACTTCTGACGCGCCAAGTCTCAATTAGCTGATTCCAGGACGCGAAATCACGTGCAGTTCCCTGAACTGACGGTCTTTCTCTGAAACATAGTGTTTACCAGTTCAATGGTCAACAACAACATGAGTGCTCACTACCCCACGGTCATGGACGGCCTCGGATGTGGTTGCGACAACTGCGCCGGTCTGGAACCTGCAGAAACGACCCGCTGGCCGGCGCCCACAGCCTATCGATCAGCGCACTGCCACCAAATTTCAAACTGCAGCCTACATTTGCCTTTGTTGCAGCTCCATTGCTTCAGAGAATAAGCAAGCAGGTTTTGCGTTTGGCAGACGGTGAAAGGCGTGTGTTCCGCATGTTGTTGGGCGCATGTTTCCTTTACTTTGTCCCCGCCGCAGCCACTCAAGGCCGAGAGCTTCACCGACAAAGTGATGTGGACCGATGGCATCCGTAGCGAGATCGCATGGAGCCAACGATGCGCACAACGTCTTTTCAAAAGGTCTGCGACGTGGATCCCTACCAAAACTTCGTTGCGCCAAAAGCGGGAGCCCTTCAGTTGTTCATTGACCCCTCATTAGTTTGGAGCGGCCGTCCGAGCTTTTGGCCACGGATTTGCGAAGTCGCATGCCGCGCTACGCAGGTGCTTCCGCCATGATCGCTCGGGCACATGCAGGGTCGGGAATTTTGGCAACAGAGATAACAAACGGCAGCGCAGTACTTTGGACAGGTCCTTGTGCTCGGAAGCGGGTGCGACGACTACGCGCGAGCTGATTACGGGATCTCGCGCTACTAGTTGTATCGTCATATTGTGTGGGTCGGAGATCATCAGACGTTTTCGGGAACAGACGTAGACATAATTCTAGGGTCGCGTAATTCACAAGTCGCACGAGCCTTTGCAGCTGCTGGCGGCGACTCATTCAGGGACAATTGCCTACCAAATGGCTCTAGGCAAGCAGGTGTGTGTGGCATTGATTGTCGCATGGCGATCTCTCCAATAGACGCCCGGCAACAGCTGGCAACGAATCCACAGCGCTTCACCCACAGCGGGGACCGACACCCTTCTCTAGCATTCCAACCATAATTCTTTGCAAAAGGCGACCCAGAGTACGCCATTGCTGGGTCTCAAAGGGCTCAGCGTAGCGCCCGAGGATATCAGGGTGCTGAAGTTGACCCGGCCCTTTATTCACATGGAACAGACGCCTGTATACAAGCCAACAACGCAGCGTATCGACCTGCTGGCCATATACCATGCCATTTAGTGTCTGGCAACAGGAAGACGTTTCCCTAAGTGTTCTGGCATCCCACAAGCGACTGACTTGTCCTGTGGCATGCACTCTAGGGTCATGTCGCGATTGGGCGCATAGCTGGCGCCGGGGGGCATCTCATGTTTCGGCCTCGACAGACAGGCTCTAGATAGGATCAAGACAGATGATGTGTTAATCCGTTTCAATGCGGTCGTAGCCCACTTGCGTGGCTAAGGGTGGCCTGTCATCCCTAGTAGTGTATATACTAGTCATCAACTGAGGCGCAATCGCATATGCTTTGGAGGGGAGTATGCGCTGTGCTTTTGATGCCATTTTGCTCCTACAAGTTGTATTCCAAAAAGCTTTTATTGCAAAGGCGACTGTCAATTTGTGGTTTGAGGCGCGTCTGGAAAGTGCGTCGTGACCTTTGAGCGGTCCTAGTCGGGGTGGTCCTTAAGTGCTTCGCTTCGGTGCCATTGCTCAACCCACCTCCAACGCATCTCGGTGGCAGTCCACAACCACCACCTTCTCGTAAGTCTCCAACCTTCTCATCAAGCATCTCATTCATCTGGGCTCGCGATCTGGCATCCAGATCGCTCCAATCTCGGTCTGCGCATTCCGGCCGCTGACCTGACGCTGCCATCCAGCGGCGATACACGGGATCGCATCGAAGCGTCTCCGCTACCTTTCTGCGCTCCTTGAACCCACTGCCAGTATGTATAGCTCCTCATGGCGCCTTGCGACCGGGTTGGCATCTACACCTCGTCGCGACGCGGCCCCTGGGCCTCTCGCGCTATCCTCCCTAGAGACCGTCACTGGGCAGCGGTGACGACCCCCCAACGGCCTCCAGCCCGACACACACTCTACGGAACAGGGCAACGCCCATTTCGGATGCCATCAAAGCGAAAAAAGAACCGTCGGCTAACACCATACTATCCAGACACCGCGCCCACTTATCCTTCCACGACCGTCCATTCATCCTAAGCTCTTGCGACACCGGCAGGCTTGGTGCGCCCCCCTACCACACACATACAATCAACCCTCTCATTCTAGAGGCTTTGGAATACGCGGATAACACAAGGATCATTGGTAATGCAAGTTTCCAACATGCTTGCTGAGCCTCGGATTGCTGGCGCACAACGCTTCCCTGAGGTCGAAGACCTCATAGCGGGCCGACATCACGAAGCCATGCACTCGGCGGCTGGCTACGACATGGCGCCCCAGAGGGAAGACGTGAGCATGATGGACGTCTACCCAAGCACTGAGACTGGCCTGGCGCATGATTCCCTGTCGCCCTCCAAGCAGATGCCCAAGAAGCACGTCAGCTTCGAGCTGCTACTCCCCCAATCCCCAGCCCATAAAGCACGTCTACCAATGCGGGTAGACATCTACCCACACGATACAACAGACTCCATCATTACAACAGTGAAGAACTTCTACGGCCTGTATGAGCGCCGTGGTGTCATCTTTGAAGACCGCCATGGCAACACGCTCATCGCGCGGTTTGAGAACTTCGAACATGGCATGACTGTCTATGTCCGAGTCTCTCCAGAAAGCCTGGATGCAGATGAGTACTCTCCTGATCCGCGACAGACGACTGTCTCACCCCGCCGTCCTCGCCCTCACCTTGAGGAGGCCTTCCAGATGCTCCCGCCTCATCAGCACAATCAAACAGGCGCAAGAGCGGGGTCTCGCCATGCTCGCCAAAGCCATTCTCCACACCCAAGTCGTGGCCGCAGAAGTGCTTCAATCAGCAAGCGCATGCGCCCCTCCACAAAGAGCCGCGGAAACAGCTCACATGACAGCTTCGCTGAGGCGAATGGCGACGACTACAGCGACAGCGAGGGCGAGCATGGCTCAGTTACCAGCTCTCGCCGCTCGAGGAAGGAGCCACTCGCCAGTGCTGAGATCAGTGTCGACAACATTGTCGAAGGTGGGCGTCGAAAGCGTGCAAAGTTTGACAGCTCGGTAAGTACCTTGGGTGGGAGAGTGCATCGTGCAATAGTCTGACACCCATCCCTTCCATAGGAGCTGCCACTTTTCGTTCCGCCCCAGGTACCCATGACCACTTCTTTGTCATCAGCGTCTCCTCAGCGACGCATCAGTGGTAATACTGCTGGCTCGCCATACTCTATCAACCAGCAGACATTCTCATACTCACACCCACTGCCATCGCCGCAAAGCTACGGTCAAGGTGACAGTTCGTACATGCAAGGATTGATCACGCCCTACTCTACATCGAGTGGCCCGGCGCAGGGTAACAAGTCTCGTGCGCGGGGCTCAGGACAGCATTCCCACTACCGCTACTCTGGCAGCAGTGGAATGCTCCCCACCCCTGATACCACGCTTACAAGCATCAGCGTCATCTCTGATGAAGATGTTGCTCGTCAGCTCATGCGTTTGGGCGATGCGTCCAACTTCTCTACACATGGTCGTACCTCGACTTCAACGCTTGATGATGCCTTCAGCGGAAAGGCTGATGCAGCATCTTCGAGTGACGAGAGTGCTGATGGCAGTGAGGACGAAGCCGAGCTGCCACCCCTCCCATACAACATGTCTCGTGGACTTCATGATATGACTCGTGTCTACGATGACGCCGACAGCAGTGGCGAGGACTACGAGGACGAACAAGACGGCTCCTTCAAGGGCGTCAGTGATGAGATGATGGCGGATGAGCACAACAATCAGCGTGTACAGGCAGGTATCATCAAAGCTCGTTCCATTTCGAGCAAGTCTGGCAAGCCCAACAAGTCTCGATCCGTGTCTAAGAGCAAGAGCAAGACGAATGGTACCAACAAAGCTGCCCCCATGTCGCCATCATCTCTTCCCTCGCAGTCACGCAAGGCCTCGAATGCATCAATCAACTTCCAGCATCAACTCGCTGTTGATGAGGAGGATCTCTCAAGCAAGCCGCGGTGCCAACGCTGCCGCAAGAGTAAGAAGGGCTGTGATCGCCAACGCCCTTGCCAGCGCTGCAAAGACGCTGGTATCAGTGCCGACGGATGCGTCAGTGAAGACGAAGGCAACGGCCGGAAGGGCCGCTATGGACGCCACATGGGCGTCTCCGTCAAGAAGAACTCGGTCCCGTCTGCAGTCTCAATGGCGCCTCCGCCAGCATACGAGTACAACATGGCTGTGGACGGCCCACATGCTCTAAGTACATCACTGGACAAGAGCAAGAAGCGCAAGAGGTAGACACCATCTTGCGAAGATCAGTTTGTTGATCTACAAAACTCAAGCAATCCCTGCTTGCTATCAATCCTTACATTTCACGTTGTGCCACTTTGTGGTGCTACTCCCAACATATTGTCATTACTGTATCTTGCAGCACCCCCACTCTTTTTTTCTCTTCTTGTCCGTCTCTGGTGTTTTGGATAGCGAGTGTTTGCACTATCTGGTTGGGTGGTATTCTTATCGCCATCCTGTTCCGCTCCTTCTCAGCAAGTCAAAAAGTGTCTTTTTGCGCACTGCGTGTACAGTTGGGCGTCGATGGAGAGAGGCGGGACTGGAGATTGTCACGGTGTTACAGGACTAGATTGCACTGGACCGATGGGAGGCACTGGTTGGGTAGAGGATTTGGGCTGGCTGGGAGAATGGTTTTGTTTTGACTGTCCATACTGGTTCGCTTTGGCGAATGTTCTCCTACATACTACTTGATAACGTTGTTTGACAAAGTAGCGTCATTTGTCAATTATATTCAATTGAGCTCTTAGAAACAAAGTGGATCAAATCAGGCCTGTTGTCCATGTGTACATGTGCGGCACATGGCATACCGGTGAGGATTTGTTATGGGTCACACTGCATTGGTGCATCTACCCTGGAAACGTCATGCCTCATGATCCCATGCTGCAAGCACATGGTTGCTGCGACGACCAAGGTACCTTTGCTGTCAGCCCGATACTCAATAGCAACGTCGGGCCATGGCTGACCAAGACAGCGTCAGGCTGCTGCTGCCAGCCTTGAACTTGGACGGAGAGACAGGCGAGGGACGAGGGACGAGGAACGAGGGGTGAGTTACTACAGGGATCAGCGGGAGCTAGGGTCGGAGGCTGTGCTGCCTGCAATCAATACCACTAGCCATCCGTAAGGCGTTCTCCTGTCACTCGTATTGTACGTCCAGCCGCCCAGTCACTCGTTCGTGCTATAATCGCTCTCTCCGTCTACCCTTTACCTGCTCTGTCGCGCTGAGTTTTCCCAGCCAAGTTGCGCAGCGACGCGCCAAGGTGACGGTTCACGATTGAGTGCTGCTCAATCGACTCTTCGTCACCAGCCACAGCTAAACCGGTTCCGCTCCGACCACCCCACAGAACGCGAACGCCATGGCCGAGGGCTCCATCAAGTCGCGCATCGCAGCACTGAACCTTGAAGAGGTCCATACACCTGTTCCTGGCGCGAAGCCGTCCTATATCTTCGATGCAACCACCACCAAGAAGAAGCCGCCTCCTCCTCCCCCGCCCAGCGCGCGGCCACCAGCCTACTCGCGCCAGACGGCCAACAACCCGCCAGTCCTCAGCAATGCGCCCACGTCTGCGCGACAACTTGGCAACCAGCCTGCAGTAGTAAACGAGACCGTAAGCCCAAAGATCTCGCCTGCACTGCCTCCCCGGTTGCCCCCGCGCAATGGCAGTACGCCTCGACAGACGCCAACACTACCTCCTCGCAAGTCCTCCGAGTCGAGCGTACGGAGGCGCGAGTCTTCCGAGTCTATTTCCACAATCGCTTCCAGTATTTCGACCTTGTCATTGGGCTCTGTGAAGACATATGGCGCCGCACACAGTAATGGAAGCACTGGTACGCTGCACAAAGTCAGGGCTCCTGCATTCGACCCAACGAAACTGCCCCCACTGCCACCAAAAAGGACTTCCGAAGACTCCAAGCAGAGCAACGCCACTCTGAATGCGATGAAAAGTAAACGTGATTATGTTCCTGCGCGAGCCCTCCCGCCGCAGGTCAAGACTCCAGGTAAGCATAGTAGACCAACAAATAGACATGAGCATGTGCACGCATGTTGTCCATGAGTTGCAAGTGAGCCACTGGCAGGTCATACCACAAAATCTCGATAGATACATCAAGTAGGAAAGACGCTGACTGTGATTGTATATAGACGTACCAGCCCGTCCGCCTTTGCCTGCCCGACAATCAATCCTTCGCGAACGATCGCCTCAACCCGCTCCAGTCCTGCCACAGAGGCAGGCGTCCAACGATGCGCCGCGAGTGAATAGAGCAGTTGCGCCCCCACCACCACAACGTCCTCCCCAGCGATCTGCATTGGAAATGGGTTTCAACAATAAGGCGCCCTCTCCTCCTCCCGTACCCTCCTCCCGACCGTCGGCAGTCACATCCAAGTCCACACCCTCACCAAAAGTACCCCCACCTATCCCATTGTCGTCTAGACCCAATCTAGAGGCGATCATGGCCTCGAAGCCAAAGCCAGGTGCTGTTGGGGGCTGCCTGAAATGTCGGGACTTCTCTGCTCCGGACAATCATGCTGCGCAGTTTCCACGCACTCAACTCCCTTCTTCTGATGTTGGCTGGCTTGCTCATCAACTCTGCTCCCAGTTTTCTTCGCCAACCGATAAAGCACGTGTCATTTTCACCTGGCTACACCATAATGTTGACTATGATGTCCACTCGTTCTTCAACGGTACTGTTTCCCCAACTACTCCAGAGAAGACTATCGCCTCTGGCCTCGCAGTGTGTGAGGGCTATGCTGGTCTATTCGCTGCTTTAGCTCTAAAAGCAGGTCTCGAAGCCATAGTCTGTTCTGGCGCCTGCAAGGGGTTCGGCTATACACCACTAGAGCCTGGACAGGCCGTACCACCCTATAAATCCACGCATGCTTGGAATGCTGTGAAGATCGACAACGGAGAATGGAAACTTATTGACCCATGCTGGGGAGCTGGGCATATTGGGTGCCAAATGCGTGGTGAAGGGTACGTTTCCTGAGCAGTGACTTCACTTGGTAATTTACTGACTTAGCCATAGATATGTAAAGTCATTCAATGCGCGCCAGTTCACTATGGATAACGACGAATTTGGTTTGCGGCACTTCCCTGGGGACGCTTCTCAACAATTGCGCAGTGATGGGCGCATCATCTCCTATGAAGAATTCATGCGAGATGATCAGGGTGGCCGCGTACAGGTATATGGCGACGCTTTCAAGGAGCACGGCTTGGGCGAGCGAACATTTGAGCCTTCGCAAGCACAGATCAAAGCCAACGACCCCTATGCATCAGCAGTGGTTAGATTTCAGTTCTCGACCGTCTGTCCCCACTGGGACAATGCGCGCCATGGCAAAGGCCCGCCCTATATCATGCTCCTGAGTATTGCGGGAAGAGATGGCCGCAAACCAGATTACAAGCCGTTCAATACGGACGGGCATACTTGGTGGGTCGACGTTCCTCGGGTCGAGCTCGGTGTACCAGGTCAAAAGATTGCAGTCAATGCGATCACCGAATTTAATGGTCATGACGCTCGGGGTATGAGCATTGATACATGGAACAATAAGCAAGGGTACTCGTGCAAGTTTGGTGGTGTGGCCGCATGGGAGCTTATTTAGGGCTCAGGGACATTCCCTGTCGGCTCACATTGTTGATGTCGAAAACAACGCGGACTCGATAAGGATCTGAAGACACGAGAGCGATGAAAGAGGTGGGGAAAAGGCGTGTGGATACCCTGGATTTGATTTGGACTTGGCGAATGGTATGAGCTTAATAATCCTTTTGGAATCCTAAAATAACAACGCTGGCTGCGTTTACAACCGGATCGCCGTGCATTGCATATGTTTATATTAGGGCGACTACCATTGCGACATGTGAAGACGTGCCATCTTACGTCAGCAGCCGTTTGGGTGGCTTCCCTGTGGCTGGATTAGCGGCTTAGCCCGATCGGCGAAACAGTGAAGTCGGGTAGGAAAGTAGGAACAACGGCAGTGCATGCGCGCGACTTGTACCCTCCACCTCCACCCTTCCGATCCGGGGGTCGCCCTCTTGTTAATACGCCCTAGAAGCCCCTTCGAGGTTCTCCACGCTCACGTCCCGCACGATCGACTCACGTCGCTGGAACGCATCAGTGCTCGATCGCTGCGCTTTACGAAGTTCCGCTTCGTTTAGCAACCGCCCGAGGCAGAACTTTGGAACAGCCTCGTGCGTCCCGTTTGCAACCATGGCTACGGGCTTTGTCGGGCTCTCGGTCGCAGTGACGCTTCGGAATCCTCCTGGGGCTGTCTTGCTAGGTGTCGTGAGTGGTGTCGACCAGCAGACGGCCACCTTGACTCTCCATGATGGTATGTTTACAAACCGCTTGTAGTCGCGGCAGACGAAGAATACGTACTCACCCTTGACAGTGTTCTTTCCAAGCTCCGGTCATCGTCTTCCTTCATACACCGTCGAAGGGCACATGATTGCTGATATCAAGGTCAATGCCTCTGCACCCGCTCCTCCGCAACCTCCACAGCCACCATCTGAACCCCCAACGTACGCGCAATACCCCCAGAGCCATGTCCAAGATGTCCGAGCGAATGCTGCCCAGCAAATGCCGCACCTTGTCAGTCAGCCATCGTCCATACCGCACGATGACCATTCCATGAATGCACGCAACGGCTCACGTCAATCTATTTCCCACTCGGTCCAGGCTGTGCCATTCATCGATCCTGCGATCCTGAGTATGGGGAAGCGCACCAATACTACAATCTCTTCGAGTCAGCTTGCTGCAGCACCACCCCAGGAAGCTCCCGCCACACCAATCACGGCTGTGGTTGGCGCGAGCGCTACGCCTCTGCCCAAAACTACATCTTCGTCTATCAGTAAGGTGAAGCATCAAAATGTTCGGAAGCCAAGCGCCGCGACACTGGAGGGGCCTTTCTCGTCGCTGGACATTGCAGATGCTGAAGAAGCAGATAATGAGACGAGGACTGCTAGAATCGCGCCGCGTAGAGCAAGCATCAGCAAGACGAGAACAGGCAAGCCTATGGATGATGTGAGCCCTCAGAAGAATGACGATGGTGGCAAGAAGACTCGGAGGGGAGGCAAGTCTCGTAAGAAGGAAGTTGCGGCCCAAGAGAGAAAGAACGGGGTTGACTTCCAATCTGCTGGTGGCATCAAGAAAAGGTACGTGCGCTTCTTTGTGCGGAGGTGGCAACCCGACTATCGAACCTGCATAAGCTGACTAGCAATAGCAAAGGCAATGGTTGGAGGAATACGCCCATGCTACATGCTGCTGAGGAACCACAGACCAGAACACCTGGGGTTATTGGTGGGAGGGTCGGCATCGCAGCAGCGAACGCCTCGAATCGTAAGACGAAACGACAGCAAGCTCTTGATGCTACCAACGGCTGGGCTACCGAAGACGCGACCGACATCCAAGACCTGCCCGAGTTCGACTTCCAGAGCAATCTCTCCAAGTTCGACAAGCGCACGGTATTCAACCAGATTAGGAACGAAGATACAACAGCGGACGAGGATCGCCTAGTCAGCTTCAACCGTCTAGCGAGGCCTGGAACACATGGTGGAAAGAATTTGCATCCTTCAGAGAATGTACTGGATCGAAAGCTGAAGAGCACGACCAACACAAGCTCTGAAGAGGAATCCGACTTTGGTAGCGGGCGAAACTCCAGGCGAGCAATGTCAAGAGCTTCTATTAAACGAGCACCTACACGGCAAGGCAGCAGTGTTCAAGCCGACATGGACGTAATGGGCTCAGGGGTGCTTCCGCGAAGTAACCGTTCATTCATCAATCGGCCCTATGCTTCTTCACACGCCACTGGTAGTCCCAGGCCCGGCCGCACCGCTACGCCTCCAGACTCACCTGCTGAGTCTAACGCAGCAAAAGGTTGTCTACGTTTAGTCCCAAATAACCGCAAATGCTTTGCTATCACACCAGGAGGCATGTTGGCGGTTGAAGAGACTGCTGAAGTAGAGTTTGGTCTGACTGAAGAGCTTATTGCAGAAAATTCAGGGAGAGGTATTGCTGAAGTCGCCCTCACAGCGATTAATCCTGGTGGTAGAAGACTGGCGCGCGACAACCCTAATGCCAATCCTGTCATAGTCGTTCTAGCAGGTAATCACCGTGGTGGAGCACGAGCCATAGCAGCAGCACGACAGCTCGCTCAGCGTGGACCAAAGGTCATGGTTGCACTTCTTGGTTTCGAGCGCAATGCCGATTGGGACAAGGACATACGGCGGCAAGTTGATATGTTCCGAAAATTTGGTGGTTCAGTTCGTGCATGGAAAGATACTGAAGAAGCTCTCAAACGCCTACAAGCACCACCCGAACTAATCATCGACGCTTTACTTGGTCGCCACAAGGAATTCGAGGCTCTGGGCGACGAAGATCAACGCGTTGTCCTTAGTATCGTAGGCTGGGCGAACAAGTCCCGCGCCGCCTGTCTAGCCGTGGAAACCCCATCAGGTGTGGGTGGATCCACTGGTGAAGTGTCCATCCTTGAAGGTGAGCCTCTCGAAGTCCGTGCAAAGTATATCGTTTGTCTTGGTGCACCACGAACGGGGCTGTTGAAAGCGCTCCAACATGGTGCTGGACGCGATCCGAAATGGCTCATCTGGATCGTAGATATTGGTGTAAACAAGCCCTGGCGCAATGCTGGTATTAGTGGTGGCAAGGGGATCAAGTTTGGTGAGCACTGGGTTGTCCAGGCGAGGTTTGAAGAAGGGACGGCAGGAGAAGGTGTTGCGAGGGTTTAGAAGCGAGCAAAGTGGAAATGACATTGTCCGCCTTAAGCAGCCGCCCTCGGGTCACCGGACTATGCATTGCGTGGGCGCTTTTTCTGTCTTTCGGTCAGCTCGGGTGGCGTTAGTTCGCTTCTTGTTACCTGCTTGGTTTGTCATTAGAGGGTCGAGGAAAGGGGTATCAAAAAACATTTGGCCTGTTTTGGGCTTGTACAACTATTTGCTGACGGAGGGCCACATAGATGTGCCTCGAGTAGGGTGCAATAATTCAAGATATGAAAATTGAGCCAGGTTGGGTTGTTTGTCATGACTGGTGTTTGAAATTTAACACGACAGAGTGAACTCATATCGTGTTTTGATGCTATACATTACTTGATTTTCCAATCTCTTGAAAATCATCAAAACTTGCTAGCCCCCTATGCTAGAGAGCTTTCCAACATACTACTGCTCGCTGCCTATTCCATACGCAATATTTCTTTCTTATCCCTCTTCGCAGATCCCCCAACTACCAGAATTGACTTCGTAGCTCTTATACTCCGGGCCCCTTTGTTGATATAGCGGCTACGGAAAGATATCTGAATGAGTGCTCACCACTTGACGAGTTTGATCTCCTTGGCTTTGGAGATAGCTTAGGTGAAAATAACACTGCTTGCTGCAGGCTGACAGACTTCCAGTGGCTGTCCGTATGTAGGGCTTGAGTGGCGCCAGCCTCGTCCGTCTCTGAGAGACAGTGTCTTGAATATGTCTTCAGCCCTGGTAAGCAAACGTGCAAGCACCTCCACGCATTTCGGGGTGAAGGAAAGAAGAAAAAAGTCCAATGCAAATTATAAATGCGATCCAACATTTTTCCACGCTCGACTTTCTTCGAGTCCAGTAACAAAGCCACAAACTCTCTGCACCAAGTCTTCAACAACATGTTCGGGATCATCTTCGAGATTATGATGAGCACCAGGAATAACACCGCCATCCACGTCGTCGACAATGCGACCTCTTCCCCGCATTATTTTCGTCCATCGCTCTAGGAGTGCCTCTCTATCGACCGAATCAGGGATATATGGGTCCTCGGAGCCGAGTAAGAAGCATACTGGTGTGGTCCTGGGAATCCTGCCAAAAGTCTTGGTGAATTGCTCGTCTGAAAGGTCGCTTGAGAAGTAATCATCGTCGCCGCCCTTTGCAAGCAGCGAATGCGCGCGGTATGCGTTGAGGGGCCCTCCCATCTCCTTCAGTACAACATTGTCCTCTGTTGACAAAATCTCCTTTCCCTTGCCTGCATCAATCAATTCTTTAGTATGCTTAATAGCTTGCTCCAACGCCTCCTTTTTCTCTCCTTCCTTTGCGAAATCTTCCCATGCCTCACGGTCACTGACTCCACCCTGGAGAATAACACCATCGAGTGCCTCGCGCTTCTCTTTTCCCTTGCCAACAAGATACTCCATTATATCTTGACACCCCGTAGAATGGCCCATGACGACAATCTTCTTGCCTGGGCGCAACTGCTTGAAATACGAGACACATTCCGCCAGCTCGCGGGCATCGCGCGAGAGAGAGCTAGTGCCCCAGCCGCGGTAGGATGAGCCGAGCAGAACCTCTACTATGACCCAATTATCCGGAAGCGATTTTGCGATTTCAGACGGATAAGGGACTGTAAGAAGGCCATCGCCCAGACCGCCTACCCAGAGAATGGTATTTGGCGCATCAGCAAAAGGATTAAGGTATGAGTGCTCGAATGCGACTCGGCGTTTGGAGTACTTGTGTGCGGTACCGGGATATGCCATTGCGACAGGAGTAGTGGTAGTGGTAGTTATTGACGAAGACAACGGCGGTGACGACGACGACGACGACATGATGGGAGGGAGCGCGTACCAGCACTTCTATATAACTAAGAACAAGGATTTCACCCAAGTCAGGGAGTAGACAACAATAGCACACACGAAAAATCTCGAACTTCTCGCCCAGCAAGTGGCGTTACTGTAAACAGGACAGATGAGTTTGTACCGGGTGGCTTTTTGGTCCCTTCCCCAAATCCGACTTAAAGCGCAAAAACCGCCCCGTCCGCGTGACTACCGAGGAATATGGAGAAAAGTATCCGCGATTTGTTGATTCCCTCAATTAATCGGGAAAGTGGGGAACCCATCGCAAGGGTCCTTGGGAAAAGAGGAAAAGCCCTATCACGATTCAGGCGGGGTAGCCGGCTTCCTAACGAAGTAGAGGTAGTATATAGAGCTGAAAATCAATTTAGTACTACTAATAGTGCTACTTGCTAGAAGCAACTAGTTGGTATTCACGACACGCGACTGAATAAAGGCGCCTTTTTCTCTCTTCCCCTTCTCTCACGCGCATAGCTACGAAGCGCCCCCTCGGAACCCATGACTTGTTTATACTTACTTCACCGGATGTCAAGGCTCATAGTTAACATTTTACTTCCTTAACCTACTGAAGCCACCCCAGATTCCTTCCAAGTGGGAAGGGAAAACAGTAGCGCCAAACCATCCCCGTTCATCTCACGCTACGCCCTCTATTCCTTTAAGAAAAGACAGGTCACAAGATCAATGTTCGCTTTCCGCAACCGGGAAAATTGTCTCTCTTTACAGTCCAGACCCTCAGAAACATTCACCCGGAACCCCTTTTTTAGTTGTACTAATTAAACTCCTTCTGGAAACAAGAGCGCGGCTGATACGCGAAGGTCTAGAAGTGCGCCATGGGACGCCCGCTTATTTTGTTTGCACACTTGCAACTTGGGGAGGTTGTTTACTAATAGTTGTTACCCGAAAGTTTATTTTGGGGGGGTTTTTGAAAGGGGAAATTAGCGAACGGAATGCCCGCGCTTGCCAGCCTCGCCGTGAAGTCTTTTTAGGAGGGTGGCGCTGATCGGGCGCGTTGTGATGAAAGACGATTTCGTGAGGTGATTGATCTGCCGAGGTTGATCAATTGGGGAACAAGGGTCTTTGCAATCGTCACAAACGGGCGTTCTCGGAATTGGTTAACATGGGGACATATGGTTCTCTTCGCCGTTTCGTATTCCGTTGCTTTAGCTACATATTCGGCGCTATATTTGTTGTTTGATACTCGCGACTCTTGACTCTGCATGTCGTGATGTTGGCATCTGCAAGGAAAAAAACTACCTTGTCATTCTTCTCATCCCACCATCCGTTTGGCTCGATATATCTGGGCAGAGTCCGGTCAGAACAAGCCCTGAATACGACATGTCTACTGAGTATTCCTTGGAAACTTATGATTTGAAAACTATATTCTCGCGGCAGAATACGTCCAAAAAACAGGCCATTTGCAGACAAGTCAGGGACACGGGTTCAAAGAAACAAATGCAAACTAGCAGATGCGAAGCAACCTCGATTTGTCTTATTTACACACTAGCAAAGGCGCTTCTGTACTAAGAAATCGAAAGGCAGTCTTCAATGGCGCTACGTAGTTCCGCTAGTCCAGTCCCTTGCATTCGGCTGCCAGCACTAGAGTCAATACCCGAGACATTGAACCATCGAACCATCCAGCCCGCAAAAAAAGTCTCACGCCCCCCTTGACGCCACACATACACAACTGACGTCGAATTACACGTTTTCTCAGGCGCACAATGACTCACGAAGGTCTGGTGGAGACAAACTACACGGCCTTTAGTTGCAGCCGGTATCAGATAGCCCCGGTATCAAGAAGTGCCGGCTTTCCTCGGTAGATGCGCCCTCCAGATTGGGTCGCCCTCCCGTTTGACCCGGCCTAGCCTTCGCTCAACTTCCACCACAACCTCGTGGAACGGGACCCTTCTCTTGATGCTGAACGTTGTTTGGCAAGTGCTACAGTCAATGCTAATGCGCTTTGAGAAGCGACCTTCCATCATGATCTCCTGGCGGTCCCCCACCATACGCTCGATTGCTTCTGTATCACAAGCAGTCATGTGGGGACAGATCTTGAGGTTCAGAAGAGCCAGTGCATCTTTCGTTTGTTGAACCGAGACAGGCACAGCCTAGGGTACCATTAGGAGCAGAAACTTTGATCGAAGAGTAACTGTATGCGTTTTGGGAACAAGAGATAGCATTGGAGGATGTAAACATCTACCTGGACGGCGTCTTTGATGCGGAAGCTCGTAGCACTCGATGCAATGGAAAAAGTCGCCAAACTTGTTCTGACGACCTTTTCTCGCATTCTTTCGCAATAGGCTAGCCATTTCCAAGAAAGTAAACTCGTTGTGTGGACACATGAAAAAGGGACCATCGGTTGCTCGGAAGCATTTGCGCAAGTGTCGTGGTTGTGCCATCGTGTCCTCTGGAAACCTAAAGCGAGCATGCGGCCGCCTGCATCCTACACAGTATATCATACCAACTCTGCGTCCAATCCAGGCCTGAAAACAGCAGTCGTTACCGTAAAAATGGTCTCTTCTTATTCTGCTCCTGATATCTTTGACGTGCAGTTGCTTGACGCCCAGTGGATCGCAGATAGCGAAAAGGGCATCGGCATATTTATAGCTCGTTGATGCGAAGCAAACACGGTCCGCATAGCTTAGCAACGTGCCGATGTGCTGGATAATCTCATATGGTAGAGTGTAGAGTGAACTATTGTGTGTATTTTGAGTGTAGTTCCGCGTAGCGTGTCGAAAGGCGACAGATGACCGGGTTAGTTTTTTGACGAGGCTTTTGGGCATATTGCTAGCTAGGAGGCTGTAAATCTGCCACCATATCTCTTTGTGCAATCAGCACAGATATGAATCAATGGAAGTTTTGCCTGCAGATGTGCATGGCTCGCTAAGAGTGTTGTTTCCATGGCTGTGAGGTTGTCAAGCAGCCAGTCAGTGGGAGCAAATCGTCAAGGGCGTGTCCTGATTGCAAGATTCGCGGGGTGTGCTAAATGATTGAATATGATGATCGAACAATTACTACTTGTACTCCTCAGGGTGTCGGTACTCATTACGTATAGCGGAGCTGTGATGGATGGCTGAGATGGCAGTAAATCCATTGTGTTTGCTCTGTTAGGGTCAAATGTCGAATGGCTTCAATATGCGCTTCCGATTGGCCTGATCCAAAACAAGGAAACGCATCCGCATTCGGAGTGCCTGCTGTGCGAAGGAGCAGATGGAGCAATTCAACAAGTGAATAAGAAAAAGAATCTAGAGCTGGGGACCGGAAAGTCCAGAATAAGGAAGCCGTTGCCTCTGCCGGCAGGTCGGGGTTTGGGGCAAAACCCGACAACCCCACCATAACCCTAGTTACCCCTCACATTCTTGTTTGCGCGACCCCACTTGGGACTCTCGGGGCCGTCCAAGAGGGACCTGGCAGATCGGCACACGTCAAATGACAAGAAGAACAAGCGATCCGGACGGGCGCTTTCATGAGGTGTCGTCGGATCGGATACTAAAAGTTGAGAATTCTTTAATAAAATTTGGTTTCCCCCTTCCTCTATACTTTCTTGCTCTTTGTCGCGCATTGATTTGAACCATTCATATATCAATATAAATAAACATGTCGTGTACGTATTCAAGCGTCAAATTCGAACAAGAGCATAGTGCAATTGCGCGTCAACAACTAACAGTACTCAGTAAAACATTTTATTCACGATCCTACGCACCTGGTCAATACAGCGCTTCTGAGCATCCCAAAGACGAATCCGTCCGTGCAATGCGATATCGAGAATAAGATCATATATCGCAAGAATGGCGCGTCACAGGTGTCCATCGTCTCTGGTGGTGGTAGCGGCCACGAGCCTTCTTTCGCTTCCTTCGTTGGCGCAGGACTTCTTTCCGGCGCGGTAGCAGGTACTATATTTGCATCTCCAAGCGCAGAGCAAATACGAAGGTGTATCTTGCATCGCATTCAGAAAGACAAGGGCGTCCTCGTGATTGTAATGAACTACACCGGCGACGTGCTGAATTTTGGTATGGCCGTAGAGAAGGCACGTGCTGCTGGCATCGAGGCCGACATGGTGGTTGTGGGTGACGACGCTGGTGTAGGGCGGGCCAAGGGTGGAAAAGTAGGGCGAAGAGGCATCGCCGGAACCGTGCTTGTTCAGAAAATTGCTGGAGCGCTTGCAGCAAAAGGGTATGGAACAATGCCAATCAGAGTAATAGCGAAGATGCAGCTTCACTAACAAGATGCAGAGCGAGTCTCAAGGATGTAACGCGAGTAGCGCAACTCGTCGCCGACAATACCGTCTCAATTGGATCTTCACTAGCACATGTCCACGTACCAGGCCGCCGAGAGCCTGAAGAGGATGAGTTGAAAGACGGCCAAGTCGAGATCGGGATGGGCATTCATAATGAGGCTGGCTCGGAGCGCAAATCTACCGATCTTCCCGGTCTCGTGAAAACCATGCTTTCCCACTGTCTCGATGTCGCAGACAAAGATCGAAGCTTCTCTTCTATAAATGCAGAGGACGAGGTTGTGCTATTGATCAATAACCTAGGAGGAGTCAGTCCGCTCGAGCTGAGCGGTATCACGAACGAGGTTGTCGAGCAACTGGCGAACAACTTCAAAATCAAACCTGTGCGCATACTTGCCGGTACTTTCATGACCAGTTTGAATGGACTCGGATTTAGCATCAGCATGCTCAAAGTCACCGATACACAATCACTAGGCGCTTCCATGCTTGAGTTACTCGATGCACCTGCTGAGGCGAGTGGTTGGGCTGCAGCAATCAGTAGTAGCACATGGGCAAGACGTGACGAGGCAAAGAAAAATGAAGAAAAGGTAGACGAAGAAGAAGTCTTGCCCAGTGATTTGAGAAGTGAGTACTGCACAACACAACATAGATCACGCACTGACGTCGGATAGTAAACTACACCCAAGCGAAGTCAGTATTGACAACTGCACTGAACAGACTGATAGCTGCCGAGCCTGATGTCACTAAATATGACACGATTGTAGGAGATGGCGATTGTGGAATCGGACTGAAACGTGGCGCAGAAGGTAAGGTCTTGATCACATGTGCACTGTTGCCTGATGCTGACATCCAACAGCAATTCTGAAGATGCTCGAAACGGCAAAGGAAACAGATGATCTGCTGATCCTCGTAAACAACATCATTCAAGTGGTTGAAGTAGCAATGGACGGGACGTCAGGCGCAATTTACGCCATCTTCTTGAATGCACTAGCCCATGGATTACGAAAGGATTCGCCTTCTTTCCCTCAACCCGTCACTCCTACAATTTGGGCCAAGGCTCTCGACTCATCCCTAAAAGCACTTGGCAAGTATACGCCTGCAAAGCCCGGCGATCGAACGTTAATGGATGCTTTGTATCCATTCATTGAGACACTATCCAAGACAGAAGATGTCGACAAAGCAGCTGCAGCGGCGCAGGGAGGAGCGCAGGGAACGAAAGGAATGAAAGCGAGCTTGGGGCGGACGGTGTACGTTGGAGGTGAAGGTTTCCAAGAAGTTCCCGACCCTGGTGCGCACGGTCTTGCAGAACTTCTGCTGGGCCTGAGTGATGGATTGAAGAAGTAAAGGTTGATGGGTATCGTTCTTTGATTCGTTCGGCGGTTATCGCCGAATTCGCGGCGTCGATTATATAACTTTTAATGCATTCGAACTCTAAATTGCGTGCATCCATCTTGCACTCCCGTCTCAACACCAAGTCGCGTCCAGATTCTTATGAGAGCAAGACAAGGATGACGGAATCGCCTCGGAGAAACCTATACAGAGTCAGTACATTGCGAAAAACGTGACGATATCTTAGACATACAGCTTGGAAATGAAGCGATCCTTGTTAACCTTCCTTCCATAGCTACCGTTGGCTAACCGTGGCGTCTCGGTCCACATCTCCTTGGCATTCTCGAGGACCATGTTGCAGTGGCGGTCAAAAGCCTTTACGCGTGCGAGGATCTTGCGGTTGTTTCGGCACGAAATCAGCACCTGTGTGCGCGAGCGGACGGCGGTCTGAAGAATAGAAAGAGGACCGGTGGTGAGCTCATGCTCTTCGACTTGCGCGACCTCGTATTCCCTAAGTAGAAAACGTTAGCCTCTTTGCACCATTGAATAGTACAGGAGGATACATACGTTAACTCGGAGCGTGGCTTGGAAAGAAGCTCCCTGTGAGGTGTCAGTACTGACCTTGCTATTGGAGCTTGCGTGCTTTTACTCACTGAATCTTCGCGTCGACCATTTTGACAGGGAGTATGGGGTACTAAGCGCGGATCTAGAAGAAAAAGAACCTCTATTACTAATTGCTGTTAACAAACTGAGTCCTCAGCTTCTGCCTTCGAATTTTGATTTGCAGCTCGAACAGGTACTGCGCAAGGATTGGGTCGAGCAAAAGAAGTGCACAGACCAGTGGCGGAAAGACTGACCTAGTTTAGAGAGGGAGGACACCACGGCAACGAGCTTGGATGAGGTGGAGCGGTCGGCGATAATGGTGAGGCAGGGCGATGAAGTGATCGAGCTTGGCTGAGATGAAGTGCGGGCTGCAGTTTTTCCGACACCGGGCCAATCAGTACGCGTCAGAAAGTGGGGCTATAGGGTCAGATCCATGGTGCGTCACGCGTCTTTGCCCTCTCCCGGCGTTAGCGCGGCGCGGGTAGCTGGAAACCTCTAAGCTCGTGCCTCCATCTTCACTTCGATTGCACACGACATCATTGACGACACCCTTTTATTCCCCTTTCCTAGCCGATCTGCGCGTGCTGGTGCCTGTTTCGCATCTCGCGTCTACCGGAATACATAACGGGCCCCTTTCCCCCCGCCAATTTTGCTTCCCACTCGATCTTAGTCTCGCTTCTTTGTTCTCTAAGAACGCGTCCGCTATGATCGCACGCCAGCCACCGATCGCGATACGACATTGATCATATCCCGTCCATTCCCCGGCGCCCTTTCCTCTTTTTACGGCACGGCCTGTCTATCCTTCGTCAAGCCCATAGTCAGCTATGTCGACTCCTTCGAGTATTACGCCGGAGACGGGTGCCTCGCAGCATGCCTCGACTCCTGCTGCTGGTGCCGAGGATGGCGTCATGGACGAGATCCCACGCCGGCAAATGCGAGGTAAACAGATTCAGTTCATCATCACGCTCTGATCTAACACGGCTCTCATCCAGTCAAGGTCTTGTATACGTTTGACGATCAGAACAAATCAAACTGTCTCGCTCGTCTGCCAAATGTCCTCAACATTCCTGTCGTTTCGCTGGACGAGACTACCGAGGTGGGAGTCATCGAACTCAAGACATGCATTCAAGCTATTGTAACTGCAAGGTAGGCTACAGCAAACTCCTATTGGTCATGTAAGACGCATTGCTCACCGCCACAGTCCTGAGCTTGTAGCCAAATTAGGACACGATTACACCGTGTACGCTTATGACTTTTCCGAGTACGAAACACCGCTTGTTGGACAGGGTATGCTATCGTGGCTTCTAGCTTCTGCATCATCGACACCCAATGCTCCTGCCAAGGACTCCCAAACCATGGTTACAGGTCGCGTGTGTAAAAATATTCTTGGCATTTTCTCGAATGGTATCAAAGAGACTTTAGAAGTCAAGTTGAAGCTGGTGCCTGTTCCGACGTGCATGCAGAAAGAATATGTGGAGAATATGGAGCGGTATCATAGTCTCAGCCAGATGATGCCCGAAGGATTTGACTACAACGCCTGGTCCGACTTCCTGAAAGAGAATCCTATGCTTGGTCACCTGGCCCAGCCAACTACGACTCACTCTGCTCAGCCTTCGCCACGTCATTCAGTTGGTGGTGTTGAGCCTTTCCACCAGATGCTTACCCGCCAAAGCCCCTCGCAGGAGCCTGTCCGTAACGAATCATTTTACGACCAATCGAATACGCCCTTCATGTCCCAACCAACCAGACCTTCTAGCCCCGCCATGAGCACCATTTCCTTCCATCACTATCAATATAATCCACCTTCACGTCCAACATCACGGGCTTCTGTCCGTAGCGAAGCCCCACCACCAACCCAACAATACCAATTTAGTGATCCGTATGTTGTGGAACCGCAAGACGACGGCCCCCCGAAGAAGAGGGCTCGAATCACACAGACCACGAGACCGAGGAATACGCCCCTGACTGCTCACAATGACTCACTCCGAGTGACCGCTAGTACAGCAGCATCGGTACGCCTTCTCAAACCAAGCTTCAACGCTGCTGGGGCTGCCGCCGACATGGTCCCGCGCGCACCAACTCCTCGTCCAGGCGAAAAACTAGGACAGCGAGGTGCTCGTCGTCCCCCCGCACCAAGCGCTCTGAGGCATGCATCGATGGATGGAGGACGGCCATACATGTCCCCTTACGAACCTAGTACCTTTTCAGACAATGCTATGGAATCAGCAGACGAAAGAGAAGGAAGCCCAAGTGAGACACCGAATGAAATGCCCTCTTCACCACCAATCGCACCCCGGCGGACTATATCACCTGCTCCTTCCAGTCCAAACTTACCAACACTACCCCTCAACGATTCAGGTTTTGTTAGTGATATTCCCATGGGACGGGACACTGATGGCATGAACTGTGGGGATGGCTCGTGGGCACGCCATGAAGCAGCGCAATATCGCCGAGGATCAGCCGCTCAACCAATTACTGAAAGTATTGAAATGGATATGGGCAGTACTCAGCCGTTCGACTTCGAAAACATGGACCAGGATCTTCTCAATTGTGTATACTTTCAGGGACAAAATCCGAAAAGCGAAAGTGATCTACTATCAAGGATGGCAATAAATGAGCACGACCACAATTCGGTCCGCGGACGACCTCCTACCGGGGACGCATTCCAATTTGGATTTGCAGAAAAAGCTCAGACTCGGGAAAAGTCGCATGCGACATTTTCTACTGCTGGGTCACCCGATGGCATTGCTTCACAAATCTCACCCACCGCTGAAAGCGAAGCGCAAGTATACAGCCGTTCCGCCACGCCAAATTTACCAACGAAACAACCTAAGCAACCCAAGGCACGAGGACTTCCTAGATCGCAAACTTGGTCTGGAACGGGTGAACCCATGTCGGATGCACCAACACCCTCAGAGTGTGGCTATACTCGAAGCGGCTCTGGTGCTAAGAGGAAGCGATATATCAAAGACCGATTGGACGCTGCCATCAGGAAAGGTGAAATGCCACCGCATTGTGTCAACTGCGGAGAAATCGATACTCCTACTTGGAGAAAAGCCTACACTCGAGTGGAGAATGGTTCGCCTAGTGGCATTGAACTGTCCACTGATTCGGCTAGTACAGACATCATTGCCTACGAGGTAATCGAACCAACTCCTGAGACAGATGGCGAGCCAAAGTACCGCATCTTCAAAAACAACTTGACACGTCAAGATAAGGACATGATGGCGGCGAAATCTGGTGATGCTTTCCAAGAGCTTAATCTGTGTAACCCATGCGGACTTTGGCTTATCAAGAAGTTTTCGATGCGGCCACAAAAAGTATGGGACAGGTCTGCGCGACTAGCAAAGCGCAAGCGAGAACAGAAGATTGGAGCACGCTCCAAATCGACTGTTGGTGATGATCTCATGTCGGACGCCGCTTTTCCAGAGACAGAATCTACTATGCCAGCCGAGCAGGAGCTAGGCGGGAAATCAGTCGATGGAACATACGACGGAGAGATGGCACCACCCAAGGCCCTATTCGGAGCATGTGAAATGGATGTCAACAATGCCCAAGCTGCTTTCAGACGAGCTATGCAATCAAGTCCTGCGGGCGTCAGAGGAAGCAAGGCTTTGCCCATCAATCTCGAACAAGATCTTACACCGAAGCCTACACGACGATTGCTTTTTCCCTCGCCTCGGAAGCAAAGTCAGCGCAAGACTCTGACTCAACAGGCGACTGGTCCTGTCGCTACTCCTGTGCATGCACATGACGATGACGCGCCTAAAAAGCCTCGTTGCCAACGGTGTAAAGAACTCAAGAGAGCTTGCGACCGAGAACGGCCATGCGGCCGATGCGAGAACGCTGGGATAGGGCATGATGGATGTATTCCTTGCGAGACGAAAAAGACCAACTGGTTCGAGCGGACTGTAGTACAACCAGTTGTCGTTGAGCAGGATAACCCCGATAAGGAGAACTGCCCACCTCCACCTACATTGGAGACTGACGAGCTTGACCACCTTTTCGAAGACTCCCGCTCCCCTAAGACAACGCCGAAGCAAGATCGGATAGCTGAAGATCTTTTGAAAACACCTACTCCTGGTACTCGACAGCGCGCCGCCCTGACGCCGAGACGAGGTACTGAAAATGGCGAGGTTCCTACCACGCCCTCGCGGAGCACATTTACTCCTCGAGGCAACCGTACGGCGACTGCTGCTCCGGACACCCCATTCACACGCCAGCTCAATGCTCTTCTATCAGACCATCCCATTTCATCGCCTTCTCAAAATTTTGATTTTTCCTCATTCCCTATCTTCACACCTCCTGGTCATGCTGGTGCACAGTTCAGCGAGCTCTTGGCTGACGATTTCTTGTCGAGCGACATGCCTATGAGTAGCTCACCTTCAAAAACGGGGTCCATGAGTCTAGGTTTCGATCTTTATGAGGACCCCAACACATCTACCGCCGGAATGTGGAATGGAGAGAACATCTTTGACAATGAAGTCATGTTGTTAGCCATGGAGGATAACTCCAAGCGCTCCGGTATGGATGCCAGCAATGGCCCCGACGCAGTCACACTGCTGAAGATGAATGTGGGTGGCATGACTGTCGATTTTGCGGCCATGATAGAAGAAGTCGTTGGTACCGCCACCAAAGACACCGATGGGCATGAGAACCAAGGCAGGTTCTTGGAAGACAGTGTTAGGTCTGCTCACAAAAGCCCCGAAGCAGAGAGTGAGGGCGTCGGTGGCACGCCCGAAGAACCCACTTCTGTCTGAGGCATCCTATGCCTATTTGCTATGGCTCCATGATTTTGTTTACATGTCCGTTTGCCTTTACTGTAGGTTCTTGTTTTTGAGGCGTTTAGCGATCTGGCACGTACATGCTGCGGCTTTTAGATGCCACGAGGAAATGAGGCACACGAATACTTTTGTACACTAGTCTTTGTAGTAAGAGCAGCAGCTCAGTAGCCCAGCATCTGAGGCACGAGTTCTGGTAAATGGCGAGCGTATTGTACGCATCTTCGAAGGATACCCAATACATGTGCTAGGCATTATACAATTTTTTCATTCTAGTGAGATTGTTTTCATAGGTGATCAGAAGGAAATCTAACACAGATAGTTAACAGATTTATGTGATATCGAAGAGGAAAAGTTTGTGATTACTGTACACTGAACCTGCTATCGATTTTACCCTGTATATATTGTGTGTATATCACGGTGGCGAAGTATTGAAGTCATTGTGCTGGAAACAGTTCAGGTATGTTGTGGAAGGCTAAAGTGGCTTTCTTTAGTTTCATCACTATGTTGGCTTCTGTATTCGAAAGTACGTTACTTTCGTATTAAACATCAAAATCAAGATCAAATTTGCCAGTATGTTATTGTCGAGCTTGCGGTACTGTCACATTTTGTGATAATCCACAAATACCATGAAATGTATTGTTTGCTAATCGGCGATTTACACTCCTCTGCCATAAGAAGAGTAGTCTTGCACAGGAGATAATGGTAATAGTCAAATTTTTTTGTTCGAGCGCTAGCATACAACTATTTCATCGTCATAAACACATGCTCCAGAACTAGTCAATCATAAAATCATATCTACCCCCTCACTCCATCTTCTGACACCACGCTTACTGAGATGATCCTCCAGAAATGGTAAGCACCTGGCCATTGACCCAACCGCCATCCTCAGAAGCAAGGAAAGCCACAACCCTCGCAACATCCTCGGGGACCGCACACCTGCCCAGCGGGCAGTGGCTCGCCATGAGGCTCTCAATCTTCTCCGCCGGCCACTCAGGAGTGCCACCAGGGATGTAGTGCCATGCGTTTTGAGTGAACATGTCCGACTTGATGCCACCAGGCGCGACACCATTAACGGTAACACCGCGCTTTCCAAAGTCCGTCGCGAAAGCCTTGATGAAGCCAATGACAGCCATCTTGGAAGCGTTGTATAGAGCGTGATCCTTGACACCGAGAAGACCGGCAGCAATGGAGCTCATGAGGATGATACGGCCGTTATCCTCAATGTACTTGTATGCCGTCTGACCAACGAAGAACTGCGCTCGCGTGTTCAAGTTGAAAACATGGTCGTACTTCTCCTCGCTAATCTCCTCGGTCTTGTCCCAGCTCTCGGTGCCGGAGTTGCTCATGACAATGTTGATCTTGCCAAAGGCCTTCTTTGCTTCCTCGAATAGCCGGTGGATCTCGGAGACTTTGCTCACATCGGCTTTGATGGCGACGGCTTTGGCGCCGTTGTTAAAGCCCCGGATGATCTCACATACTTCGTTGGCGGGGCCTTCTGATGATACGTAGTTTACGATGACTGAGGCACCGCGCTTGCCGAGCTCGATGGCGCAGCCTCGTCCGATACCGCGGCCGGCGCCGGTGATGAGGGCGACTTGGCCCTCAAGGGAGGCGGTGGGAACTGTGACGACCATTTTTATGGAGTTTTGTTTTGTGGAGGTGAAATATTGATAGTCGAGATGTTATAGAAGTGCTTGCTTTGATTTCTTGATTTGAAGAAATCCAAAGACTGATCGTAATGAATAAGTGAAAATGTGACTGGGTATCTTGATTAAGTTTCATTCATGTTGTAGCATCTATATAAATGCATTTGATATCTCCGTTTTCGAATGTTGGTCTACACGGTGTTGCGGCCACCGGTGGGGATCCGAAGGACCAAAGACCGAAAATAGTAGTCCGCCAAGGGGACTTGCGGCTCTACACTTTCGCGTCCGGGAAATACTATGTACGCTGTGCGTTTTACCTACACAAGGCTAAACGAACCGGCAAGCCTAGTCCCCGCTCCCAGTGTCGTAGTCCAAGTGCCGGCTGTGGTGCGGAGCTCGGAAGGGGGGCCATTGCTGTCCCTCCGAATTCAAGCAACGTATTGAAGTCTTGAGGATGGAGATGCGACAAGAAACCCGATCTTATCTCGGCAGGCTTTGTTGAAAGATTGACTCCTCGGATCAATTTTCATTTCCCAGAGTGTGAATGAGATAACGTACACTACCTATTGCGACGAGCGGTGATTGCCGGCGCAATGCAGGGAACACCAACGGATCTACCCATAGCGCAGGTACCACGATCACTTCTAGATCAACTTTGTCTTCATCATCGTGCAGAAATACCTAAGTGAGAAGATTGAAACTGCTAGATAAGACGATTCGACACACAAAGACACAATACAGCGTTAAACAGCGTTTGTAGAGATGGAGGCGGCGACTACAAATGGCCGAGCATGAGGCGGTTCCGACCATCGGGACCTTGGATTGCGCACGTCACTTGTCCGTGTTTGCCCCACTACATCTTTCAACTTCACATCCACAACAAACTATCACTAAACACACCATTTTTAGGTCTCAGAAAAAAAGATGCATATTCTTGTAAGTTGTTTCAGGTCTCACAGTAGCCAATGGCAGCAGCTGATTAAACAGTAGGTCACTAACGATGATGGTCCACCATCAGATCAATCTTCGCCGTACGTGCACTCACTGGTGTCAACACTGCAAAAGTATGGCCACACCGTGTCGGTTGTTCTCCCACACACGCAGAGATCTTGGATAGGCAAGGCACACCTTGTTGGCAAGTCGGTATGAATATCTTTTATCTGTTTGAAGCAATGCTTGCAATGTATATTCGTCGTCACCGCCCAGTCTAACATGGCCGTAGATATCACCAACATATTATCGACCTGAACCCCTCCAAACTACCGCCGATGGTCGCCTCACGAACCATGGAACGACTCATAACTCGCCTCTGCCGCCTTCTTCGAATGAGGAAGAATGGGTGCTCGTTGATTCGACCCCTGCCTCATGTATACAGATTGGTCTATACCACTACTTCACCGAGCGTGGACCAATCGATCTCGTTGTATCTGGACCAAACTACGGCCGCAATAGCACTGCGATATTTTCCCTCTCTTCGGGTACCATAGGCGGAGCGATGGAGGCAGCTGTTTGTGGCATGAAGAGCATAGCAGTCAGCTACGCCTTCTTCGACCGCAACCACGATGCCAACATCATCAGCGGCGCGAGCGAGCTCAGCGCAAAGCTCATACAATACCTATGGGACAACTGGGACAAGAACACACACTTGTACACTGTCAATGTACCTCTGGTGGAGAACGTAGGAGAGCGCAAGGTTCTATGGACAAACATGCTGCAGAACACATGGAAGAGCGGCAGCTGTTTCCAGGTGGTGGAAGTGCCCTCGGAAGCCGACGACAAGCCAGCGGACATCGAAGGCCAAATCCGCAAGCAGGAAGAGAAACTGGGCAAGAAGGAACTCAAGTCTAACTCGGAGGCTGCCGGTGGAGCAAGCGGTACGGATTCAGGACAAGACACGCCATCTGGACAGCCACATATGAGGTATACGCACAAGCACTTCAAGTGGGCGCCGTCGTTCAAGGACGTGTACCAGAGTGTGGAGGAGAGCGAGCCGGGCAATGATGGGTGGGCTGTTGCGCAAGGATTCACTAGTGTGACTCCGCTCCGGGCAAACTTTATGCACGTCAATGGGTTCGAGGGAGAGATTAAGCTTTAGCGGGTGGTGGGAGGAAAGGCAGATTCGGCGGGGTAGTTTGGATGATGATCACAAAGCGTATCGGGGTATAGTCCGGTAAAACGGGATTTGGGTTTTTAGGGGAGTACGAGAAGATGGGTTTTTCGTGAATCAAATATCGGAATCAGCAAGATGTGCAGGAGGTATTTAGAATATATCTCGTAGTAGTAATTCACACATTGAAGTGAGGTTTTCTGGTGGTTGTCGCAAATCGATCGACCTGAAGTCTCCATGTTATACCTGGGGTATCAAAAGAAAAAAAAAGAGACCCTCCCAAACGCCATGATCAATGCATCGTTGTGATTGAAAAAAGAAAAGAATAACACATGACCAAAATTAATTATTCAAAATTGAAAAAGGCATCGTCAAAGGAAGATTGCTCGGGGTTGGCGTAGTCGTCCATGTTGAACAGGTCCTCAAGATCGTCTGCAGCCATGGTGCTCATCATGTCGTCTTTGTTATTATTATTGGTCGTCGCCTCTTCTGCCTTGTTCTCTTGGGGCGGTGGTGGCTGTGCGGCAGGTTTGGGCTCATCTGCTTTTGGCGCAGGCTCTGGCTCTGGTGCTGGCTTGGCAGTTGTATTTGCAGTGCTATCGGCATTTGCGTTGGTGTTCGTATTTGTGTTCGAATCCAAGCCTGACAAGTCCGGCATTGTAAAGTCCATGTTCATGGTGGATGTTTGGTTGTTGTTGTTGTTGTCATTATCGCTGTTCTTGGCAAAGTCTTCGAGACCGCGTAGGAGGGAGGATCCTTCGTTGCCGCTATCGAGGCCAAAGTCAATATCGCCCGAGGTATCCATCATGTCGTGGTCGTGATTTTGGTCGGACGTGTCCATGGCATCGCCGAACATGGCATCGAAATCGAAGTCGGACTCATTGGGGTTGTTGGTTGGGGGCGTGCCATCGAATAGCGGATCTTTGGGTGGCTGGGCATTTGCGTCTGTCGAGTCTTGGGGTGGTGAGGGTGCCTTCTTGTTTTGGCTGTCATGGTCGCTGTTTCCGCCGTCCTTCTTCGCGGCTTCCATATCCGTCTCCATGGACGTCACTTGCTCCGATGTGTCTGGTGCTGCTGGCGGCTCGAGCTGTACGGGCGTGGCAGCCTTTTCTTCCTTGACTGGCGCGTCGTTGGTGGGTGGGGGTGGATTTCTGGCCTCTGCGGCAAGCCTCGCCTTGTCCACCTCTTGCTGTTTCGCGGCAGCCTCCTTCTTCTTGCGGTCCTGCTTCAGCAATGCCATGTCGCGCCGGAGCACCATTTGCGCTAGGCGCACCTCGTTCTCGAGTTCGTCGAGGGCATCGTGGAAGCGCTCGGTGGCATGTGGCACGACGCGCTGCAGTTGCTGCTTCATGCGCCCGGAGCCTCCGCCGGTCTGGGTTTCTTTGAGGAAGCGGCCAGAGTGGAGAAACTGTGAGAGAATGTGAGCAAGGACACGCATGAAGGGGGCATGGCTGGGCGGCCGCATACAATGAGATTGAGCATGCTCTGCAGCGTGTCGATGTGCTGCTGCTGCTGCTGCTGCTGTTGTCCCGGTGCCGGGGGTGGTGGGTTTGCTGCGGCCATGACAGCTGGGCGGTGATGGTTGTGGTGGTGGTAGTGGTGGTGATGATGTTGAGAATGGCGAGGAAGTCGTTGGCTATGGTGCGTAGTACAGTAGTGGTATGTAAGTATGTATGGCTCGGTGCTTGGTCGGCTGGTCGGTGCTGGGCGCAGCGCCCTGACACACGTGCGGGCCTTCTGCAGGTGCTTCCGCAGGTGGGGGCCACGGGTTCCGGTACTAGAGAATTAGGTGCAAATATACTAATACTAATACATGCCCTTGGGAACATTCCCACGCTCGGCGCAAAACAGGTAGCCACTAGCACCAGCCCATCCGTTATTTACGGCCTTTTCCTCCGCCCAGCCCTGCCTGACAGGAGCTGCCAGCACGGCATCCAAATGCCCCCAAAATGCTTAATGCCTGACCCGTTCCCGCAAATCTGCACTCTCTCTCGCACACGCGCACACATACCCCGGCACCACGGCCGGCAGGTGGTAGGCTACAGTAGCTCTCCCGTTGCATTGGGCGCTTGTGGCCTCGCGACCCTAATTCTCGCGACCCTCGCTCACCTCCCAACTCCTCTTCCCTTTCCTCACCCCACAAGTGGAGACTATAGCTTGCCATCCGCGCTCGGCGTAGGGCTTTCGCATCTCCTATCTCCTCTTCCTCTTGTTTCCTCTTCCCTTTCCTAGTGCTTTCCGCGTCTCTGTTCGGGCTGCCTGTGCTTGTACTTGCGCTTTCCCTTTTCGACTTTCCTTGTCGCCTACCACTAACCCACTAACCCACCCACCACCCTCCTCTTCGCCCCGCCACGACTCGCCCACCCGCCGCGTGGCCTTGTCTGTTCCTGTCCTGCTCTCTGCAATCGTCCTTTCGCGTCGCATCAGAGCTCACCCGCGGATTCTTTGCTGAACCACTCACCACCACCACTGCCCTTTGCTCATCCGCACCCCTCCTGCCTGTTTCTGCCTTGAGCGCATTTTCGCGACCGCCATGGCCGACCAGCAGAACCCTGGGGCACAGCTCCCCCCTCCGCCCTCCGCCAGCGGTGCGCCCGGCTACGACAACCAGCCTCAGGCCCAGCAGCACATGCCGCCCCCGCCGCTCGCCCCCGTCATCATCCCGCAGAACAACAACCCCATTCCCACGGCCATTAGCTCCCCCATGTCGGGCAACCCCATGTCCCCGACCAGCGGCCAGCCTGGCTATGTGCCCCGTCGCGCGGCTCCCGAGCCCAACAAGCGCGCTTTGTATGTGGGAGGACTCGACCCGCGGGTCACTGAGGACGTGCTTCGTCAAATTTTCGAGACCACTGGACATGTCCAGAGTGTCAAGATCATTCCTGACAAGACTGCAAGTTCTCCTTCTGTAAGATACATTTCCGAAACCGCTGCAATTCTCTTGACAGCTTTGTGGCGCGGGCCGGGCTTATCTTGCAACTGCTGCAACAATTCAAGTGCCGCTGACCGCTAACAGTTCAACTCTAAGGGTTTCAATTACGGCTTCGTTGAGTACGACGACCCCGGTGCGGCCGAGCGTGGCATGGCCACCCTCAATGGCCGGCGCATTCACAACAATGTAAGCATGGTCACTGGAGAAGCGGGCAAAGAGAAGTTGCCATGCCGGCCTGTGTTCTGACCAAAGACAGGAAATTCGTGTAAACTGGGCCTACCAATCTAACAATACAGCCAAGGAAGACACTTCTAACCACTTCCACATCTTCGTTGGTGACCTTTCCAACGAGGTCAACGACGAAGTCCTTTTGCAGGCCTTTTCCACCTTTGGTCCCGTTTCCGAGGCTCGCGTCATGTGGGACATGAAGACGGGCAGGTCTCGTGGCTACGGATTCGTTGCTTTCCGGGATCGTGCCGATGCTGAGCGTGCCCTCAACTCCATGGATGGCGAGTGGCTCGGTTCTCGAGCAATTCGCTGCAACTGGGCCAATCAGAAGGGTCAACCTTCCATTTCCCAGCAGCAGGCCATGGCCTCAATGGGCATGACACCAACCACTCCGTTTGGCCACCACCATTTCCCCACTCACGGTGTCCAGAGTTACGACATGGTTGTGGCTCAAACTCCGCAGTGGCAGACGACTTGCTATGTCGGAAATCTGACTCCTTACACCTCGCAGGCTGACCTAGTACCACTCTTCCAGAATTTTGGTTATGTTACCGAGACGCGCTTCCAGTCGGATCGTGGATTTGCCTTTATCAAGATGGACACGCATGAGAACGCTGCCATGGCCATCTGCCAGCTCAACGGCTACAACGTCAATGGCCGCCCCCTAAAGTGCAGCGTAGGTTGACTCGCGTCTCCCTTTTCCCTAACTGTTTGCTCACATTTGTAAATCTAGTGGGGCAAAGACCGTCCTCCGACTGGCCAGTTTGAGGGTTACTCGCCTGCGGGCGGCCCTAACTCAGCTTACCCCCAGACGCCGAGTGCGTACTTTCCGCAGTATGGTGGTGGGCCACAAGGTGGGCCCATGTCACCCTCAGGTGAGCGGCACCGGAGGAAGCTGCAGTATCGAAACAAGCAATCTAATGCGCGGGCAGGACCCAGCCCCGGCGGAGCACCTTTCGCGCAGCAGCAGCAACAAGCCTTTGGTAACCCTGGCATGCCGTTCCAGCAGCAAATGCAGCAGCCGGGCAGCGCTGGTGGCTACGGCCGCGGCGCCCCCCAGCAGCCACAGTGGGGCCAGTCTCCCCAGGCTGCCTTTAGCCAGAACGGCTTTGGGGGATACCAGGGCTAAAGACTCTCCTTGCTCAAACTTTTTTTGTTCAGCGCCGCGCCACCTATTCTTTCGACACGCCCGGTTGTTGTTTACGAGGGCGCTTTTGTTTGGATAGCTCCGATTTTCAGGTCATATTTCATCAGCTATCTGGTCTCATGTTCTTAGGCAAGTCGTCATTTTAGTCCCGTTGTCCAAAAAGGTGTGAGGGTTGTTGTCTGCCGGCATAGTCGGCTACCTTACGGTATATTTCTTGTGGGATATGATCTACGGTCGTTTGTGTGGTTCAAAATGAATCTCCTTTCTCTTGTTAACATTTCCTTTGATGCGAGCTTCGGCTTATTTCACATTTGCCTCTTCACTATCCACGATGATGTTGAATCTTGTTATGGTTACCAAAAGCGAATTCCTCTTCTCTTTGCGGCGCACTCTTTATTCATGACGGCTCCCTCTGACTTTTTTCGGTGGTCGGTAGGCTTTTGATGATTGTTGTTATATCATGTTCTTCTTCTTCGGTTTAGACTGCATTGTCTCTTCAAAACGGCATACGCGGGGCGCGCCGAGTCTCAATGTGGGAGAATGATGTGCGGAGTCATGTTCAAAAGATCCCTGGCGGAATAGAGAACCTGGAAACGTGAGGGCTGCATTTCAGCTACTTGTATGAATACCAATATCAATCGACAGTGTCGAAAACAAACAGCTCTTTCCTGTGGTGAAAGCAACGCTGACTAACAATCATTCGATACAGATGTGCATCGTTTTACAAGACCCAGGTCAAAAGTTGAGACTGAGACTATCATCCATCTGCCCTGCCATGACTCCGTCATGTGTTGCCAAGCACCTCTTAACTAGTGCAACTACTTACGTATGTCTCGAGTATTGGTATGGTGAGCACGTGATCATGATACTAGCGCACTTCCATCCGAAAGTCGCGTCAAATAGTCGCGTTTTGTGGGCCGGCTGCACTAAGGCTACAGGAGCAATCCCACCCCACTGCGCCGTGAAAGGCATGCTCACCCTCGATACCAATACCTAACCACTCTTCTTTTCTTTTGTCTGCGCCATATTTACTTTGCTGCATGCTTTCTTTCCTTGCTAGGAGAGGTGCGTCGCTTAAACCGTCCAAGACAAAAGATTCGCCGCTCTTCTCCCTTGTACAGTCCGCGCGGGCGCACTTGCCCCATACCCGTCCGTACCTGACGCACCCTCCTCGCGCGCGCCCTTCGACCTCACAACCATTCCAGACAGACAGCCTTCCGAGTAGCCTGTCCAGCTTTGCCCCCTATATTCAAAACAACAGTCTCTTCAATCGCCTATACACAAAAAGAACCATGTTCAAACAAGCCGTGCAGGCACACGATGCCATCGCGTCGTCCTCGCCGTCGAATGGTGCATGTAAACAAGCCTCACTCGGCAATGTCTTCAACCGAACCGGGCCAACACAAACATCATCCGCGCAAACCCTAGGGTATGGAGCGAAGCAGAATAATACTGTGGGGCAACAACGAGTATCGGGTCCCCCAACACAAGGTACTAAGAGGACTTCAAGTGGCCTGTCCAAGTCACTGAGTTCACATGATGGCGAATTTGAGTACCCTACACTCAGTATTGGAGGCATGGACAAAGAGAACGAACTTCCGGCCGCTTTTCACGCACCCAGCACTGGCTCTGGAATTCTTGAGACTGCCTTGTTTGACGAAGACGATTTCGACAGCGACGTGGATCTCGACGTAGAAGACCCCGCGACCAAAGGCACCGTCACATACCCCACTTTACCCAGTGTACCCTCGACGATCTCAGGAGACTCTGGATACAATTCAAGGGCACAAACTGCAGACACCAAATCAGAGGTAGACAGTAGCCAGCCAATACCATGGTCATCTTCCCCAATAGAACACTTCAAAACACCCAAGAAATCCGAACCCTTGAGGGTGAAGCGGAGAACGCTACCATGGCAACAGCCTCAAAAGGCTCAGCCCTTACAAGAGGAGGACAAGGAGGACGAGGTTGAACCTCCAAAGAAGAAGCAATCTGTCGAACCCGAAAAGACAGTATCGACACCAGCACCGAAGGATTCAAATTCAAAATATTACTGGAACACAACTCCAAGTGGTTTGAAGCAACAGCAGAAAGCATTTCGAGAGAATATGAAAGCACAAGCAAAGCCGAATCAAGGGACTGATGATGTCATCAAGGAAGTTATCAAGACGAAGAAGAAGAACACGGTGGCCCGCATATTTCTCAGTGAGGAGCAGCAAAATGTGCTGAAGCTCGTAGTAGACTATAAAAAGAGCGTCTTCTTCACTGGTTCTGCTGGTATGTGCAAAATATACGTCCTTTGTATCGATTCATTCACTGACCGCACCAGGTACCGGTAAATCCGTTCTACTTCGTGAGATTATCACAGGATTGCGGAAGAAATATGCCCGCGAGCCTGATCGAGTTGCTGTTACAGCCTCAACAGGTCTGGCAGCATGCAACATCGGTGGTGTTACTCTACACAGTTTTGCAGGCATTGGACTTGGTAAAGAGCCGGTTGAAGATCTTGTCAAGAAGATTCGACGGAACGCGAAAGCCAAGCAACGATGGATGCGTACCAAAGTTCTTATCATGGATGAAGTTTCTATGGTGGATGGCGATCTGTTCGACAAGCTTGAATCGATTGCACGAACAATTCGCAACAACGGCAGACCGTTCGGTGGCATCCAGCTTGTCATTACAGGTGATTTCTTTCAATTGCCTCCAGTACCGGAGTTCGGCAAGCAAGCCAAGTTTGCGTTTGACGCAGGCACCTGGACTACAAGCATTGAGCACACGATTGGTCTAACTCATGTCTTCCGTCAAAAGGATCCAGTATTTGCGGGCATGCTCAACGAAATGCGAGAGGGTCGGTTGACACCAGAGTCGATATCTCGTTTCAAGCAGCTAGAGCGTCCACTGCCAACAGAAGATCAAAGCGTTGAAGCAACTGAACTGTTTCCTACACGCCAGGAAGTTGATCGTGCCAACACTACACGCATGCATCAGTTGCACGGAAATACATTCACATTCGAAGCTCGAGATGGTGGTACTATTACAAACAAGGAACAAAGAGACAGGCTTCTCCAGAGCTGCATGGTTCCAGAGCAAATACATCTAAAGAAGGGTGCACAAGTCATGTTGGTTAAAAACATGGACGAAACGCTAGTCAATGGATCACTAGGCAAGATAACAGGGTTCATGACAGAGCAAATGTTCAATGTCTACAAAGAAGATGAGGAAGGATTTCTTGAAAATGGGCCTTCGGACGCTACCTTGAAGACAGAGATGGCCAAGAGTTCACTTGGGCTCAACACCAACCAAGTGTACCCCGTTGTACGATTTGCCATTGCAGATGGTACAACGCGCGATTTGTTATGCAAGCGCGAAGACTGGAAGATCGAACTGCCCAATGGCGAAGTTCAAGCATCACGATCTCAAATCCCTCTCATTCTCGCATGGGCCTTGTCCATCCACAAAGCCCAAGGCCAAACCCTCGAACGCGTCCGTGTTGATCTCGGCCGCGTCTTCGAAAAGGGCCAGGCTTATGTCGCGCTTTCTCGTGCAACAAGTATGGCTGGTCTACAAATCCTTCGCTTCGACCCACGAAAGGTGATTGCTCACGAAAAGGTGCGGTCGTTTTACAGCAGCCTCAGTAGCGCTGAGCATGTCGAGAGCAAGGCAAAGAGCAAGACTATACTCGGAAAGATGCAAGCGGCCAAGTCAAAGAGGGCTGGCAATGACGACTGAAACGGGAATGTACATGCTTGTTTGCATTAGTGGTGTTGTTGGTTTGGTTTATCACGGCGGCGTTTTGTCAAGCAGGATGAGGAAGCTTGCTCGGGTTATGTACAAGGTCGGAAGCGCAAGACGATACAGGTATGTAAATGTTTCTACGATGCATATACGCACAATACATCATTACGCATCTTCACTCTACTGGTTTCTCCTCTCGTCTCATGTCTAGCGATGTACTGTCCAACGGATCATGTCCATGTACAAACATCTCCCAGTAGAAGGAGCAGTAGTTTGGGCAACGTGCATCAATTCCAAGTAATTTTGATTACATTTGCATCACTGTAACAATCGTTCGTGTTGGGACTCTTGAAGCACACATGTTGCAACTTACGTCACAAAACCAGGACAGCAACAAGACACATACATTCTGTTTACAAGCGCAGAATGAAATTGATGAGACCCTAGAATACACGCCGTCAAATGGATTGCCAAATGCACGCCAGCCCGTGCCATTATTTACCCCCCTCTCGCTCCCTTGTCATAGAAGCAGTCTTTGTCCGTTCTTCCAAAGAGATACATATAGCACACTTACAGCATGCCGCACATGTCAGCTGTGCGCGCCATGCATACAGAACATATCGTCGCACTCGATGTATCAATACCCATAATTGTCTCTTGCAGATAAATGTTGTCGTGTCGCGTCTGCAATCGTAGGCTATGTGATCATCTAGCACTCGTCGGCACCACCAGCCTTGGAGTTCATGAGCAGGGCAACGATGAGTCCGTAAAGACCTAAGCGCGCATTAGTAATGAACTTCGTGCAGAACCTGATGGAGTGTAACATACCCAAGACTTCAGCGAAAATGAGAATCAGGATCATTCCGACGAACAACCTGGGCTGCTGGGCAGTTCCTCGTACACCAGCGTCACCGACGATACCGATGGCGAAACCAGCCGCCATACCCGACAGACCGACGGAAAGACCAGCGCCGAGTTGAATAAAGTTGGTAAACAGCGAAGAGTGCTGGCTCAGGCCGTTGGAGATAAGCACGGACACGACGAGACCGTAGATACCAATGATACCCGCCATGACGACGGGAATAATGTCTGGATTACCTGTTAGCCGCATTCATGCAATACAAAGTTCGCGACCAAGTTCGCATAGCGCGTAACGTACTCTTAACGATCAGGTCAGGGCGAAGGACACCCATGGCGGAGACGCCAACACCGGCTTTGGCGGTTCCATAGGCGGCACCGAAGCAGGCGAAGACGATAGCTGACGTACAGCCCATCGCGCCGAAGAAGGGCTATTGATCATTAGCCCAAATCCTACAATGTCGCACGATAGTCGTCGCATCGCTTTACGATGATAGAAGCAGTGTCGTCGCGGTTCTGGTCGCGTCCGTCGGGAGGCGGAGCGGAGGTTGGTACTCGAGTACTTACAGCATAGGCAGGGCTATAGAAGCTTTGTTAGCTCAAGTTCTTCATATCTATCTTAACAGAAGCTTCTCCGCTAAGCTGATGACAATAGCAAGTCCAGCTTATGCCTAAGAGACAAGCTTGAAGCTGCGTGCATCATAGACATGGGAGCTCTGCAAGGACTCACCAGAGTTCAGTCGACATATTTGCGGTGATTTATGTAATCGACGAGTCGTCTGGAATGGTTTGGAGATCTTTCTTGAGATGGACGCGTGCAGTGGATGTGGCGACGGGGGCGTATGTGATGTCGAGGAGTGGTGACGACGGTTGGCGAAGAGCTGTACATCTGGGACACCCGCTTGACGCTACGCTCGCCCTGGCACTAGCGCCGCACGTGAGACTCGCCAATGCATTCGCCCCATCGCAAAGGCTGCCTCGACTCTTTCAACACCTCACCAAGAATCTCTTGCAGCACCCGCAAACATGTCGTGGCGCAACCAAGGAATTACCGGTTCTAACAATATTCCTCTAGGAACTCGCCGTCGGTTTGCCGGAGGCGACGATGATGGCGGTTACAATCCCTCAGCACCCGCAGAGGGCCTGTCCGAGCTGAAGCGCGGTCGCAGCCCAGAACGCAGTAAGTCAACTCCCACACGTGCTTACGATGCTCTCTAATATGCTCTTTCTAGGTTCCGATGCTCCGCGACAGCGCAAGAAGCGAAACCGATGGGGCGACGCGAGCGAGAACAAGGCTGCCGGCCTGATGGGGCTGCCTACAGCCATCTATTCCGCCATGACTACTGAGCAGCTTGACGCGTATACTTTGCATCTGCGAATCGAGGAAATCACCCAGAAGCTTAAGATCAACGATGTTGTTCCAGCCGATGGTGACAGGTACGTGTCCGATTGTTTTCTTCCCTGCATGCGCTCCTTGGCTGACTGGCATAGATCTCCCTCGCCCCCACCGCAGTACGACAACTTCGGTCGCCGTGTCAACACCCGCGAGTTCCGCTACCGCAAGCGCCTCGAAGATGAGCGTCACAAGCTCGTTGAGAAGGCGATGAAGACACTTCCTAACTACCATCCACCTGCCGATTACAGGCGCCCTACTAAGACACAGGAGAAAGTCTATGTTCCGGTCAATGATTATCCGGAGATTAACTTCAGTACGAAACTAACCCCTCTAACTCCCCTTTTCTCGTCTTGCTCTACCCCAGCCTTTGTCTTGACCAGCCTGCTCAGACTGCTGGATGTTTATGCGCATCTAGTGGCACCTGCAGTATAGCTATGTCACTAACCCTAACCCTTTTGCTCATACATTATTTTTTGATCATAAACTAACCGCAGCTTTTTGCACTAACAGTTGGTCTACTCATTGGCCCTCGTGGAAACACGCTCAAAAAGATGGAAACAGAATCCCAGGCAAAGATTGCAATCCGTGGCAAGGGCTCTGTGAAGGAGGGCAAAGGACGCTCTGATGCAGCTCACACCAGCAACCAGGAAGAGGACCTGCACTGCTTGATTATGGCCGATACCGAGGAGAAAGTCAACAAGGCCAAGAAGCTCATCCACAATGTCATTGAGACTGTAAGTTTTCCTGAATCCCATATCCTAAAACAATACTAACACATTCAGGCCGCTTCCATCCCCGAAGGCCAGAACGAGCTCAAGCGCAACCAACTCCGCGAGCTTGCCGCCCTCAACGGTACCCTTCGTGACGACGAGAACCAAGCCTGTCAAAACTGCGGAGAGATTGGCCATCGCAAGTACGATTGTCCACAGAAGCAGAACTTCACTGCCAGCATCATCTGTCGCGTCTGTGGTCAAGCTGGTCACATGGCTCGCGATTGTCCAGAACGCAAGGTTGGACAGCCTTGGCGCAACGATAACCGCTTTGGCGACCGTGGTCAGCCTGCAAGAATTGGCGGTGCCCCCGAGAATGAGCTCGATGCTTTCATGGCCGAAATGGGCGGTGCTGGTGGACAGCCTCGTGGCGCAATTGAGTACAATAACAACAATGGTACTAGTGGCGGTGACAACTATGGAGGAGAACGCCCTCTCAAGCCTTGGGAGCGCGGTCCTACTGGCGGCTCTGCACCTTGGGCGCGTAACGACGATGATCGTGGCCGTGGTGATGGTCACTCTTCTGCTCCCCCGCCTTGGGCTGGTGGAGGTGGTCGCGGTGGTCAGTCATACGATCAGGGCTATGGTGCCAGTAGCGGTGCAGCTCCCTGGGCCGCTGGTGCCTCAGCTGGTGGTGATGGTGGTGCTGGCGGTGCTGGCTATGGTTATGGCGGTTACGGCTATGACCAGAGTGCTGGGATGGGTGCTCCTGGCGCTTACGCCGGTGCTCCAGGCTACGGTGCTGCTCCACCTCCCTCTGGACCTCCACCTGGTCTTGGTCCTCTCTTCCAGAGCTACGGCTCTGCTGGAAGCCCTCCCCCGCCACCGCCACCATCTGGCTCCGCGCCTCCCCCGCCTCCTCCGGGTGATGTCCCTCCTCCTCCTCCGCCTAGCGATGTCCCGCCCCCACCACCACCTCCGGCTTAGACGAGTGAGGGTAGCAACAGCCGTAGCATAGATTTTGGATCGGCATGTAGCCGGTTCCTGTATCTGTACTCACAGGCTTTAGTGTTTCTGATGGTCATAGCGATCTTGCTTCGTAGGCAGTCTGATATGCGGTCTTTTGGGGGGGAGTTTAATATATATAATACAGTCTGTGGCTAACATATGACCATAAACAGTGACACAGGTAAGCTCACTGGCGAAGCTGTGTGTGCCGGGACATTTCCACGTAGGTTACACAACGTAGTCTCGTTTGTGCTCTGCCTGATCAGGAAACGACCATGGGCCTATCCTAGTATAGCAGCAACTACGAGTTTTGTTTAATGCATGATAGCGCCAATGTGATTTCTACGCATGTGTGATAGGTTCGGTGCAATTAAGCTCATGTGCGTGTCATTAGGCTACAAGCGGAAAATAAGCGTGTTCGTGTGAGCACCTGTGCAGTAGTCTGATGACGTTGAAGGCCAAGAAGATACTAGTAGAGGGCAGTGGGACGGGCACATGGCGACAGGCTCATGTCGACCATGCACTCTCAGCTGTCGTTGGAGCCCTGACTGTTTGACACTTCTGTTTGCGCCTGGGTTCCCTCCTCGATGCCTGCGTTACACAACCCCTCATTTTGGTAGCGATCGCACCCCACGCAACTCACCTCACCAACCCCATCGTGGTCAAACATTCGAGTCACGCCTCCTACCGGCCGCCGCGCGCGCAACATCGTGGCCATGGAGCGGATACGCATCAGCAAGGTATGTGCCTCAGTCTATCTAGACTTGCACAACCTAACCAGCACTGCAGGTGGAGGGTGTATACCTTCTTCGCAGAGGTACACGCTTTGATGGCACGCTACATCTCATGCCCCATCACCTTGTCTTCAGCTACCTTCCTAGCCCTCCCGCAGATGCCCCTCCAAACTCAAAGCCTCCGCGGCAAAAAGAAGTCTGGATAACATATCCAATGATAAACTACTGCGTCCTCAAACCGTGTCCCCCAGTCCTTCGCCAGGAGTCCTCGATCCGCATCCGATGCCGTGACTTCACATTCTTTGCCTTCTTCTTTCCCGACGAAAAGAAGGCACGCGATGTATACGAGAGCATACGTGCCTTGTCGTGCAAGCTCGGAAGGCTGGATAAGCTCCTGGCTTTCAGCTACCAGCCTAAGCCTCCAGAAGACAAACAGGACGGCTGGAGCATCTATGATGCACGCCGTGAGTGGAGGCGTCTGGGGATCAGCTCAAAAGATACGGAGAAGGGCTGGCGCATATCAGAAGTCAATATTGAATACAAGGTACTTGTCATGCGACAACCGTGGCTGGGAAATTTCTTGACGAATGGCACAGTATTCCGCGACATATCCCGCCCTAATAGTAGTTCCTACCGCTGTGTCTGATAGTGTTCTCCGATACGCCGGCGAATACCGCTCACGGCAACGCATTCCTGCCCTTGTCTATCGTCACCCCATTAACAACTGCTCCATAACGCGCAGTTCACAACCCACACCTGGGCTCCGCGGAAATCGAAATGCTCAGGACGAACGGCTTGTGGCGGCTATCTGGGCAACCAATCGTGGGTGGAAGCCGACAACTACCTCTTCTGGCTCGGTGGAGTTCACTCCAGATACGAGTGTTGTAAACCTAAGTGAATCTAGTGCTAGTAGTTCCTTTGTTGGTGCAGGAGATGGGTCAGAAAATACAGGGAAACCCACTGTCGACGATCTGACCGCTTCGTCAGAATCCGATGCCGATCTACCCAGAGTGTATGGAGCCCAACAGCGAAACCTGATTGTCGATGCCAGGCCGACGGTGAACGCATATGCGATGCAGGCTGTTGGACTAGGCTCGGAGAAGATGGACCACTACCCTGGTGCGGAGAAGGCTTATCTTGGGATTGATAATATCCACGTTATGCGCAAGTCTTTGGATATGGTGGTGGAAGCTCTGAAGGAATCGGATCTAGTTCCGTTTCCCCCAAACAGACAGCTACTAGCCAAGAGCAACTGGATCAAGCACATAGCCAATATCTTGGATGGTACTGCATTAATTGCTCGTACAGTAGGAATCATGCATTCGCACGTCCTGATTCACTGCTCAGACGGATGGGATCGTACGAGCCAGCTGAGTGCACTCAGTCAGATACTGCTAGACCCATACTACAGGACACTGGAAGGCTTCATCGTTCTTGTGGAAAAGGACTGGTTATCTTTTGGACACATGTTTCGGCATCGGTCGGGATTTTTGAGCCATGAGAAATGGTTCACCATCGAAAACGAGAAAATCGAACGAAAGTACGATGGTCCAGGGGCTGGTAATGCCTTTGAGAATGCCCTTCGGGGTGCGCGAGGTCTCTTCAACCGCCATAATGAGTCCAACGAATCGCTCAATCAGCTCCCAGAGACTAACCTTCCAGACACTGTTCCAGACATCCCCGATGCTCCTCCATTAAAGCCCGTACCAACTGGCGCGGCAGAAGAGCATCGAGTTACCAAGGTCAACGAGCTATCGCCTGTCTTCCACCAATTTCTCGACTGTGTTTACCAACTACACTATCAGCATCCCACACGGTTTGAGTTCAACGAGCGCTTTCTGAGGCGCTTGCTGTACCATTTGTACTCCTGCCAGTATGGCACCTTTCTTTTCGATAATGAGAAAGAGCGTGTCGAGACGAGGGCCAAAGAGCGAACAAGAAGTGTATGGGATTATTTCCTATGTCGAAAACAAGAGTTTATGAACCCCAAGTATGATCCGGAAATAGACGACGCCGTTCGTGGTAAGGAAAGAATGATCTTTCCTCGAAAAGGTGAAGCAAGGTGGTGGGCTGAGTGTTTTGGTCGTACTGATGAGGAGATGAACGTCTTTGGTCCCCAGGCACCCCCCAGCCTAACGCCGCAAACGAGCAATGCAAGTCACGACAGAAGTGGCACTAGCACACCAATTATCCATGAACCTATTGTCACTGGTACTGAGACCGCGGAATCTGTGACGGGTGCTGGCGCGGCGGTCCATCCTCCACGTACAAATGCCGTAGGTGACCGCTCTCCTAGGACTTCTAGCACACCTAAACCGCTTGATGCTGCCGCTGCACTCGGACAGGACCTGAGACAAGGGGTAATAGCGAGCTTTGAGAGGCTGGGCATCACTGGAAATTCAAACCCCAGTAAGGGAACAAGTCCACCCGAAGAAAGATCGAGCGAAGAGCTTGCAAAAGAAGCAGTCAAGCCAAGTTCAAAGTTGAGCGTAGACCAGGAAGCAGTAGAGAAGGCGGAAGAAGTTGCAAAAGAGTCTGACGTTGGACTTTCTGGACAACCCACAGAGGAGAATACAAAGAATGATGTAGGAGAAACTGCCGAGAAACCTGCAGAACAAAAGCCGGCTGAAGATCCAAGTCTTGGTCTAGGTCTTGGAGTCAACATTATCGAAAAGCAAGCCGAGAATAGGAGTCGGAGCCGCAAGCCAAGTCACAATCCAGAGGCTAAGGAGGTTGAGATTGAGATGCAATGACGTCAATGAAAGGTGGCTGATCGATGAAGGAGCTTATCACGATGAATGCATTAAATGATACCCAGTGGTTTCTCATTGCAAGGATCTTAGATTGTGAATTTGTATCACACTGTACATGTTGGACATAGCTCAAGCAAGTATGGTGGACAATGAATAATTGTTATGTGATGTAGTAGCACGATCATGAAGGAGATAGCCCGCAAACTTGTTGATTTTGGCAGAGTCCATGCCGACTTTCGGTCAGCATTTCATTCTCGGTCTATGTACAGAGATGCCCGGCAATATTTCATCCAGGCACTCTAGTGTGTTTCTCATTACATAGACCTCCCAGGTTTGTAGACTCCCACTCTCGTCGCACAACCCAAGCAAATAATCAGGAAGCTCGTTTGATGGTACTCGCCGTGCTTAGATCTGGAGGCGCTCGACCTTGTCCTTAAGGGTGCGGATCTGGCCCATCAAGTCCTGTGTCTTGTTAGTACATGTAGATTCCTTGCGATTATCCGTTTTGTCAACTTACAGAGGCTTCGTTTGTCGTGATGCTAGCGGCGATAACGGGCCTGGCAACGCCACAAGCACGGCCGAGAGCCATCTTGGAAGGGACATAGACGTATGGCACGTTCTTGTCCTCGCAAAGCAGAGGCAAGTGCAGAAGGATGGCGAGAGGGGAGGTGTCGGCGGCGAGGATGATCAGCTCACTGATACCACGGTTGAGGGTCCTAAAACGCTGATTGTTAGTCATTGCGCTTGATTCTTCGACAGTCGCATCGGGTATGCATACTTGGTAGCTTCGTTGGCACCCTTCTTCAGCTGCCTGTAGTGGGTAGCCTGCTGAACAAGGTCGAGAATCTCTTGCGACAAAGCCTGGTCAGCCTGGGGCCATGCGGCGCTGTTGTCCTCGGCCATTTCGAAGATTGCGATAGATAGTAGAGGGTTGAGGGAAGGGTTCACTGCTGAAGCTCGTCCGAAGGGGGATTCCTACGCTCGATCAGCCTGTGCGACTTGCGCAGTAAGTAGGCGACTTACACTGCTCGCTCGCCCGGGAGATATTTGTCGGTGAAGATGGTGGATAGTTCAAGATGTTGGAGCTTGTAGAAAATCAAAAAAATTCCTGGGATGATCGCCTTGGCGGGTCTCACGTGCTGCGCTAGTGCTGCGGGCGCTTGTCTGCTTTAGGATAATGATGGAGGCTGAATCCGAAGTCACGTTATTTTCATCACTCTGTTTGTACGTAGATGCATTGTGTCATATCTGGACATTGATAGTGTTTGAAGCTAACAAGTCTGTTGAATATGAATCTAACGGGGCGGCATGTACTTGATTTTTCTTAGTTCCCTAGTAACTTGGACTAATATTGTCAGAATGATCTATGCACTATCGCTTTTTGTGATTGCGCATGTCGCAATGCGGAAAAGTATAGAACTTAGCGTTCAATTATTGCACTGCAACTATTTCGGTCAATTTCAAGGAACTTTATGGTATAGTAGATTTTTCACAGAAAGATGTAGACGAGTTTTCATATACCTCTTCGTTTATCCTATGAACATATTCAGAGAACCTACCTACTGTATCTAGCTCACTTTAGGTAGCATAAGTAGCAGCCTATACAAAATCTCAATTTAACCACACCAACATTGAGGTATTATCAAGAGAACATGGTGGGAATAAAAAGCAACATGGGCTCTGGTCTTTGCCACAAAGTTATAGTTAAATCGAAAATTAGGAGGTTAGGGTTGGGGGTTTGCATCACATTAATGTATCCTTTTTTTACGAGTGGAAGAGCGCAGGAAAACTCTATATTTTGCTCTGCGTTTTGATATCTGCATACCATGTTTTTCCTTGAAAGCCTCGTGTGACTAGGTAGAGTGGATAGCATGGAAATTGTTGAATAGACTTATGGCGGGCGTATCAGTTAAGGAAGGAAGGCTTCTATAAACTGCGGGTTGAACCACATGCAGTAAATCTTAATACAGACCGTTAAAATTTATTCTGATACGTGGCTATTTGCTATAAATTGTACTAGAAATGACAGCTACGTTGGAGTAGAGTGACATCGTGTTAAGTACCGTAGTTTACCTCTAAATAGTCTTGGTCAGAGCTGTTTTTTTGTATTATATTTTCTTGTACATATGTACTGTATATCTAGAGTCTTTTCCTTCCTGGAAATTCGAGAAAATAGAGTGGGATGTGAAGTGTGAAGTAACAGATAGGGATGAAACGAATTGAGAAAGGAAGAAAGCTTTTACACTAGCCAAGACCAATAATTGATATTGATCTATGTGACGGGTTAAGAAGTATTTCTAATGGCGTATATTACGGTATTCTTACGTCAAATGGATACAGTGCTAGTAGATCGAACTATCGATTGAGTGCCTCCCAACCCGGTGTGGAAAGAAAGGAACGACTGTGATTACTAATTCTTAGCCTTGGGTGATGTCTCTCTGAATCAGACTCTACCATCTATCATATACGATTGTGGTATTTAAGAAACGGATAAGTAAGATATCAGATGCCTACGTGTTAACAACGAGTGGTTCGCCTCGTGAACACAAATATCCAAAACTAGAACACTAGCATAGTGGATCTAAATCCAAAAAAATGACATTTTTTTATTTGACATACTCGAACTTGTGCAAGCCAAACGCAGCCACTGACACCCGATTAACAAAACTCACAGCAGTAATGTGCCAACTAAGGCATTTCATCGAGGCATGTCGACATGGAGAAACAACGCCTCTAGAACAACCAATAAAAAAAGGAACCACAGAGTAGTCTAGCCCTCTACCAAAAAGCGGTTGTAAAATGATGATCGACCCGGACCCCCACACCGCACAGTCTACATAACGCTCATCCTCAACCACATCTACCGGTGGTTGCCACTTAAATCTCCTTGCCATCCATCGTCACTTTTCGAAAAAAAAAACGAAAGACACATCAAACCCTCAAAAAGCCTTTTTTTTTTCCTCCTGACTTTCTTTAGTCACAAATTATAACAGCGACACTATTACACACACAAAAAAGCGGACACTGGCCACCCCCCCCCCCGCCCCGCGCCCCGTGAGCTAGGCCAAGTGACTACTTATACTTTTCTAACTAGCCAAGCCCCATACGTATATACACCAGCGGTTGAATACACGCTTGAATTCGTAAGCTCTAGTACCGGGTATTTAGCATCCCACGTCAGCATAAAGGACCACCTTAGCACCACTAAGAACGGGTCTAGGCCGTCGTTATACATAAGATGAATCCGAGCCTCAGTGTTTCTTTTATGCCAGTGTACACGGGGCTGCTGAGGGGCAGGATCTACATACTATCCAAATCAAACACTTATACATTTTTCTTTTTCTCTCGCCAGTAGTAGTAGTAGTAGTAAAATGTATACACCGTATCAAGTTCACTTACCACAATTGTCGTCTTTTACATGCGTACTTACCCTTGCGCCAAAACAAACAAAAAAGGTTAGCATCCTCGGGAGCTTAATCCCACACATACGGGGCGGAGAGAGAGAGAGAGATAAAGGGCACGTGCAGAAATCGGTGCGCTCTCGTACGATATATACGAGGTCAAAAG